TGCCGCTGTCCAGGTTTGTGAGGTCGGCGTGCAGCGCTTCCACAGCATTGCCTGCCATGCCGCCCAAGTGCTGATACTGTTCAAGCTTGGAGAGGAGCACCACCTGCTGCCCGAGCTGGAAAGCTTCAAGGGCTGCATGCACACCCGCCTCCCCCAGCTCCGCCGCATGGGGAACTTGTCGGGCGCTGGGCAGGCGGCGCTCTCCCCTCCCAGCGGCTTGCTGCACTTGCTGGGCGTAGTGCTCATAAAACACTACCATATCCCTGGCCTCACGCCGCACGATGGTCATCTCTTCGGAGCACCGCTTCAAGCGCTCCTGCTGCTCCGCCAGCGCGGCCAGTTTCCTAGCCAGCAACCCTGCCTGAGCAGATTGTCGCTGCCACGGCAATGTGTCTGCCGCGAGCAAGCCAGGGGCGGTCAAGCGCTGGCAGTCATACTGCGCTCCCTGATAGTCCCCAGGGGCGGCATGCCAGCGCCGCAGCTGAAGGATGTCATCGCTGACTTTGGACACGATGGCTTCCATCTGGCGCCGCAACCGCTTCAGGCTAGTGCGCTCACGATATGCCGCTGTCTCCAGCTGTCTCTGTAGGGCGTAGTAATCCACGAACCTGGCTGCAATGGAAGCATGTAGCTGCTGAATCATGAACCTCTTCCGCTGACCCCCTATCTCCTGGTACAACCGGTCTGCCTCCACCCACCGCAGCTGTACCCGGTGCCTGCGCTCCCACGCTGCCAGCTTGCCCTCAAGGACTCGGCGGTGCTCATGCCGCATTTGCTCGGAGAGCGATTGCTGCCCCTCAGCTGCGAGAGTCACACTGCCACCCAGCGCGTACAACTCCTCCAAGCAGCCTTGGTAGTGGTGCTCCCATGTAAGACGGGCCTGCGAGTAAGAATCCTGACATCAGTGATTCATGCATCTTTATGTATCTTCCAAAGGTGTGCATCCCATTTGCTCTTTACAAAAACTCCACCAGTATGCACATCCTGTCATGTCTTGTCCTGTCATGTCATAAGTCACATGTCAAATGTCCTATCATGTCATATGAACAAGCACCAGTACAGCCAACTGAAGGTGCAGAGTGGAGCAGCACCGGGATGGTGGGCGCGCTTGTTGATGCCCCCTCAGACGATGTCTGCCGCTGCTCCCGGGCAGACCCCTGCGTGCAAAACAAACAATCTGCTTGCATACTTTCTTCTGAGGCAGCTCTTTACTCTGAGTCCTCTGAGCACCTCCTTCTCACTAGCATACCCATTGATACTTATTCCATGCTAGAGAAGAGCCTTCAAAAAGGACCAACACACCTCTGCTTCGTCACTTGCGCCTGCACCAGCGCCGCCTTGGAGAGGATCCTGGCCTGCCGGTGATGGGACGCCTCCTGAGCCACCGCCACCCTGCACCTGATTCATCAGCCAATAAGCGAGCATGCAAAGCATTGCAGACTGCAGGATATATCAAGATGGCATCTCCCCAGAGAATCAGTAGAGACAGGTGCAGCAACTAGGAGGGGTGCATTTTACCTGCAACTCGGGGGCTTTGATTTGGGCAATCTCCTGCTTGAGGGCCCCCGTGGACTGCCGCAGTTGTGCCAGCAGTCGAGCAGCCCTCCTATGCCACTCAAGCAGCTGCTTGGGCAACCTGCGCTCCTTTTTTCGCTGCCAAGCCATCGCCTGCACATGGACCAACATTGTCACTTCTCGCACCTACAGGGTTACAAACTGCAACATCGAGCAAGGCTACAAGAGCTTGCATCATATGAAAGGAGAACTCACCAGGTCCGTCATGTAGTCCTCCCGCGTGGCAGTCGCCATGCGCTTCAAGATGTGTGCAAATTTCCTGTAATGTGCCCAAGCCTGTTCAATGTTGTCACCAAAGGAGTTTCCTGCCGCTAGCATGCGGCGGGCGCCATACTTTTCTTGGCATGCCGGAATGTGAGCCTTCACATGCCACGGCCCCACTGCCAGGCCAGGCATACCCTCCACGTTTCCTTGAACCATCCTGCCAGCACAACACATCACCATTCAAAGGGGACGCTGCTGTGCACTCCGACGAATCCACACACTCATAGCATGACTAGTACTAGACACTAGGAGTGAAATTGTTCCATGCAATAATTGTACAGGGCACATCTTGACGTAAACGCCAGGCATGATGGACGAAAGATTATACCTTCGCCAATATGGGTCAAACTGGCAAGCAATGTCAATGAAGAAGTACTTCAGATCCTTGCCCTCCTCAGGCTTGAACTCCTTCAGCAGACGCTGCAGGAGCAACTCGTAGTAAACAAAGCACTCCGGTGTGAACAGGTTTGCCGCCACGAGAACATACCCGTGGCGGCAAACTGCTGCTGCCACGCCCTACGCACAAGCACATGCGGGAGTGTCAGACCGGCTCCAAAGCACCAGCACATCTTCTTGTTACACGCTTTCCTGCCAAGCAAGGTACATCCTGCAGAGCTGCAATTTAAGGCTGCCATAACCCTACCCCTTGTTGAACTCGCCAGATCCAAGCAAGACCCAATCAACCGTGGGCATGGTATTCAGTATTTTTACCACCTGAAGCAAGGCACGCTAGGGTGCTGCCAAGTATTACCCTTGCCAGCCGGGGCCAGGAAAAAAAGAGAAAAAAATCATGGATATATGAGATGCATGCCAACATCAGTAAGCGCAACAAGATCCCAGAAAAATGCGAGGAGACTCACTTGCACATATAGGCGCAGCTGCGTGTCTGAGGCGGTTGGCGTGGCAGCAACGAACTGAGAGCAGACCGGCCGCTCCAGCGCCGCCGGGTCCAAGGCCTTCCGTTGAGCGAGCAAGGCCTTCACCTCTTCATCAGCAATGAAGGGGCTATAGGGCAGCTTCGGCTGCAGGAAATCAGAGGCTTTGCCCGCCGCCCTGAGCTGCGTGAGTCCCAGGCAGGCGTCAGCAATGGCTGCCACGCAAGTGCGAAAGCAGCAAGGACACTGCACAGTGGGGCCCCCGGAGGCACGACTGTCCAGAGATTCCTGGGTCGCCGGGCCCACCTCAGCTGCATCTCTGCCAGTTTGAGCCGCGAGGCTGCCTGCTTCCATTTCTGGTGGCGATGACGACGCTGCTGCTTCCCTCTGAGTGTTCTCCTGGGGCGGCGGCGGCTGGCCGAGCTGCAAGTCTGAGTCACCGCTGAGCCCTGCCTCCGAACAGATGGGCTGCACGCCAAGCCTGTTGAGGTCATGTGTGGCGATGTCCATTCTGCGCCACTGTCTGACCGCCACTGGGAGGTTCCTCCAGATATTTTTGGGCAGGCCACTCAGTTGCCCGTACGGCACACAGCCGTTCCTGACGTGCACCTCCTCCAGGGCGCTAGTCCAGGCGACCATTGAGGTTGGGCTGGCGAGGCTGAGCTCATGCGTCTGCAACATGAGCGCTCCAGAGTAGTAAACCAGCGGCCTCTGTGGCGTTGCAGGAAAGCATCCCATGCTCACAGGATCGACTGTGAAGGCGGCACTGCACCCGCCACACCTGAATGCTGGGGGGCTGACCTCTGTCCTGCCGCTGATCGAGACATACACAAGCCTGCTGATCGTCTCCACCTGCTCCCACACTGATCCCACCCTCCCAGCCTGACTGCATGGACTGCAAGCGGGCAGGGCTGCTCTGGCAGCTGTCAAAAACTCTGCCTGCAGCTGCTGCTTCAGTGCTGCTTGGCGTGCAGGCTGACCAGCTTGGAAACATGTGTTCCTGAATACATTGTCATCAAAGCACGCATCCCATGCTTGGTGCAGCCGTCTATTATCCTCTTGAGCTGCCTGTTTCCGCAGACGCCGGCGTGAGGGCGGAGGCTGATAATAGGCAGCAGCGGCTTCTCCATCTCCATCTGCAAAGCCATCCTGCTGTTCTTCCTGCTGAGCTGTGTTTCTTGCAGGGATCCGCCAGGATGGAAGGGCGCTGGCCGGCCTCCGGGGTCCCCTCGGTGCAGATGTTGCCACAGTGCTGCCTAGGTTCCTCCCAAATCTGCGGCCTGGCTGCAGCAGAGCAGGAGTGTCGGCTGATGGTATCACCTTGACACTGACCCTCCACCTCTTGTTCCTGACCATTCGTCCTGCATGAAGTCATCACACAACGGTTTCTGCAAGTGATCCACCAGGACATTAAAGGAATGAGAAGTACATCAGCAGCATGCCTTCTAGTACAAGTGATACAACTATCCTTACAAGCACCTGGGCTACTTGCTACTCTTTGGGGTGCACAGTCCTCTCCAGATGCTCCTCATCAGATTGGCATTCCAAGCAAAGCCAGGTCAGGGCAGACACCCACGGCTACTCACAGCAGCAGAGGGATCGTAACGCTCACCAGAACAATTGAACTTGATGTTGGTTTAGATTGTAGACGACTTCAGTGTCTGTCCGGTGCATCAGTGCTCAATTCAGGTGAACGCTCTGTGTTGCCTGCACGCATTTCATTTCAAGGAATTGGCTTGGCAGGGCATGCAGTCACTACGAAAGAAGTAGACATGCACGTCGATGGTCGTGACATTCGATTAGCTGAGTCCAAACAAGTCAAGGATGGGGATGCCAAAAAACCGGCAAAAGTGCGAACCTCACATGGCCAGCGACAGAAGACTTCAAGAATTCGTTTAAATTACTCCCATAAACATTTGCGGCCGTCCCACCCCCCTTTCAAATCCTACTTTGCAACGGTAACCTGGCAAATGGCATTGCTGTCTTCGCAGAAACGAGTAGCGCACGATCCTATAGATACAGGCTTGACCGAAATAATTAGCTTGACGGAGGTACTATGCAATGCTGAGATTGTTGTAGGTAAATCTGAAGGATGTGCAGCATTGCTTTTGTTATTGCACGCCCCGAAGGGGCGTGCTCAGAAAGAGAGCCAAATCCACTAATGTAGTGGAGTGCATGTCCACCAAAGTAGTGGATTTTGCCCGACAGAGTAGGATGCGTCATCAAGCGCGCTGGACAGCAGCTGGCTTTAGATGTCCAAGAGACAGGTCAGCAAATGCTTGGCTACCCAGCCAGATTGGGAAGGATGTTATGATTGAATACTATGGGACGTAAAGCGAGATTCGATGAGTGTTGTTTGTGGGCATCCATGGCCCCCATGGTATCCAAGGGATCCTACAAGTACATCAACCGAGAAGAATATGGAGACGCTTGTGCTCAACATATAAAAGTTTAATTTCAGTATGAAGAGTGCTGCTCTGCTCCAGAAGCTGGCTTTCTTGAAAGCCAGTGGGCGACCAGGTGCTAGTACGTTGCGGAGTTTTAGACCTGTCAAGTTCTCCAAGAATCCTGATTGGTGCCCCTATCGTTGCGGGACTCCTCAGCACAGTTGCCAGAATGCGCATTCTTGCGGGAGGAAGTCTTTTCAGACTCTGCCGACCTGGCCAAGGCCATCCAGACAGAGAAGCTTTGCTGTGGCCGCTAGCCAGCCAGACAGCAAACAGAAGACCCCAAATGCAGACAGCGCATCAGAAGGACCGAAGAAGCAGGTGTGCGAGCCGCCTGTCCATCCTACAGCCCTTCGTGGCATGTATCACACCAGATGCCGTTTCACATCATGCTCTGTCAAGCAAGATACTCACAGGGGACTCTAAATCAACAGTTGATTTAAAGTCCCCTGATACTCATCCACAGTGGGCTCAATTATGTATAGGCTGGGTCGAAAATGACAAGAAGCTCCCAAGTAGACAGCAGGCTGCCTGTGGGTGTCAGCACCATATATGTCATATGTTAAATCGAAGTCTGCTACAGGGGCTGCCACAGGTAATTACAAGGCCGTGGCGGGATGGGGTGGCAAGTGCTGGGCAGCCCATAGCGCAGACTGCAGCTCGCTGGCAATCACGAGTGGCTGCATACGCGCGCACCAGCTTCCTGTCAGCGTACGCAGCATTTGTGGACAACACACTGGTGGCGCTGTTGCAAGCTCTGCGGCTGGACGACCTGTTCAGGCGGGCCACTCCCTGGCTCGAGGACCGCCTTGCAGGGCTCACCGGTGTGGACCGCTGCTGACTCACCCCTTATCTCATGTCTGAGATGACACAATGCACGATGCCGAGATGATCCAATAGTCCTGATTTTCACATCCTTTTATCAGAATGCCTTCTGACAGGGGATGGCACGCTTGCTCCCGTACTGGGAAGCGCACACCCCAAGCATCTTGACGAATCACATGTGGAGCTCAGAGAGTGACATTGCATGGCAAAGTGCCTGATCTTGAAAAGGCATGTGCTCCGTGATCAGGTTCATGGCATGTGACGGCGGACGGCCGCAAGCTGTCCTACTCGCTTGTCAACAACACCGCTACGGACTTCTCAATTCCTTGGCAGTACTCTGCCACGGAGGTCTTGGCTGGCGGCACGGAGGCGGCGGACGGCGCTGCCGGCCCGTCGGCAGGCTACAACCCAGCTGTTGCGCACTTTCTGTCGCTGTGCATGAAGCTGGTGTACGAGGAGGAGGGCATCATCAAGGTGTGGCTTGGCTCTGCTCGGCTTCACAGAACCTGTGCTTGGTTGTCAGGCACCTGATGTCCAGCATTTGCGTATGTCCATCCACAGGGCACCACACCAAATAGCAGGTGATGAGCACTGTTACTTCGCTGCGAAGCTCAGGCAGGCAAGGCAAGCACTTAAGTGATTCCAGCTGCTGATTATTCTATGAACCACTCCTGTCAGTCATGAGAACACCGGCTATGAGAAAGGCGTCGAGCTGCGTGAGGTCATAATATGTTCCCTGGCACAAGGTTTTGGTAAGGCTACTTGAATCCCACTCTTGAGTAAGGGTCTCTAACAGCAAGCTCTGGGCGTAGGACCCAGTATTGAGGTGGTGGCTAGACCTTCACGTTGAGGAGTGTATCACACGCGGTCCAAAGCATGCAATGTTGCTGAGGCATGCCTTTGAATATATCTGCTGTGCATCCGCAGGACACAGTGGAGGCGCGGTGGGGCCTGCGTTTCCACAACTACTTCCATACAGGTACCGACAGCTTCACGGCAGCTGTCCCGGAAGGCGGCGGGGCGGCCGCCTTTGTGCCGCGCACGCGCTGTGCCCTGCTCAGCTCGCCGCACGCCCTCATACTGGTCTTCAGGGGCTCCGAGCCCACCAACCTGATCAACCTGCGCTCCTCGGGCAGGCAAGAGCCTGGACTGCTGGACACATATTGTCTTTACTTAGGTTTGAAGGAGGTAGGCTAATAGGAGCAGGGCTTAGCAGCTATATCACATGCCGGTGCGGACTATGATCAAGGGCATAATAAGGCGATTGGCTTGGCACGGATCTCAGACCTCAAAAATCAAGCTGGGTGCAGAACACCAGTGGGTCAACTGACGAGTGGGTCCAAGCGATGCAACGCAGCTGGGAGTCTTCTATTTCTGGGGAGCCTGAGACAGCGCTTCTCAGCTGCTGTGCTCTGTATCTTTTATGTGCTCCTTGGGCATCTCTGTTCACTTTTCACTCCTTTTTTCTGCATCGCAGTTGCTGTCCAGCTCACGCAGACGGCCCAGATGGCAGCATGCTGACTGCTCCCGCTACTCCACACTGCTTCACACGATGAAGACAGGATAGGTCTGGATACTGTAGATCAACCGGGCCATCAGCTGCCCGTACAAGCGCATGCTGAATCTTCTCACAGAATGCTGCGGATGAAGTCAGTCGGCGTCTGTGCAGGATAAGCATGACGGAGCGGAAGGGCTTGGGTCGGGTGCACGACGGCTTCTATGGGGCGCTGTTCCATGGTGATGAAGAGAGCGGCGTCCTCTTCGAAGAGCTCATCAGTGCCATCCATGCCGCAGATCCCAGCGGGCAGAAGGCCATCTATCTGGCCGGTGCGCACTCAGGATCAGCTTTGAAATTCAGTTGCATCAAATCCTGGTGAGAAATTCTTGACAGAATCATGACCAAAGGCATCCGTGGCCAAAGCAATAGCCTCATGTCTGGCTATAGTGGTCCGTTTTCAAGGCTGCTCTGCTCAAGGTGACCAAACCCGACCGTAATGACTAATCAGTGCATGCAAGGAACGCCCAAACATGCTCTTGTTCCTCAACTGCGGCATCAAAGAAGAAATTCTCAGAAGGAAACGTGTTTCCTTGTTCATGCAGGGCACTCACTGGGCGCAGCGCTGGCAATCCTCTTTGCACAGGTGGCGGCCAGCCGGGAGCTGCCCGTAGCGGACCGTATCACGGCCGTGTACGGTTTTGCGCCGCCGCGCGTCGGCGACAAGGAGTTTGCGCGCCACGTGTCGGCCTCCTTCAATGCCACATCATCGACAGGTGTGCAAGGTTGCGATGCCTGTTTTGTGTTGCAGATCCTGTCATGTAGGCTGTGTTCTGCACATGTCACCGTGTGAGACCAAGCAAGCATTCCTCTCCACCTCAGCACTGCAGAATGGACTGCATTTGCAGATTGCACTGCTTCCAAAATCATGCCATTAGAGAATCAACGACCTGTCTCCTGTGTTGCGGATGCACGTATAGCGCATGAAGCATCCACAATGCTGCTGCAAGGAAATTGCGTACACAGACAGCAGGGTTTAGAAGATCGAACTTTCCAGCGAATGATTGAATGGACCCAAACATTTTGCAAAGTAGCGCATGCACCTGTAAAATCAAATATGGCTGGTGCGACAGGCCGTCGTCGCGCCTTCCGGGTATGTCATGGCGCTGACATCATCTGCCACCTGCCGCCGCTGATGCTGCAGTACGCTGATGTCGGCCAGGAAGTCTTCATCACCAGCACTGGCCGCGTCCTCTTCAACCCAAAGGTACTTGTTCTTCCTCCTGCAGTCTATTAAACTTCAGTGTGACTTCTCCACATTTGCCTCTTTTGCCTCCAGCTCTGAAGCACATGAAGCTAGGCAAGCAGTCCCACTTGCATGCTGCATGTATCTACGAGAGCAGGGAATCCGCCTTTGCTGCTCCTTTGCTTCTTTGAAGTGGTACACTTTTTGCATGGAGAGCTTGGTGCAAGTGCAGCTGTCTAGCACGTCTTTGGATTTGGAAGCAAAGCTTGCATGCACCACTTCGTTTCACATCATGGGGGTTGCTATGCACTGACAGGAAGTTCCTTAAGGCTCAGGGGCGTGCACCAAAACGAAGAATGGTATCGTGCAGGAGGTGAAGAGGTGGCACAACATAGAGGGCTGGGGCTTCATACCCCTGTACCTGTATAAGCTGCTGGCCGGGGTCTTTGACAAAAGAGAGGGGACGCTCAGGTCTCTCTACAGGGTGTTCCTGCTTGTGACCTTCCCCGGCCTGACTGACCACTGGCCCGCTGACTATGAAGGCAAGCTCAGAAAGGCGCTGATTCGGGACGGCAAGAGCTTTAGATAGGCGAGAATGGTAGTGTTTAGATTACTTGTTGGAGCCTTTCAGTGTAGAATAGGTGCAGTAATTATTGCAGCAGAAAAGACTGATTCTGCCGGAACTGCAAACTGACTGTGCTCAGCTTGTTTGCTCTGTGCAAGCATTGGTAAGTCTGTATTGCGAAGCACAGAGTTGCCTTTTGGTCGGATTATGATGGCCAATAATTCGGTAGAACAGAGCCATGCAGCGAGTACCGTAAAATTGTGTGTGTCATGCTTGTGCGGACACAGGTGCACCGTGAGATGCATCATGCATGAAATTTTTGAACTCTGCTACACTGAGATGTCTAGCATGCAAAGCATTCATGATGGAACACACAGTGCGCGCGTTCATCATATACGCTAGCAGCGCTCTGTGCTCTTCTAATCCGAGGGTATTGAAGCTGAAGATATTGGGGAATGCTGCTGTGTTGTAAATTTAATGGGTCTCTGCTCGTGCAAAATTTGCTGAAGTCACTGGTGTACCAAGACAAAGAGGGAACGGCGTTCCCGGAACGCTCAGCTGGCAGAAATCATTTTGGAATTCAAAAAATCTATATCTCCCATGCATCGGCACGTCCACGTTTAGTTCCCCAATATTCCCGGAAACTTATGAACTACCTCGATTATATAGTTACTATAGATATATCCCAGTGGCCCATCTCCTGCATTCTTTGCATCACCTTTTGAATCGGGTACATAGCCATCATCCTGCAGAACCATGCAGGCAACTTTTGGTACGGACGGTGAAGTCAAGGTATAACCAAGTCCCTTTCGCCCTTTAAATCCAAATGTAATTGGTATTTTGGTGGCGATGCAAGCCGTGAATGCCCATGTCATGACACTGAAGACTTGCCAAGGTGGGTACGACATGCGTCACAGGCAAAGGGCAAGGGTGCCGCGCCTGCCGTGGCAGAGGGCCTTGGTGCTTCGAACATCAAAGGTGTCGATGACGAGAAAACGAAGATAGACATCGCCCACGAGCCCGGGCACCCCAGTGCGTGTCCTCTACTCTGATGCTTGTTGGTGGCTTCATTGCAGCGACAACCTGCGATGGCTGCTTTACTTCTGGCCTTGTAAGATCATAGGAGGGCGCATGAAGTGGATCAAGACTGAACACATTGGTTGATTCTGCTGTGGACAGTCGTGCACGAGACACCGATAACTGGGAGGGGGCCTAAACCTGCCTATGACCCCGGCTCCGGAGTGCAAACAATAGCGGAGCCTGGCACAATTGCAGAAGGCGACACGGTTGCGCACGAGTGCGTTGCTTCCTCTCTTGCTAAAAATTCATCCTGCACAGCTCATTGGAATTACTGCGGTTGAAAAACTGCAAAGCTTACTCTGCTGTGGGCGCAGAGTCCTCTAGGAACATGCATTGTGCCAGGGGTCAATTTGTCTTGCCCTGTGCTTTATGACTCTGATGGCTGTGCAGTTTGTGCTGCACTAATTTTGGGTGTTGCGTGCAGGCCCAACAAGTGATCAGTGAATTGGATGGGGGCGATACCCTTGAAAGCTTGCATCATGCAAGTTGCATGACAAGGGAGCACCAGGCAGCCACCCATTGGAACAGTCTCAGTCACTCAGTACAAACTCGACAGCGAGATTGGATGCCCTGCTGCTCTTGGTATTAAAGTGTCTGTAACGTTTGCACGCATGAAGTGGCTTTACACACAGAGCGCCTGCTGAGGGAACTTTGCATGCATGTTGACCTGTCAATGCTGGTCTTGTTGGTGTTGGCAGATCACCCTTGCCAGAAAGCCTGTTCAGAGGCAGGTGTATATAAGTGGCACCGATGCTGTGGCCTCTCTGCACATTAATATTACTGCCTGGCCGCTGTGCTTTTGGAAACAACTCACCATGTGGCTGTCCTTTGGGGACTCGCACACTACAGCGGCACCATGTACTGCAGCGTCAGTGCAGTCAATGACTAATTGCCTACTAGGTAGTACTAATTATACCAATCATGTACCAATCATCTCGGAATTGTTATCCACTCCATCCATAAGGTATTCAACAAACTACTGGTGGGAAGACTGCACTGCAGTCCTCTGCATAGTGCCACTACGTAGTGGGAACACTTTCCTAGAAAATTCTGGGCATGTATACATAGGATGGGATAGCTGAGGCCCATGGTAGCTGACATCACAATGCTTTGCCAGGCAAGTCCGACAGAGTCTGCCTGATATGATTCAGGAGTGGTGGACAATACAGTGTACATGCTGGCTTAATTTGGAGGAAGGAATGAAAGAAGATTACACATCATCCAGCCGCCTAGGGATTGTTAAATGGACTAACAGCATTCAAATGGAAACGCGGTAGAGCTGTCGCAGCTATAAATAGCAGTCAGGATGGCGGGAGAAAACCTCGAGGGTTGGGCAGGGTCAAATTCCTCCACAATCTTGGAACATGATGATCTTTCCAGCTAGGAAAGCCTTACTGTAATGAAATTGACGAGTAAGTCCTGCAGTGTCTGTTGATCATCATGCAAAGAATATGTCTGGAAGATTGCAAGGCAAGATGTTAAAAAATGCTGCCTCGAGCATCACCCTCATCAAATCTTCCACTGGCGATCTGATAGCTTCTCTGTAGTAGGTGCTTGATGCGTTTAGAGGATGACGAGATAGGATTTCTTTCTTGCTGAACAGTGCCTGTCGCACGCCACAGAAATATATTGCTGGCACCATCGTACAATGCTGTGCTTTGATTACCATCCAGATCTTCTGTAGGATCACATACCTTATAATCTCACTGTAGAGCCTAAACCTAGGTGGTAGCTTTCGAGGACATTTTGAAGCAGTTGGGTGGCAATTGGTCGAGCAGAGTAGGGGCATTGCCTGGTGTAATTGCTGCCTGTACGCTGCTGCACTCGTGAGTTACATACTCTAATTTGGTTGAGGAAAGTCTCCAGAGTCTCAGTCTCGATTGATCGTGCGAATCTGACGGTCTATGACCGGCGAGAGGCATCGATTTTTGGCAAGGCACAGAAAGCCAGTAAGGGTAGATCGGCACTGGGAAGGTCAGCAATAAAGCAGTGCATCGTATTCTAATGCAGCCCTGGGGCAACCAACCCCCATACGGCGCCCCAGTGGAGCAAGGGCCGCCCATGGGAGGTTGGTGGCAAGGTCATCCCATGCCATTTGGCCAATTCCCACCACCGCCAGGTGCACCACAGCCCAGATAATTTCTTCCTAGGGCACACCAGACTGCCTTGCCGCTCGGCCATTTGTTTTCCGCTGTTTTGTTTTGCGGCCTGCACAGCAAATTGTTGCTCCTGCGGGGCATTGATGGGTACCACTCATTGAAGAACACTCTGCAGTGTGGTCTGTGCGGATTCAGCTCTCTAATGTACCTTCCTGCAGGATTTGCACCACCAGGGTGGCAGGGTGCGCCAGCAGTGCATCCGCACGGGCATTTTCACGGCCCACCACATTTCATGCGACCCATGTGGCATGTGGGGGGCCACCCCCCACATGCCCTCCCCCTGCCAACAATGCCGCCATCTCACCTGCCCCAGCCGCTCTCGCCATCATCACAGGTGCATGTGACCTATTTTCCCCTGCTTGGCTCAGAATAAGAAAGAGGCCTGTGCTTGGATTTGCTGCTGTTGCATGACCTTCTGAAGTCCTTGTCTACATGCCAGGATGCTCTCTCTGATGATGATTAGCCTGTGCCTCGCCCTTAGGACATGCCTTCGTGGGTTAGTCTGGTTCATGTGACATCACGTGTTTACAGTCTTGATAACTAAATTTGTAATGAATTGCAGGGGGAGCCGTCGCCATCAAGGCAGTCAGGAACGCCCTCGCACAGCCGCTCGGCCAGCCTGGCGAGGGGATCTGGCGAGCTGGACGCTCCCTTTGTGGAAGGCAGCGCCCGTGTGCAGCGCCTGCCCTCCAACACCCTTGGCCCTGGCCCCCCGGGGCAGACCATGCCAGATGGCGCCGTCTATGACCGCATCCGAGCTGCACTCGGGGTGAGAAAACTTCTGTTGCCTCTAAATGCTGCCACCTTGGTATGATGAGTGCTTGGTATACTGAGTCCCAGTACCTGCATGAGAGGGCTGCATGTGATGTGACCCTCATGTCCATGAAGTTCCTGCTGGTGTGCTTCGGTGTCATTTGGTGAAAGTCATGCATCTGCACCGCATGCATACTCCAACACATGCATGCCAACCAAATCAATGTTCTTTTCAATTTAATCTTTGTATTTTGTAATGATGTGTACTTTGTCAACTTGGTTTCCCTGCACAAGACTGATGGAGCAGCAGAGAATACATGCATTAAGGTCCAGCTGTAAGGGTCTCCCTCTGGAGTGAGAGCAAATCTGATTTTTTTGGGTATTTTTCTCTGCAGGAACAAATGCCCAAGTTGCCTGGGCCGCTGCTGAGCGCAGTGACAATCTGCCTGATGGAGGCTCGTCCCAGGGGCTACGCGCCGTTGGGGCTGCATGCGGATGTGCCCAATATCCCACAGGGGCTTGCGGATGGGTCTTCTCAGCTGGCACAAGATGACAGGTGGCCTCCCCTTATCTGTCCATATACCCCTTGCAAGAGCTCCACACAAACTTTCCTTAATTCTTGATGTCGCTTGTTTGAATGCTGGCATTCAGTATCTTGACAGGAAATATCAAGGAGTTTGACGGGGTTCTGTGAAGTTCTTGCCCCGTCAATGCAGCATGCTGTCATGGCATTGTCATGTCTTATACATTTTAAAACAGCTTGCTTGATATCCAGCACCTGCTCGGCAACAAGAGGCAATCAAGTCCACACTGCTGTCAATGATGAGCAGGACGGACCAATCAGTGCGAGTGAAGTTTCCCTGATGCATCAGTCCTCATGCTTTGGTCTTAGCAATCAGCCTGCCATCTATATCTGCCAGTCAGGAGCCTGGCTACTTGTTGCAGATACACAGACAGGAAGTGGTGTGCGGTGTTGGCAGACGACCTGAAGAACAAAGAGCAGGCCAGGTCCAACGGCCGACAGTATGCGCTGGATCTTCTGGCCGCCATGAAGCAGGTATTCCTCGCAACATGCGCCCACAAGGCCATCTGCTCGCCTTTCTGGAAGCTGCCAATTATGCATGGCAGGCAAAGAAGCTGAGTGAGATCCCTTGGGATTCAAACACATATAGCCCTCACACACAGGGGGAACTTGTCGCCCATTTGTATTCGTCTGGAACCCAAGGCCTCAGATAATTTTCTGGGGCATCCTGTTACATTTGCCCCGTGCACTGTCCCAAATTGAGCAAGCGGCCCAGACTGATTGCAATGCACCGCACCGCACCTGTCCTGTCATCATTTGTGTCTTTCTCTGGACCCTGGGGCCTCAAAAGACCTCTAAGTGGGGCACCCTATACAGGATGCATGCATGAGGCAGGCATGCTAGATTAGGTGGCGGGTGTACCGCAGGCATACATGGCGGGAGCATCGCTGCCGGCATTCGCGGAAAACGGCGCCGGCTATGAGCGCGCCAAAACAGGTCGGGGCCAGGAGCAGGGAGGGAACGCCGCGCACAAAGAGGTAAATAATATTGGGGGACTGCCTACACAGATCACAGTCTCCGCGATCCTGTTACAGATCAGGGCAGCTGCAAGACACACAGCACACAACACACTAACACAGAGCAAGCACCAATGAAATGACAGATGAAACTTTACGCCTGAAACGATCTTCAGGAGGTGCCGGCGCACCTGGAGTCGGCGCTGCTGCAGCTCATCCAGGACCCCTCCCTGGCGGATCCCCCGCTGCCAAACTCCCAGCTGCCGCCGTCAATGCAGGGACCCCCCTTCGGGACCCCCTGCGACCTTCCAGAGGTGCAGCTTTACCTAGCACTCCAACACTAATTAGGCATTGCTGAATCTTGTCAGCTCAAGCATGCATGATGATCTGAGTATTGTTGGTCCTCTGGCAATGTGGACGAGGATATTTGCTCTGGAATTTTTCTTGCTTGGCTTAGCATTGTGTCAGGAAGTCATGCTTTAATTGTTGTACTCACCAGTGCTGATGTTGTGCAGGAAGCTGCGGAGTGGCTTGGGAGCAGAGCATTTGAGAGATTCCAGGCTGCTGCTCTCAAGGTGCTCTCTCATGACTTCCCGCCATGCCTGAAGCCTCCAACATTCCTATCCATGCCGTATCCCTTCTACACATCCTATTCCTGCCAGTCTGAGACAAGTCCGCTCTCGCCACGGAGGTGCAAAGCATTCGTTACAGAGTTAAGTATGCACAGGATATGAAGAATCTGCTACTGGACAAAGGTGGCCTCACGCTGAGCGAGGACATCGACTTTGGCAGCCACCAGATGACTACGCCTGCCAGCCTGTTCGGCCATTATCCCTCCCATCTAGAGCCCTTGGCCTCTCTGGTGGCCCGCATGCAGCCGTCTCACACCGGAGAAGCAAGTGCGCCACTCTCAGTCACAGTTTGCAATCAGCCACGTCCCTTTCAGCCTGCCAACCCAGTTTTCTGTTGCTGTTTTACTTGTTGTTTGGCTTTACCTCAAGCAACTTGGACTTGGTGGTATTACATGTAAGAGGATCTTGAACAGACAGAGGCAGCTGCATGACTGAAATCTCAGGCAGACTCTGGCAGATGAGAGGCATGCACAGACTGACACGAAGACCACATCCTCTTCTATTTGCTAATGTCACTCCTGATATGATGGCTGTGCAGGCGGCAGGGCGCTGTACTTCAGGACAATGAGCGCCTTCAACCGGGGCAGCCACCAGGCTCTGCTGGCGGACGTGCGCATCGTGCCGGCCAGGCCGCACACATTCGCTCTGCTGGATGACGCCGGGATTACTAAAAACGCCGGCGTGCTTAGTCGCGGCCGAGGAACGGCGGTAAAGCTTCCGGACGGCCGGCGCTACCTTGCCACGCTCATCATGGATGCCTCTGCGGGGCCCCACAGAGAGTGAGCATCCCAGCCTTTTCGAGTCATCTGCACAGTGGTCAATATGGGTTATCTTGGGGCCTGACGTGCAGCAGGATTAGAGATGAGACCTGAGCAACGTGGTCGGCTGGCTGTGGGACCTGGGCGTTGCCGGCAAGCAAGTTAATGATGGACGATGCACAGGCTAAACAGTGTCCTGCACTGCAAATGTTATATCAGCATGCACAGAGAACAGATGCAATTTAGGCAGGGAAAGCCCACTACATGTGACAACCGTTGCTGCAGGCGAGTGAAACCGGGCAACTGGCTGAACGCCACATTCATCACAGCCCTGCAGGCTATCAGGTTTGAGTCGCCTGCAGCACCGGGTTGCCATTCGACCCTGCTGGTCTGGAATGCTTGCTTTCCAAGTGCGCAGCGCATCTGCTTCAAGCTCAATGACTTCTTCTTTGCCCTGCAGGGAGGAGTCCGGCGTGCTGCATGCATTGGTGCTCTTCACGTTCCTGGTGCCTTGGAAGGAGGGCAGCGAGCCCGGCTGGGCGCTGCACGGCTTTGCCGCCTCGCGCGGCCACTCCTGCGGCTGCTGTGCCCTGCTGCCTGGCGGCGGACATGCCATCACCGTCATCGGTATTCCTCCCTCTGACTCCCCTTTTTCAGGATGCATGGACGCTGCTAGGGTGCTCTTAAATTCAAAGTGGCTCTCAGCACGCATGCAGGACAGGATGCATGGATGCTGTCAGGGTGCCCTTAGAATGGATTAGCTCCCAGCATGCATGCAGGACAGGATGCCATCAGGGTGCTCATAGGATGGAATAGCTCTCAGCATGCATAAAGGACATCATAGCTGGAGTGTCTGTCTCTATGCCTTTGGGAAAGATTAGGCCAAGCAGTCCATTGCACAGACTATTGCCGTGCACAAAGGCCACGGAGCAACGTGCACTCGTGCGAGGTCTATGGACGTTTCCTGTAAGAGGGGTTAGTGTGCGCAGCATCTGATTTGTATTTTTCAATCTGTATCCACAGGCAGGAGAGTGTCAGTGTCGCTGGCACGTCGCAGCGACCAGATAGCGAGCCTGCTGCGAGTGGATGCGCGGCCGTTTGTGATTGCTGCCTTGAAGACGCTGTTTGAACAGCCGCCGACCGCCTTCCATGCAGCCAGCCTGGACTTGAGCGAGCTCTTTGGCAAGGAGTGAGTCTCTTGCTCCATTCCTGCTATGCCACCATCCAAATTCATTGTCTTATAGTGTGATGTCTGGCTTGAATGTGTTCGTTTAATCTCATGCTGCAGGGCAAATTATTCTGCTTGATATTTTTTGTTGTTTTGAGGGTCCTCGGGTCCTCGGGTTTGGGCTTTCGTTCAGGGTAATCGACTGATTTGATTTGTAAAATACAGAAGCCATGACATGCAGGATACAATGTCTTCCCTATATTCCAACGCCAACTAGAGTGGTCCTCACATAGACGGTTGCTTGAAGAATTGCTAGTTCTCCACCCTTCATCTATTGGTTATTTTGGCACGGTGATTGAATGCATCATCACAATGACATACGGCTGTGCAGCATATGTGACTGAGTGTATTCTCTTTGGCCCCATTTCTCAGGTTCTTCTCTTGATTGGGCGGACTAATCATGCATGTGTTGTGGGTCTGCGCAGTGGGAGAAAGGGAGGGCCACCACTGGCGGCCAGAGCTCAGCGCGGGCAGGCGCTGGCGCAGCGTAATGCGGCAGCTTTGGATGCCGCAAGCAAGGGGAGCCAGCAGGCAGCGCGGTACTCGCAGCGGCTGCACCGCATGTTGCGGCTGGAGGAATCTGCCATGGAATCCGACATCTGCCGGTGCGGGAAATTGGTCGCTCTCGCGTCTGCTTGATCATAGTCTATCATGTTCAGGGGAACATATGATTCCATTTCCCCCTACTCTGCAGCTGACGGCATATGCTAGTGGAGGACAGAAGTAACTCATTAGTGCCTCTGCATGCAATTGTTTCCATGCTTGTAGACTTGGTGAGTGCAGCCTTAGGCATCTATGCCAAGGTGTGCGAATACACATCCACGTAAAGCACCAATTGTGTCATCAAGCACTTGGACTGGGGAACCTGGGGCACAGGCTTGCTTCTTGAGGTGTCCTGGCACCAAAAACAGATTACTTGGCTGAACTTGATGGTGCGCTGACCCCGGGCAGGTACGACATGTTCAACGTGCGGCTGAGCTACGCGACCGTGTTCCCGACGCGGCGCTACACGCTGCAGAGCGCCTGGCGCAGCCCCTCAGTAAGCGTGGGGCGCTACCTGGGCCCCAGCCTCGACTACATTCTGCCGGCAACCTCCAAGGATGAGCCGCCCGTCCTGGCAGTGGTGGAAGTGCCGGGCCTCCCCGAGGTGCAGCCCCCCTCTCTCTTGCTGTCTTTGTGGCTCCTGAGTTGCACACACATCCAGTGGTTCGCGGAAGCTTTTGAAGTGACCTGAGAGTCCTACTCCTCTGAGCCTGCGCTTCAGACGGAGCTTTTGTGGAATTTCTGGCACATGGCTTCCGGGCTGGAATCCCCGAGACTGGGCGGGTTTGTTTGTGTTATGTGTGCCCCTTGGCTCATGAGGAGTTCAGATCCTCATCTGCAAAATGTCAGAAGCAATCACCTTCCAAATCCAATAGTCATACAGCGATGCAAACCTTCTGGCAGGATGACCTTGTTAATATTTGTGTTCTTCTTGGCGAATCAATTGGGTGTCATGCTAGATGCGCTGACTCTGTCAATTAGCGGCAAGCCTTTTGGATTCGAACTCAAAATCTAATTCAAATGCAGGGGCGGCCCGCGCTGCTGTTGGCGGACACAGTCTACCTGAGGGCCGCCGAGGAGGAATCTATCGAGTATGCTGCGGCGGTGGTGGCTGTCGAGTCTACTCTGGCGTTCCTGGCCCTGCCCCAGCAATTCTGGGACTCAAAACCACTGAAGGTGAGTCACTTTCTTTTGACAAGGACGACTTCTCTGCTGTGGGTGTGCGCTCTCCATGACAAGGATGCGTGCCTCTGTGTTTGCAAGAAGGCCAAAGCACCCATTATCCACATGCTTTCACAGCTTGTCATGCAAAAGACTGTTGGGGATTGCGCAAGTGCAATGGTTTGGTTGCATGAGGGGTGTCAAAAATGCAGGGGGGCACACAAGTATGTGATTGATTTTCCAGACACACACCGAAGAATTGCTGGGGAATGCACATATTGGAAGGGGTGCATGGGGGTTGTGAAATGTTGCAGGGTGCATCCACATCCAGTCCGTCAAATCCGCTGTTCCACGTCCGCTTCACCTTTGATCGGACGCCGCTGCGCCGCATGCACGCCGCCGTAGACCAGGCCTCCAACCCACACTTTCAGGAGCTACCGGTGGGGTCCCCCCAGAATCACTTGTTGCAGGGGATATGCTGCAGGATAATGCAGTACTTGAGCCAAATTTTGAGACGTCTTCCAGTCAGTATTCCTGCATGCCTGTTGTTCTGGTTGAATGAAGCATGCGCATTGCTGTTGCACTGATCACGCATGCCATGCGCAGGCGCCAAAGGACGTCCTGCCGGACGACCTCTACGCATCAGAACCAGAACAGGTGGGTGTCCTCCTGCATGCTTACTGCATGCCATGGAAGAGAATGCTCAGGCCACAAACTGACTCTTTAGCCTGTGCCATGCACACTCTGCCTCAAATAAAATGACCTTTTAGATAGGTGGCAGTGGCGACATCGAGGATCAGACACATTATATGCATGGTGTGCATGACATCATGACGGAATCCAAGACATGCAAGGCTGTCATGTTCCCATTACACACAAGTTGTCAATTGTGATTGTAATTTGAGTGATGTGATGAGTGGTGACTAAGCGGGTTAGAGGGCGCTGCGAAGGAGACGGTGGCCGGCCCGAGCCTGGAGGAGGTGGACGCCTGCGCGGAGGGTATCTGCGAGGAGGGAATGCGCGTCCTCAACTTTGAGCAGCGCCTGGCCGTCGCCTCGGTGCTCTGCGGTGCCGGCGGGGGGACCCCCTTTGCTCTCTTTGGACCCCCCGGCACCGGCAAGACCGTCACCCTGGTCGAGTGCGCCCTGCAGGTGTGCAATCCTGCTTGCATGCATGCATGCATGCACGCCCTCTCCGCAGACCTTCTCTCACTCGTTCCTTCAAAAGCAGTTCTTTGCGGCCTCAGCAGAGGCTGGACACATCCATCTCACATACATTGGGTGTTGGAGAAGGTGATTTCAAATGAAAGCATTGCCAGTCTATGCCCATGTTACATGTTCACCTGCCCAAAGGTTTGGCATCGCCGTCGACTGTGTGCATGCTAAGGACAATTGTTATTCTTAGAGGGGCTCACCACCTACAGTGCAGCCCTCTGAGTGAAAAAGGCAATTGAATTAACGATTCTCCGAGAAAGACGGTGAGTTTGTGAGTCAGTGGTTGAGTTTTTGAGTGCGTCTGTCTGTGAGTGTGTCTGTGAAAGAGAGGGTCTGTGTGTGAGTCTCTTGCCATGCGGCAGGTGCTGAAGCGCGAGCCGGCTGCCAAGCTGCTGCTGTGCGCGCCACAGAACTACTCGGCCGACCTGCTGGCGTCTGCGCTCTCTGCCAAGGTCCCCACCAGCGACATGCTGCGGCTCAACGACCCCCGGAGACCCCCCAACCAGGCACGCCTGCCTTTCCTGCAAATGCAAATGCAGTGCAACTGTTTCTATCGTTGGCGGTGTCCTGCCACACTCGCTTGATGTCAATGGAAATAAGCGTCCATCTTGGGATTGGGCAACTTTCTAATGGACAATATCCATGGTACAACTTGCAAATTTGGAACAGCAAATGGAAGACCACCAACACGATAGCAAAGTAAGTCCTGTGCCCAGCAAAGGACTCTTGACAATCGGGACAGCCGACACTTGGGCAGTAGGGCTCTGAACGCAGAGTGCAGAGCCCTCCTTTTAAGAATGGTTGCCGGTCCCAAATGTCATTGATTTGTTGTTTGGCACAGTGCTACTCCAATGGTGCACACATGCCAGTGCGAAAATCATTTTTTCTTCTACTGCTGATGGTAACAGAGGCCTTTCCGCATGTGCTGCTCGCAGGTGAAAGCGGACGTGCTGCCGTACTGCAAGCTGAGCGAGCCGGTTGGCGCATTCATGCTGCCATCTTCCGAGCGGGTGGCGGCTGTGCGGGTGATCGTGGCCACGTGTGGCGCGGCTGGCATTCTCCGCGAGGGGGCCTACCCGGGGTGCAGCTTCACGCATGTCATGATCGACGAGGCGGGGCAGGTGCACTCTTAGAGCACTCCTTTTAGATCGTGTACTTTGCCTGCGCATGAGGGTCCAGAGGCCTTACATGCGTCGCCCGGCCTGCTTTTCTTCTTTGACAACCTCCTATGTGAGGATCACGAACGTGAATTTCTGGAAGACCGGAGACGAATCCTTGCTAGTGTATCTCTCGGGTGGGTTGATGCTTTGAGGGGCCAATCACGAGGGCGTGGTGATGGACTGTTGACTGTTGCTTGCCATATGCAAAGGTCATGCATTGCTGCAGGCCAGCGTGCAATTTAAGGAATAGTACTTTTACAATGAAATTGAATTTTCACCTCGCAGGCGCTGCTGCCAGAGGCGCTGGTACCTCTCACGTTGTTGCGCCAAGAGCCGGGCTGCAGAGCGCTGCTGTGCGGCGACCCCAGGTGCGCCATATTTCAAAAGCCTTGCTTTGACCGAATTCCTATCTCTCTGGCTTGAGTCAACAAAATCCGTCCTGAGGCCCCACACAGCCCCTTCAGATCACATCAATATAGCGCCATGCACACTGCCAGTCAATTTCCTGTAAGCCAGGTCTCAAAAGCTGGGATGTAAGGGGCTTCACGTGCTGAGTGTCCAAAGCCCGCATGTGGTTCACCAAGCATTCATAACAGTGCCAAATTGACGCCTGTTGCAGGCAGCTGGGGCCGGTGGTGCGCTCTGTGGCGGCCGCCACTGGCGGCGGGCTCGGGGACGGCCTGACAATCTCTCTGCTGGAGCGCTTCATCGATGCGCACCGGGAGGACGTCCCCCGCCTGCTCGCATCCAATCGCGCCCCCGCGACAGGTGAGCCATCAGCACGCACACGTTCTTTGGCTATCCCAATCGCGCCAGAAAGTAGTGTGGAATGTTGCGTTGGAGCCTGCAGCTTGCGAAATTGGCTACTTCGCTCCAGAGGTCTTGCAGCTCAATTGCTGGGCATGGGCCCCCCCGAAGCCACTTTGTGTGTAGTGTCTCAGGCCAAGGTGTGTAGTCAGGGTGCCTTGCCTCGACAGACTGGGCACCAGAAGGGGTGCTGCATGCATGCGCATATGTACACACCTTCAGGGACCTGGGGGGCTTGGTGAGGAGCAAGGCCTCAAAGTTCCTGGCCTTTGCCAACGCACAGAAGAATTTTTGTTTCAAGATTAACGAAGAGTGCTGAAATGTGCTATTCGAATTCCAATTGCAGGCATGCTGGTGCGCAACTACCGCAGCCACAGCTCGCTGCTGCAGATCCCCAACCGTCTCTTCTATGGCGACTCCCTCCTGGCCGCCGCCGACCAGCGCGCGCTGCTGCCCCCCCGCTGGGACTCCCTCGCCGCCACCGCCGCCGACCGAGAGGACCTGGCGGCGCTCCCGGAAGGGCAGCCCACAGAAGCCGCAGCCGGGCAGCCCAACGGCGTGGCACATGCCAGTGGAGAGGGTACGGCTACCTTGGACACTGCCCCGTGTTTTTGTTGAGAGGACATTGGTATTGGGAAAGGAAGCAGTGGGCCAACAATCTATCCACTTTAGCAGCACAAGGAGCAAACCCGCTTTTGTGTCCCATTCTGAAAATAAAGAGCTTGCTCGAATGTGCCATAAACTACTACACATGGGTACCAGTCTATTTCAATAAACGCAAGAGGTATCTCCCCCATGCGTGCTTGGTGACGAAGCAGCTTTCACACAATTTCTGGATATGTTGACAGGCTTGGAGGATGGCGGCGTAGCGGTGAAAGAAGAGCGGCAATCAGAGGACGGGGCAGAACGCGGGGAGGAGCATGCGCATGGAAGCGACGGGGCTGATGCTGAGGAAGATGCGCTGGATGAGGAGCATTTGCCCAGCACGCTGTTCTTTGGAGTGCGCGGGCAACAGGTAATCACTCTGCAGTCAGGCAGAGTTGCTTTGGCTTACATATTTACTCAACTACCTGACATTCACACTCTCATTCGGGCTGAGGAGTGTGGTGATCTATGTGTCGCTTGGGCAGAGTGGCATGCTCTCTTTTGTTGCATGCATGCCTTTGACAGCTTGTCTGCCAGCCACCTCTGCCACATTGAGAGCACCACACATTACCCTCCCAGCAAACACCCAGCAGAAGGCTCACTGGCCCCTGCAGCAAGCCCATTCTGATCCAAGCTCGAGAAACTTTGGTGCCCGAGCAAGACACCCGTCTTGACCCAAGCTCGAGAAACTATTGATGCCCCTGCAAGAAGCCCATCCTGACCCAAGCTCACGTAAAGTATCGTGCTGCACGAAGGCCATCCTTATCTAAGCTCCAGAAGAGTCTGATGTCCCTGCATTGATTGAAGCTTGAGGAACCAATCTTCATGAGAAAGTGACACTGTGTTGCTGTGCGCAGATGCGGGAGGGCGAGGCGCCGAGCTACTTCAATGCGGAGGAGGCGGCGGCGCTGGTGGGCCTGGTGGAGGGACTGCTGGCGCAGACCAGCGCCAACGGAAAAATCGGCGTGCAGCCAAACGACCTCGGCGTCATTGCCACCTACCGCAAGCAGGTGCGATGCGCACGCAACTGATTACTCTTTCTTGTGCATAATCTGGAGGGGATCAGGGTGTGCACTTGAATGTGCCAGCCATCTGATGTGAGGGTAGGGCGGTAATGAGGCGGCCAGGCTTCCAATGCACACGGAGTAGAGCATCCGCGGTGTGGCAGGTCGCACAGTGAGATTGCTTTCTAAGTGTAGCTTCGCATTGCCTGGCTGCGTTTCTCGTTAGCCGGCCATGAGTGCCTGTGCCTATGGAAAGGACACGTCATAGAAGCTGCCCGATACCTTGGTCAGCACATATGCAGCCGCAGAAGCACTGTGCTTATACTGCCGCTCCTTTGATTCTGTCTATAGACCATTTCCGTGCTTGCTGATCGGGACGGGAAGTCTCCGGACAGGGTCAGAGGTACAGCATTGCAGGCACACGCTTCACAGATGGCCTCCAATCCAGCTGCACCTGCTTTGACTATGCTGCGCCGTGTCATCTGTGCAAGCCGCACTGGGCTGCAACTTGGTTATCTGAGAGGTGACTGATGCCCGTCTCGCGCGCCTCATCAGGTGCAGAAGATCCGGCTGCTGCTGAGAGAACGGGGCCTTGGCGCGGTGCGCGTGGGCACCGTAGATGACTACCAAGGCCAAGAGGAGCGCATCATCTTCATCTCCACGGTGCGCTCACCCCTGGTTGTTGTACTGCAGGGCAATACAAAACCATCAATTACTTTATAGTCCCCTTGGCCCTGCCATGGAATTCCCAAACATTACTTCTTTGGCTGGGTACCGTGCATGTGCACGTGACTGTAAAGGAGCGGAGCCCCCGGAAGGATGCTGGCTGAGCTGCTGTGCTCTTTGGGGTCATCAAAGGGTGATGCTGTGTTTTTTTTGGCCCAAGAAATGTGCCTCAATTCCTGTAAAGCAATGGCATGCCTCATACTGTGCGCACAAAGCCTGGAGACCCTTCCTGAAGCTCCAATCAGGGGCCACTGAAATCACATGTTGGCACATGCCGCTGCCCCAGATGCTTTGTCCACGAAGCTTGAACTGCAGCACGCGCCTGGCGCAGGTGCTGACTAAGCGCGAGTCGCTGCCACCGGTGCACGCGGACGGCGAGGAGGCGGACGTGCATGTCGGCTTCTGGCGCAACCCCAAGCGCTTCAACGTCGCCATCACTCGCGCGCGCGCACTTCTCGTCGTCGTGGGCCATCCTGTGGTACTCATGGAGGTAGATCTTCATCCGCCCTGCACATAGCACTGATTTCCTGAGCAGCCAGTGTAATGTGAGACGATCTCAGGAACGCAGGAGCTTGTCATCTCCTCTGCAGTTGCTGCCCCTAGGTGCATCTTGTGGTCTTCATGGGATATCATTGCAGTGCTCTTTGTTGCCACTTTTGTGGGAAGCAGTGGGGATTTCTGCCTGGCAAGCCATGCAGTGTGATGAACAGCACTTCCTCGACTGGTGATACCAGTGCTTGCCTTTACACAACACTGCATGTCTCAGGGCATGGACAACCTCCGCCATCCGGACGCACAGCTGTCATTTTAAAATCTGAAAAACTTTCTGTGCGGCGGCAGGATCCGAGCTGGCGGGAGCTGCTGCGCTTCTGCGCGCTGCGCGGCGCGTACCGCGGGGCCGGATCTGAGCTGATGGCCGCCATGCTGCGAGCGGATGGCGCAGACGGAGGCGACCTGTTCGGTTTCGCCAACGCGCTCACAGAGCAGCCGCCAGGCAAGCCCTCTTTGCCTGCTTGGAGCACATTTGCCTAGTTTGCTGATGCGAAAGAAATATATGCAGGCTAATTAGTCACCTGTGGTGGGTGCGTCTTCCACCAAATTCCGAGGTCAGATGGTTGCACTTTGTTGTTGGATGAGAGCCCCCAAGAGCTCAGATTGTTCTCATCAACTTGGAGCCGTGTCCAATTCGCATAAATTGTCTCACTGCAGACAGGTGGTACAATTACAACAGATTCTGATGACGCTGCTCCTTCTGCACCCATGCCACACCCAGCAAGTTTTTCATAAGGACACCAAACGTCCCTAGTGACATGGGTGACTCTTTTGGCTCCTCACCAACCTGCTCCGCTCATGTGTTTAGTGCGCACAACATACCAAATGCATGAGCTGAGCGGATGCTGAGCCACCAAAGAGAGCATCCTTAGTTGTCACAACTCGTTTTCAAGCTACACAACTGAAAGAACGGCTCACTGAACTCACATCAGAAGATCTGCAAAGGGTGTGTGAGCACCTCTGGTTGATGTTATTGACACATGGCATGCCACGAGTGCAGATGGCGAGGCGAGCGAGGACGAGATGAAGCAAGCAGTGGAGGCTATTGCTGAGCTGGCGCTGCTGGGGGTGGGGTTAGCCGACGTGATGTACCCCAAGTCCCTGGACGAGGCGTACGCGGCCTACGGCAATGATGAGATGGAGTGGCGCGTCGTGCTGTGAGCGCTGCGGTCCCAGAAACACTCTCTTTCAGCCAAGAGAAAGTACAAAACGTACAAGGCCGTGCGAGCGTTAAATGGTAATCTTTGTACTGGGCAGCTGCGGCCACCAGATCCGGCGCGTTGCAGCGGAGGCACCTTCAGTTTCTAAGCAGGCCTGGACCCTGCTGTGGTCGCTGTCTGGCCAGATCTGCTCCTGGGCGGAGCAGATGCGAGCACCACAGCTGGGGTGTGGTGTGGCGATGGCACCTGGACTGTTTGACTGGGGTTCGTGGTGCTGGGAAATGGGTCACTGCAGGACAGGCTCTCTAGGAGGGTCAGAGGTAAGTAGGGAATTCAATGAAGAGCATGTACTGAGAAGTCTAGCAGACGGAGCTTAGGAAGAGGTTCGCAGCGCTGTACACTAAATTTTTGAGAGCAATTCGTGAGTTCTTTGCGGGTAAAGGCATGAGGGAACTCTGCATCTGTCGTGCGACGCATGATGGCTGCTTGCATGTGCAGCAGTCACGGTCTTTTGTTTGAGCTTCCGATCTGCTCACTAGGACAGCGAGCTTTGTTTTGCTGAAGCACTACAGCGCACGGCGTCGCAGTGTCAATGGTGGTGCATCATCCTGCATCATCAAGCATTTTGGGAAACTTAATGAAGGTATCAAGCCGTGCTTGGAATTGTGGAAGCGAGGTCGAGGGCACTGCCAGCTTTGGCTTTGCATGGATGAAGATTCGGTTCCTGTGTCCATGTACATGTCCTTGTGATGAACATGCAAGCAGAATTTCACTAGAATGTAAAGAAACTATTTGGCTGATTGAAAACGCCGCACGCAGGTGTGTTAAAACTCGACACACGCGTGTTCTGATGAACAGGAACCATTGTGCTCGCATGTGATGTCAAAAATATCAGTGTGCTCGCATGCATGCTGTGACCTTTGCAGTGCTGATGCAGCGGCCCAAATTTATCCCAACAACCTTGGCATTACAGGCTCCCAGCACATTCAGGCTCTGCACTGCACAAGCTGCGCTCTGACAATTTGTTCTTGCACTATCAGCGTGCTGAGCAACACAGCACTAGCGATGCCAAGCTGGCCCATCACTAATGGTCCATGACCGATATGCAACTGCAAGTCTGTGTCAAGTGCCTACCAAAGAGCTGCAGGTTCATGCAAGCGCATGCACGAGCGTGCTTCCCAACATTTCCACGTCTATTGGAGTTCTCTTCATCACATAGTCTATCATCTTCTCGGCAATGCAACTGTCAAATTCTGTAGAGCGCGCGCTGGCACTCTCGACCTCTCACTTGCGGGTCACGGGGTCGAAGCCAGACACGGCTGTGACACCAGCCACAATCACTCCCAGCACCACGCCTCCAGCAATCACGGAGTTGATCAGGTTCTTCAACGATGGGGTCACAGCGGCCTGGGCAGCCAGAGGGCTTGAGAGAGCAGCACCCATGGCAACGGTCAGAGCTGCAGGAACTGCCAGAGTCTGCTTCTGCGCGCTGCACAACACCCGAGAACAAAATGATCAGGGACAGTGTCTCTGTGCAGTGCCCAACATCAGAGCTGCCCTGCTCTTTCATCACGCTTTCTTGACATGCAGTAAACAAATTAAAGAGTGTATTCCAACATTTGCCAAAGATGTCACTTCCAGCACACAAAACAAAAGTTTGAAATGCAGTAAATCGCACGACTCTTGCACTGCCCATCTCGGCCAGGAAATACCTGGCGCTGACTGTCCGGCTCACGCGGCACACGGCTGGGCGGGTAGCACGGGGAACAACTGCACGACATGCATAGAAAGATGTAAGGCAAAGAGACTTCAACTCTTCTTACTCCAGACTTCTTCTTGAACTTGGAAGCTGCCCGAACAGCGCTGCAAATGGTAGCCTCCTGGAGTGATGGAAGAGGCATCTTTAGAAGCCCCAGGTCTGCTGGGAATCCTGTGCATGCAGGCAAGGCATTTACCTGCGGCACCAGCGATGCTCTTCCTGGACACCACAGCCTTGGGTGCTGACACCAGAGAGGCGGAGGGAGCGAACACTGCAGCGGCCATCTCAGCAGGTTCTGTGGTCCGAAAAGCGGTAAAGCTGAGATTAGGCTGGACGAGATGGACAGAAGCCGCGAAATGCACCAGAGCTCCGTGGCTCGATCGAGTCGATCGCTGGAGGATAAGAGCAGGATTCTAAGCAGGGCGCCTGATCAGGCGCGTGCTCTGGCGAAACTGGCGACATTTTTGTTGGCGAATGCTGCACTGTTTCGCCTGGCGGAAACGAGAAGGACCAGTGAAGTTCCATGGATTCAGGAAAAGAAATTTCGATGAAGCAGCTGCTGTGACCCATCAACGAAGTGTACTATGCGAACGTATTTGAATGGCAAGCATTATGAGAAGCAAGGTGCGCGCATTGCGGTCGCATGACCGTCTCTTTCCTGTGATATTCCAAACATTTCCTTATTTATTCCTTGCTGAGAGCTGTTAAGTTGCGTTCGCAACCTTGGATCATCCATTTTTCGGTGCGCATAGCACAAGAAAATCAAGTATGGGAGTAGAGATGCACCCTGGTAATTCTGGGAGGTGCCAGGGTCTTTGTGAGTGCATCGGTCAAAGGACTAGCAGAAGCTGCTAGGAATGGTGGGATGAAGACGCCTTTGGACGCTACTTATGTTGTGGAACGCTCTATCCACCAGCTGGTCAAATTTCTGTTCCTGTCCTTCATTCTTGCCTTGGCCCTCACACGTACGCTCCCGTCCCATGCATCGGCCCAAGAATTACTCTTGCACAAGTAGATGGATGCCACAGATACTTTCCAAACCTGCGTTTTAGGTCAATTTAGTTGTGCTGCTCTTACATGGGAGGCTTTGAGTCTGTGTGCGTCTTGTGGACAAGACAACGTGATGCACTTTGCTCCTGGTGGGGACTGTGGATGCTGTCACAGCGTTGAAACAGGTGTGGTTGGCTCGCAGACACAAGCAAGAGCCTATGGCTGAACGTGCCATTGGCCCTTGCTGCCGTGGCTGGTCTGTACTGGCTCAGTCTACAAGTGGAGATCCGAGCGCGCAGCAATGGGACATCAGCATTTTACCGGAGGGGCAGGAAAGAGTCAGAGGAGTTTGGGTCGGAGGGTGCCACATACACAGCCTCAGTGCCCCCACCGGCGTCCAACAAGTCAGATACCAAGTGGAGGGAGCAGGTCGGATCCCCAGTCGTGGAGCATGCCTGGGAGACTCTCTGCGGCAGCATCATCCAGGAGGTGCGTATCCACCTGACCATGTTGGCACAAAGAGGCCTTAATTCACCCTCAAAACCATTTACTGGGTGCATGCATGCATCTGGTTCCATGCGAGGCTGTGCTGCTTCTCACGGGCAGCAAGAACCACATGATCGAGCTTACTTCGTCTGCATGCACTGCAGCAGAAAATCTCAAATGCTCGAGTAAATGCATGGGCGTGGGCCTTGTACTTTTCTATAGGGGAACCTGCCTGGTAGAATATTGTCATGCTTCTGACTTCAGAACATGACTGTAATTCTTTGCTGCATGTGCTGCAGTTTGTGTATGACACATGGTACGCGGTGCTGACACCGGACCGGGAGTTCCCGAGGGAAATCCGCCGCATACTGAATACGGCGTTTGGCGAACTGGCCGGCCGCGCACGCCGTGCAGACGTGCGCAAGATGCTGCTGGGGTGAGCACCTCCCTCGCGGAGTTTTGGATGCTTTCAAGGGCGCAGCATCCCCTGTGAAGTTGATATGATCTGGACACCAGCAGCTACATGTCCCAGCCAGCAGATCTTATCCCTATGGTGGATGCAGACATTGTCTTGCATTTAGAGATTGCACTTGTCCTTGCACTTCTGCTCAGCAATGCCTTGGTCCAACATACAGAGTCTGCGTTACGGGAGCAGGTGAAGTCATCGGTAGAGAACACTTCACATGATGCAGTGCAGTTACACACGCTCTCTCCATGTGCAAAAGCTCTGGTGCGTTAGACAGGCATATCGTCAGGGAATTGATGGGAACTGCACTGCTGTGCAGGGACGTGAGCGCGCTGTTCATGGAGCAGATCATGCTCTACCGCGACACGCGCGACAGCATCCTGGCCGGCTTGGACCACGACGCGTGGCGAGTCATGCCCCTGGAGGCTCGCGAACGCGCGCTGCAGGTCTCCCCCTTCAAATTCATCCGCTTTCTATTTTGATGTGACTTGCAACCCTTCATTAACCATAGACGGTTGGGTTGACGGTTGCATTTATAAACCGAGCCAGGACTGTCTTAAAATCCCTGCTTTGTGTCATGTAATAAGGTGTTGTTGCACAGCTAAGAGCTCATCTGAGGCCTTGGGTTTTATTAGAGTAACAGACATTCAAGACAATGTCGTAGTGCTGAAAGGAACTTCATTGAATTGTGATGTCATCATCCCAGAATCACTGCATCTCAAGCAGGTAAAGAGAGATGTTGGGGGCCGCTGCAGGCGGAAATGAAGGCGGACTGCAACCTGCACCCCGCGCTGTACCCGCCCTCCCCGGACGGCTCCGCCACGCTCGGCCACTACAAGGTGTGCTACTCTCTTCACTTGCCTACAAGACGCTGGGGATTTGGGAAGGCTACGTCTTTTGGCAGAGCATGACAAGCTTTGCAGCGCTCCTTAAATCAGGATTATTGATAGGATTTCGTTATGTCCCTGCAGGTGATGCGGCACATCTCAGAGGGGCTGGTGGCTTTCATGCTGGAGCGGCATGACCATGCGAAGCCCATCCTGCGAAGCGTCGCACGCGAGCTGCTGAGCTCCTGCGTTCTGCGCTGCCTCATGTTCTTCTTCAACCCCTACACCGCCAACAAGGTCTGCGCTCATCTCACATTTCACTTCCTGCTTGATAGCGGCTCCCCTGATCTTTGTGATGCGCACTCTCCTACGCAGATAGCCGGTGCCATGCTGTGAAAACATTGTGACCATACGCCGTATACACGTGCCCAACTCTACATGAAGATGCAGGTAGACCAAGGGGTGCACCTGCATGCATATTAGAGTACCTTGTGAGCGCCCAGATGTATCAAGTGAAATTTCAAGGTGGCCACAGAGGGAGTAATCCAGCCCAAAAAAGTTGCACAAGATTTGGTGGTTTTATGGGAACAAGAAGCACGATAGCGCTCGCAATGATACTCACCTTGCGCTGCCCTGTGCAGCTCATCCTGTCGCTGCTGAGGGAGAAGGTGGAGCGAAAGCCTCTGGGAGTGGAGGAGCTGGCCGCTGCAGCAGTGGCTGCCAGCAGCGCCGAGCCCCTCACCAAGGCACGCGACCTGTTGTGTCACCTTCTCCTGATGGGTCCCACCTATCTCCCTAATCTGCTGCATCTGCGTAATGTTCCTTTCGGAAACCTCATATCGTCTTTGATTCTGCTCTAGAATGGCCGAGCTGTGAAGCATAGCCCTCCCAACACCTGTTTGAGCTACTGACCATCTGAAACGGCAGCATAGCAGTCAATCTGAGGATGTGTCGACATATACCTTCTTTATAAATTTCTAGCTTCCATGCGATTGGTTTTCCCGGCGCTGCAGGCGCAGCAGGACATAGAGCAGCGGGCGCGGCAGAGCGCGGCGGCCGAGGACAGCCACGCGGCGTCGGTGCGAGCGGCCAAGCAGGCCCAGCGTGAGCGCGGAGCCGCCGCCCTGCAGCGCAGCCGCTCGGAAGCTGTGCCCTCCCCGCGCGGTCCCTCCCCCAGCAGAAAGGATCGCCGCAACTGGTCCCCCGGCAAGCGAGACGTGCGCGCACCACTCGCTTTATTTCTGCTTTTGCAACCCCAATGCCGGCCCTTCTTGAGGCTTCTGTCGCCTCGATCTCTGGAAATTGGTCAAGAATGTGCTGTCTGATTAATATTGGCTATCAGGCATGTTGCTGGTGTGGCAGATTGTCCAAGCATCAAGTATAGGGTGCGGCGGCATCTGGTATTGTTGTTAACAGACAGTTGAGTCAATGCTTATGTAATCTGCGTCATAGTACACGAGCTGTGGTGCAGAAGTTCAAGGCGCCGCCCAGCCCGATGCAGCCGCACAAGGCGCAGAGCGAGGCGGCCTCAGCAGCGCCGCAGCAGCGCTCCAACGAGGGCGCCACCGCCAGCTCATCCGTGCGCGACGGCTCCGACGGTTCTGATGACTGGGAAGATGTGCGCGCCCCCTTCCAATAGTCGCTTCGTTGTGTATCCCGATTGGTTGGTCTTGTCCAACAAGAGAAGTTGTCTGCTCAAGTAGTGTCTATCTTGAGCAGGCATGTGTCTGTTGGTCAAGACCAGCCATGAAGAGGAGCATCCAAACTTGAGCATACTTTATCTGATATCTTCTTTTGTGGGCAAATGTTGTGACGCTTGAAAGCTGTACGGTTCCTTGCTATGGTTGGAGCAGCAAGGCCGTTGGGTAATATCAGGGCGGCTTTCGTTTGAATGCAGGTGTATCAGGTAAGGCGGGCAGCTAATCCAGGCGGCTCGCGCCACGGCAGATCGGTCAGCATGTCGCATGCCGACAGCCCCAGCCCCGCCTACGGCCAGGTTCATATTCAACAGCTCGGCATGCAAAATGTCTATTCTTTTGAACCTCTGGGCGTGCCTTCCATTCCATGGGAGGAAGGCAGCGTTTCGGCTAATGATTTCATACAGGGACAGCATAGACTGTGGGTACCTTCACAACCTCATTTTAAATGGTTATTGAGACGTCCTGTGTGTGTTTGAGCAGGAAGCAGAGGGCGACTGGTTGGGTCCCGGTGATATGGGCCGAAGGGAAGCCAACGGCACGGCCGGCGCGGCGGTGTTTGCCGACAGCAATTTCACGCCCGACCCGGACATACCTGAAGGGCCGCAGGCCCCTGGAACAGAGCGCTACTGCTTCATAGGGCAGCCACTCGCCAGGGTGGGTGCCTTTCTTATTGACTGGATGCCTCGTATTGGAGAAAGCATGCCTGGGAAATGTCTGGGCAACAATTCTGCGCAGCCTGGACCTGCTGCACAGAGCGCGAGAAACGTCCCGAAAATGCATGTCTTTGTGTGTATTTAGATTTCTTTTGGTCTTAGCACCTCCGCGGCAGCACGACCGACCATGCGAGTAAGCCCCATGACACCAGAAGTCTGATGATCTCAGATCTGCAGCATGGGGGGGCCCCAGGCGGTAGAGGTAGGCATTTATTTTGTGCAGCGCCTGATGTGGCGTCTTCTTGTGTCCCCTCACACAGGTGGTGGCTGCGGAGCTGTGCACGGAGGGCAGCAAGGACGTGGTACTCTACAAGATCCGCGTCGCCGACGCGTCCGGCGAGTGGACCGTCTCGCGGCGCTTCCGCAACTTTGAGACGCTGCACCGCGCGTGCGCTCCTCACCGTTCCCTTGCTGTGTGAATTTTGTGGCGCCGTAGACTACTCAGAGCTCCCTCAACGCGCATTGGGCCGTCCCCTTTGCGCGCTCAAATGTCAAATACTGCATTGTGTGGATCAAACCCCAGCTTACAGGTTGAATGCAGACATACTCCTAGAGACCAAACTGGGCCACTTATTATGTCGTCTGCACCGCTGTTTGCATAGTGCATTTGTTGTGGCACTGACGATAGGATCTCTGCAGATCTCTTTCCTGCCCTGCATGGGCTCATGGCGGGCCATCTCTTGCTTGAATTTGATTTCAAATGAGCAATTGTGGGCTTGCATCAGGCTGCGCGAGTCGGCGGCGTACCGGCTGCGGCTGCCGGCCAAGCGCATATTCAGCCAGCAGCACAGCGTCGAGTTTGTGGAGGACCGTCGCCAGCAGCTCGACGCCTACCTGCAAGCCCTGCTCGCCAACCCCGTTGTCGCAGGTATTGACCTCTGATCGTCTTGCTCTAGTAGGGGGCATGTGTGTATGTGCACTCTGCCGTCGAAGTGATCCACACAAAGGGCTCCCCAGCTGCTGACACTGTGATTTTTAGGGGCTCCCCTGTCCTCCTATAGGCAATCACATCTGTACAATAGGACATGTGCCTGATTTTCTGCAGGTGCTCTAGGTTATCATTTTTTTGCTATGTCTGCCAACCAGCAGATAAAGGGGCCTGGGGTCCATGTACACCTCAAGACTGGTGTTCACCCTGTGGTCTGCCAATCACAGCGGCAGACTTTATGAGAGCAGGCCAGTCAAGTAACAATCGCGAAATATACTGACAGAGATGCGCTTGTGCAGGGTGCAAGGAGGTGTGGGAATTCCTGAGCAGGTGGAGCGAGCTGTATGCGCTGGACAGCGAAGGCGGCTTCCTCCGATCTGTCTCGGCCAAAATCCAGGGCGCCAACACAACCATGCGCAGGTGCTGCTTAACTCAACTGTTACTAGCTTGAGATCTGTCAATAAAGGTTTCAAGACCTCAGTAAAGCTTCCAACCCCTTACCTCAGGACACTTGCATGCATTTGCCACAGATACGTGAGGCCTGCCTGGTCGTCTTGTCGCATGTTTGCATTCTACTGCCTGTCACCGAGCCAGTGCCAAAGACGCTGTCTTGACATGTGAGTGACAAGTACATATACCGGGTGCCCCTTGGATATTCAGTCAGAGTGTGACACTTGAATTGGATCCTCTGCGCAGGGCGGTGGGGGACATGGTGGAGGAGATGGACATGACGCGCCGCAAGTCGATGGCGCGGCTGCGCAACCGGGGGGACGCTCCCGATGTTTCCCTGGACGGCCAGCCCATGCACAGGGCCTCCCGGTCCTTCTCCAGGGTGCGCCTGCTGCCTTGCTTGCCTTGATAACGTGCTGGAGATACAGATCTACCGCATCATTGGAGCTCATTCTGGCTGTGCTCCATGGCACCTTGCCGAATGCATTCGCAGCTGCAAAGGGGACCTCCCAACATTGTTGGACTGACTCCCTTCACCAGCAGTGAGCGCACATGTGTACACAGCGTGTTGTTTTGGATGTTGTTTAACTGAACCTGCGCTGTTCAGGACCTGGGAAAATTGCGGCACTTGGGGGGCGGAAGGAAAGCAAATGGCGGTGGCCAGGACGTTGTAACCCAGCCGCCCCCTTTCCAGGTGCCTTTCAGGCTTGCGCTGCCTACCATGTCCATTTTAAGTCGTGTGCACGTAGGAGCACATCTGGTGCTTCTCGCTGTAGACCCTTATATGAGCGTTTGACTCCTGCAGCATTGCAGTTGTCCCTGGAGTTGGCAATCAGTGCAGCTGAAGGAAGCCAAGCGCCCGTGCAAGGGTGTACTGCGGAAGCCACGGACATGCCCCGCGTGATCTGCTGAGTCCCTGAGGATTCCTCCGCACGATGTGTAAGATCTGGGGCTGAGTTGCTGGCTGACGTGTGCGCAGGCGATGCATGCGCCGGGCAGTGCAGGCAGCAGCGGGACGGGCAGCGGGAGTGTGCGCATGCTGCGCATCAGCGGCCCCTCCGACCTCATCAACGGCGCCGGGCAGCTGCTGGCTGCCGGCGCTCGGCAGGTGCAGGGCGTGAAGCAGGTGCTGCAGGTGTATTCATCTGACAGACTCCCGTTTTTTGTACTTCCCCCTGAGACAATGTACTGCTGGCGAGTTTTGTCTGCGCCTGCCCTTCAGGCAAATCCTCCAGAAGAACCGGCTGACAGAGGCTACTTGCTTTTTTGCTGTCCATCATGAAAGCATCTAATCATGACGGTACTGTGCTTGCACTGCCTGTCCGCACTGGCCTTGGGGGCCTTACTGGGTGAAGTGGCACTTACCTTTAGAATGGAGTGCCAGCCATTGCCAGATATCCAGGAATCCAACCAGCCTGCATCTTTAATGGTAAGAAATGGCTTGAAAAGGAAGTTCACAGCACAAACCTTGTCCCGCAAGGCTTTTGCTTGCGAATTTTGTTTTGAGCCTTTCTTGATTCCGCAATTCTGTTCTAGGACATGTGCTGAGCTAGGTGGCATTGTAACAGGGCGCGGAAGACAGGCCAGAGCCGCGGCATTTCCCAACGTCGGCGTTGATGCCGGCGCCGTCGTTCAGCGTGGACGACATTCCCGTGGAGGAGTTCCATGGGGAGCTGCTGCACTACTCCCGCCCCGCCTCCCTGCAGAGCCAAGCCAATAGCCCCACCGAGACCCCCCTCAGGTGGATATGCCACTTCTTATTTCTCAATATAACAGAGAAATCAGACAAGAATTGCCACTGCTTTTGCGCCTTCCTGAAGCCTCTGCTGTGAGGACTTTGAATTAGGGGAGGGTGCATCTTGAATAAGGAGAGGTTTAATATTGCATTGCGATTTTCTGTGCCTCTCCGCTGTGAAGTGTGCCCATGAAAATGTTAGCAGTGAAGCTTCAAAAGTCGAATTGGACCTCTCTGCGGTGTCCTGGCATGCACAAGCGCCAAGAAACTACAGTCTGTGAGCTGAGTAATGGCGTTAGGTTTCTTGCCACCCCTGATGTCTTTCTACAAGTAGGTCTTTTGGTGAACGGTGCTATGAATTTTCTGCAGTGCGACACCGGCCAGCTCCAGGGGCCACTCGCCAACCAGGCAGGCGGCGGAGCAGCAGAGAGGGGGGCCCGCCGGTGGGACCCAGGTCCAGCGGAGGACGGAGGCAACGCCGCCGCACACCGAGCAGCTGCACCACTCCAGCAGCGCTCAGGACCTTGCCTCCACCGCCAAGGTCACGCGCTTCAGACAGGTGCCACATCAGGCCCCCTCTGCTCTGTGCTTTCTCACGTTTCTGTCGCCTTGATTTGAGACCCCGCCACCCGTCTCTATCGTTACAGACACACCCCACATCAGGCGTGGCGCTTGATGCTCTACAAGGGACGTCATGTGTACCATGTCTGACGCTTGACGTTGTGGCTTTCAAGCTTTGCCAATTCTGTGATTGCGCACATGCCTTGCCTGAAGAAATGTGCACAATCACAGAATGACCTACTGTGCAGCTCCTAAGCTGTGTGCCTGGGGCCAGGAATCAATGCAGAAGGCCAACTCGCTCGAGGCCCCCGACACCTCAGAGCAGCAGGCGGACGAGGCCGCGCTGTCGCGATCGGCGCCCTCGACGGGGGGCACCCCCCAGCCGCCACAGCCAGGGGAGCCCCCGCCGCCGAAGCCGCGGGGCCCCCCGCAGCGGGGGGACACTGGCCACATCAGCTTTGGGGGCATTGTGCAGTCGCCGTCCGTTGCCAGCGTTGCGGCCAACATAGAGGCGGTTGGGCCGCCCTCCGGGCTGCGTGTGCCTGACCTCATGCGGGTGCGCACTATTTCCTTTCAAGTGTTGCATGGCGGCATCATTCTGTCTTTTGTGGGCATAGTTCTATTGCAGTGTGCACGGCTGTTAAGGGGAGTTGGGTCATCAGTATGTGAAAAAATTCAAACGCGTTATGGACTTGCTGGGGGTGCAATGCAGAGTAATGATAAAGCAGCGCTCAATGGTATTTTGTGAGCTGCCTGTGCCTCTCACATGATATTGCGCAGAGCGTGTCCTTATCAATGCTCTGTATGTTCAGCTTGGGGGATGCCTTTTCTCCAGTTCTAAAAGTTTTTGCGGGGACGAGCAGATCAGATTGGTCAGGATTTGACTGTGGCAGATCTGATCGTCAGGCCCCACAATGGCTCCTAATTCTGGATCTGTGATCTACCGCATTGAGAAATTAAGCATGCTAGATAACCAGTGCGCACCGCCTTGCATAATAGTGACGGGACAGCGGTGGCTAAGTGCGCGCGCAAGTGCAGGATGATCCGGACATGGCGGATTGGGAGGAGGCTGCTGGCATCTCCGCGCCGCTGTACGACATAGTGGACACGCTGTTCGAGCTGCAATCGCGCGGCTTCTTCCGCAGACAGGTCGGCACCCTTGTGGCTTCGAATTCTGCATCAAAACCATCAAAGCTATCAATGGACTTGGAATGGCATTCAATCCTTCATGAGAAGCATTGTCCTTGCCCTCTGCACCTTCTCTGCACACACCAATGCAAATCTTCACGGGATTGGCAATTCGCCTTCCTTCCATCTCCACTTCAGGCTCCTTGCGTTCTCAGCATGCATCCGGAGAAACATCTCGCAGAGCAATAATGTCCTGCCTGGGTGGACGCCTTAAGGCTGCAAGCAATCGCGGTGGAGGCTGCTGACTTCAGCTGCGCAACCCTGCTGACATCAGCCACATCACTGCGCTAACATCAGCCACATTGACTCTGCTGATGTCAGCGCTGCGCATGTGCGCGCAGGTGTTTGGCGTGGCGCGTCAGGTGCTGTCGCTGGTGGCAGGCGGCGCGATAGACGAGTGGCTGCTGAGCAACATGCGCGCGCTGCGCCAGGAGCACACCCTGGCGCGCCTCCTCTGCCACCTGCAACGCCAGCTCTGGCCCGGCGGCGCCTGGTTCCAATCCCTCCCCGAAAATCAGCACCCGGTGCGCGCTGATTCTTGCAGCATGCCAGCTGTCAGACTTGGCAGACTACCGTAGGAACATGCAGTACCAGTGCATGGATCATAAGTGTGCTGAGATCTGGGCTCCCTGAATACAGGCCCTTACATTTCACGTGCACCAGATCCTAGGTTGAACAAATAATTATGTTCAATTACTTTCTGGGAGGAGCCAGCCGTGCTTGATCTTCATATGCATGAGGCTGCTGTTGCTGCGCTCTGTGCAAATGCCCCCAGCCTTCATGAGTCGTCGCGTCTTGACCGAATGTTTTTGGGACGCATTCAGCTAACAGCAATCGTGGGCATGCAGGCGGGCAAGCCGGCGCAGCGGTGGGTGATGACGGCGGAGAATTTTCTGGCGGCCCACGGGGATCCGCCCATTGACGAGGACGAGATCCGCGAGGCCGTCTGGGAGCTGCTCTTCGCGCGCGCACCCCCCGCCCTTGTCAGGGTCGTCGGCAAGCAGGTCTACCACAGGTAAAGCGCCCCACCTACTTTTTACAGAAAGAGGAATGCTGACCTCAAGGAACCAGAGCGCCAGAAGATGGAAGAAGAGCAAGTGCTTGTCATGCAACCACATTACGAGGGTCCCCTGGCGCGGGTCGTGTACACTTGCCGTTGGCGATCAAACAATTCTTGGGTCAGCATGCATGTGTATTTGGAAGCGTTCAGGTGAACACCGAGGCTTCATCTGCGTGCGTGCAGCGGCTGAATGGCGAGCTCACTAGGTTGACTTATGGAACTTGCCCGCCTGAACTCTTATTGGCGTTCTGCCCACAAAAAATTGCGCCTCAGGAAACCTATAAAGGGCTGGCGTGAATGTGGGCTATTGTGTTTGCAGCGGCATGGCGGACCTGTTTGAGATGATGCAGTCGCGCACCTTCATGCAGCAGCTGGGCTACGGCCTGCTCAAGATCGGCCTCGTCAACCTGTTCCCCGAGCTTAAGCTGCTCTTCCGCAAGATCGAGCGGGGGGCCCTCGATGCCACCGCCGGCCCACCGGGTCCCCCCATTACCACTGCAACTGCCAATTCAGGCTCGGAGCCTTCGCATGCCGCAGCCCCAGCAGCTTCATCAAAGCCTCCAAAACACTGATTGTAGAGCCCCTTGAACTGATCTGCACTCTGCAGATTGGATGGAAGGACATCTCTTGTCCTTTTCAGGCGTTTCGCGAATTTGCTTAGGTCACAACTCAGTGGGCTTGTCAGAGGATCAACCATGCAACAATGTGAACCAGTTTACTCGCTTAAGGAAGGCGCGACATGCCCAGACCAGTGTTTTATAGCTAGGTGATTGTCGTCTTCAGTGTATTTATTGGGCAGGTTTGTATCATTTACTCAGAATCGTCTCAAGATTTGCTGCCATGCATAGTATGAGTGACATTGCGCAGAATGAATGCCGTACTTGTAAATTTACTGTTGCTTTTGCTCAGCTCACACTCCATATGCAGTGCACGGATTGCAGTGTGCAGTGGCTTCCCAGGACAGAAATGGGCTTCCTCTGTTGTGCATGTGCAACTGCGCGATATAACGTGCATGATTACGAGACTTCAAGTAATCAGGATCTCAAGTTCCGAACTTGATCAATGTAAAGGACCCCTCATTAAAGATACATATTAACATCGATAATGTGCGTGTGCAAATCTATGAGAGCCGTAGAGCTGTGCGTCAACATGAAGAGTCAGTGGTCAAGATTTTCCATAGATTAGGTCACACATGCATCTGTAAATCTATTCAGATCCATAATCGATGCTAACTTCTTTCTTCAACATCTATATTAGTACGGTGTATGCTTTTCACCTCCAACAAAACTGTTGCAGCTCAACAGTCCTGAAAGAATTGGTGCAGAACGGCCCAACCCTGGGTGAGTAAACAGCTATTATTTGCGCAAGTCAAGAACTGGCGGGGGTTGCCTTTCAGGCCATGCAAGCAGGATCACATCTCATTCATTTGAAGAGGTTGCCCATGTCCTCTTCGTCCTTTGAGCACTGCTCTGGCCCATTGATATCAACAGGCAAGGGGCGCGACTCCATTGTTGGACTTGAGTCTGAAGGCCATCTCAAGCGTTGGTGCATCACCCAAGAGAGCAGAAAATCAGCCACAGATCGGCACTCACAATGAGAGCTTGGTCTCTGTCTGATTGAGCCAGTCGGGCTGGGGTGAGGAGGAGTCATTTTCTGCTGGCCGCTCGAAGGCTGGGTGCTCCAGAATGGCCTTGAACAGCTGAGTGCCCCTCAGGCAATTGGTCAGCGGCAGGTGCCCCTTGGGTGCGTTGATTGAGTAGTCAAACTCAGCTGGCCATTTCCTGCACCAGGGAAAAAACAAGCGTTGATCTTCTGCAGTGCCACTGGCCAGATTAGAAAACTTCTTTAAAACAGCCACCACCACCATTCCAGGCAGAGCTATACGTTTAAAGCTACCCTGCATTCAGGCCTCTGTGTATGTGAGAGCAATGCGCAGAACACCTTCAACTGTGCAGCCTCCAGCAAGGCAATATAGATGTATAACTTGAGAAATGCAGGCATTGCTTGCTTGCTTGTGTATACAGCAGCTGATCACAAGGTGTGATATTTGAGATCAGCGCATGTGCACCTGTAGAAGTTGTGCTCGCCGTGCGTCCAATCGATGACCTTGAATAGGCGCTCCCAGTAGCGCCTGTTCTGGACCCACAGCTCCTTCTGCGCGCTGTAGCCGAATTTTCCGTCGCTGCCCGCGCGCCACAGCGCATCAACCACCCTCAGGTCCTGCTCGGGGATGAACTTCACCTGCGCATGCATCTACTCATCAAGGCATGGGCGGTGTGCTGCAACATTCCGGAATAAACGGCCATCAAAGCGTGGCAGACAAAGTGACAGTCGAGTGAGGGACAGACGACAGGGAAAGCAGGCTGTGGAGGTGACAGGGGTACAGAGCTTGCTGTGGAGCACTTTTAGACTAAAGCACTTTCAGATGGACTGCGGCACTCGCTCACCTCCGAGAAGTACACCCATTTCCTGTCCACGGCTCCTGGACCTGCTAGCTTTATGAGCACTGCGCGAGTTTCATCGTCAGCATCCTGGAACTTGCCCTCTGCTAGGAGGTCCCTCAGCTTTGTGTAGTCAAGTCCCGCCTGTGCTGACACACAAACTATCAAACAGCCAGACCTGCTCCATAATTGCACATGATATGATTAAACCGTAACTGGTATCACCATCCGTGTGGAGGAAGGCTTCGAATCTCGCCTCGGACTCCAAAGAGACATCCTCGATCTTCAAAGATGGCTTTTTCGATGATGATCCTGGCCCGCTGAGTCCGAGCCCAGGCCCTGACAGGCCGCTGTCTGTGAAGAGGCTCACTTCGGAAGATGCTGCTCTGCAAAAGGACTGCTGCCGCGATCTGCTCTTTGATTGCCTGCTCGCGTCTAATGATCTGCTAATATTACTATACCTGCTAGGAATATGGTGTGCGTATACCTTGCAGCCTGGACTCTGCATAGGGAGCACCCTCATGTTTGCGATTGTGTTGCAACCAATTTCTAGTTATAAGTAGACTTCCTTGATGGGATGCGTATTGAATGGTGATACAATCTTGTGCTTTCCTTGGAGCTGTTCCTTGCCCAGATGTTCTTGACGCACAAAAGTTCACGCCACTCAATCCTGGCCTTATCGTGTCCAGCGTGGCAGCACCACCACGGGTGGTGGCGTTCCCTGGAGGTTTCAGCCATGCTGGTTCAGCTGAGGTTAGTAGAGCAGACGATTACTTAATTTATTTGAATCTTTCTTGTAGTTCTTGCATTTGATACTATTTCTTGTACTACCTTGTTTTATTCTGAGGCAAGTAGCATTATTTTTGATGCATTGCTGCCCCAAAAGACGCCTGTACAGAGGATTCATTTTTCCCCGGGAAACATAGCATGGCATGAGGGCTTGTGCTGCTCAGCGCGGCTGGCCGGCAGGGCCTCCAAACCTCCAATGTCTGCTTACCTTTTGCGCATAGCGGGGGGTGCGCCCCCCCTAAACTGGGCCTTTATGCTTAAACTACAGGCCTGGTTTCACATCATGGCTGCATATACACTTTAGTCACTATACGTTATCCGCTGTCATGAAATCAACACATCTTTTCAAAAGTTGCTTTGCAAGCTGCTTTGATCAGAACTTCTCTTCAATATTATTTCTTTCTGAAGTGCCAACAGTGTTCTGAGAAGACAGTGAGAACTCAGAGTGTCAGACTGCAGGCTGCTCAACTGCCGCAGCCACTGACGGTCACCGTGGGTGTCACAATGCCACGCTGGTGCCAACATCATTTGAGATCCATATCCGATGTGAGTCACGATTGATCCTTAGGGCATGGCACCGGCAGCCCACGCACCATGACAGGCCTGGACCCCAATGGCTCACTTCTGAAATATTTTTTATTTTTGGAAGGGCTCCTGGTTGATGACTGCCTGCAGGAATGACACTTCACCTCAGCGAATCTTAGAAGATTGTCCCACGTGGATGCAATTCATAATACCCCATTCAAAGGGTCACTTTTAGGGTAAATGCCTGTGGCCCAGGTGTAAGAGGCAACTTTTCAGGCATGCCACTTGTACGCAGCCTTCGCAACATCGGGCAGTGTGATCGAAAATATTACTGTTGAGTTCTCGAGAAGGTGGCGGGGTTGGGAGAACAGGGAGAACGGGGCAGGGCAGACCGCTGCAGTACGACAGTAGCTCCTCGTTGAACTGGAAGGAGGGTCCAGACATTGCAATGGCTGCAGGCCTCAAGCGGATACCCAGCTTCTCGGGGCGACCAGGATTCCCCAACGGTCTGCAGGTGGGGCGGGCGTGCTGTCAGAGCTGCTGTCAGCGGAGCAGGGAGCTGGATAAAGTATGGAATTTGAGTAGCTGTGCCTCTGGGCGTAGGTGTTGGTTGTGGACGGGGACACCAGCAGCAGCCAGTGCTTGCGGCAGAAGCTGGAGGAGCTGGCATATGAAGGTGATTTGGCGACTTTCAGCGCTTGAACAATGCAATTGGGATTGTTTAACGGCAGTATGAAGAGGCAGAGCAGCTACCCGACTGCCGCCGGAGGAATATCTCTGTTCCATCGCGTGCGAAAGTTGCCGTGCTATATTCGACCGGCCCAATCGATTGTCAGCGGGCGTTGGTATCTATTGGCAGTCCCTTGCTGGGGTAAAAAGCCTGCAGGGCGAGGCTGGTGACTGCTGGTCAGCTAACCATCTCCGGTTTGCTTGCTCGCAGTCAGCTGCTGCTCGTCCGGATCTGACGCTTCGGCGCTCCTGCGCAAGGAGGACTCCAGCTACGACATTCTCCTAGTTGAGGTGCGCGGTGTACTCCCGCTGGTACTTTAATGGTTCCTCGGCCAAGGATGAGGGCGTGTGCCAGCAGGGTCGTGATAGATCTCTCGTTGGTCTGGGCGCGTCGTCTTGGCGTGACAGCTCTCTGAGATGGATTTTGGGTTGAAAGGTGGTGCCTTTTGCGCCATTTCAGCCCGCTACGCCAGCCAAGGAAGAGTTTAGAATGCCAGGGCTCTCCGAGTGTCCCCGCTGGCCCGGAATCGGCATAGCATCGGAGGACAAGGAATCGTGGATCAGTACGCGTACTTCTGAAAATACTGCTTACTTTGCAATAATTCGGGTCGGCTGCCTGGAACGCAGCCCTGGTTGTGTCGTAAGATTGGGCAAGCGTTTCGAGCAGAGCTTCCCAGACAGGATGACTGCCGATCCGTAGTATTTCAGCGTCGATCGGATGTCAGCTGGCGCCGCGTACACATTGATGGCGCTAGAGATGCAATATGCGCGGTGCGCGTTTCTTTTGGGGCAGGAAATAGGGACGGGCGGAGGTTCGTAATGGTCCCATTGGTCAGCTGCTGTTGGGGCTGATGCTGACTCGTCAGGAGCTGGACAAGCTCACAGCAAGCTCTAAATTTCTACCCCAATTCAGCAGGCTGGGCTGACGGGCCGTATGCTGGCAAATGCAGGCCAAAGCTCTGGCAAAGGATGCTACTGATGGAGGCAGTCTCAGAGATTCTGCAGCGCACCTGCCGCTGGTCCTCATGTCAGAAAAGAGCAGCAGCACAGACGCTGTATGGCGAGGCATAGAGCTCGGGGCAGCGGACGTTCTGGAGAAGCCGCTGTCCTCCTTGAAGCTGCGCAACATCTGGCAACATGTCGTTCGCAAGGTACTTGTTTTTTGACAGGTTTTCTCCGGTACACAGCACTTCATACACGTTTGCTTTATCAGGCATCCCGTATCTCCCTCCCAGTGAGCTCAAATGCAATTATTGCAAATGATCGACGCCTTAAGGCGCAAGATAGCTGGGTTGCCGTGTTCGTTAGGCATGCCATTGTAGCAGGAGCTCCTTTGCAGATCCATGACAGGCAGGTGGGATATTTTGCAGATGATGAGCTCGTCCCAGGACAGCAGCAGGGAGGCGGTGCCCTGCAAGATGGAGCCGAAGAGCAAGGGCAAGGGCGTGTCAGCGCCCTCCAGCCCTCGCACTCCCTCCCCTGCAGCCTCCCTCCTCACCATCAGCAGCGGCACGATGACAGAGAAGAGCTGCAAGGGCGGCGGCGATGAGGCCTCCTTCTCAGGTGCTTACCTGCCCTTTGAATTTGATTAGTCCTGCTGCACATGGTCCGCCTTCACCCAGACGCTCGTGGCATCTTATGCAGCCCTTCTAGATATTAGATCATGTCCTGTCCGGCGTGTGAAGAGTTCTGGGTGTATGCTGGCCATTGGGAGTTTGGGTACAGGAGTTTATTGCTTGGTATTGGCTTAAGTAATATTGGATACAGGTGTGGGAGATGTGAAGATGTCCTGCTCGGCAGAGGCGCCGGAGCCCTGCGATTCGCGCGCGACCGCTGAGTCACCCGCCAGCACGCAGACCAAGGTCACGTTCCCGGGGTGCTTGAATAGCGGCGGCACGGCGCTCGCGGCTAGCAAGAATTGCAGCCGCAAGAGAAAGGTGGGCAGCAATGCTACACTTACGCTTAGTGTGACCGCCCTGCAAAACTGTTGTGGATTCTTGGCTTGGCAGAGCTTTGTACCCTGAGCTTTGGCCAGCTGGAGGATGGCCACAACGGCTAAGCATGGATTTTGCTGTATGGCCAGAAGTGCGCAATAAGTCAAAGGCTCTCCTGCCCTGGCTCTTCGCCCGCTCAAGGCGGAAAGGATGTACCAAAAATCACTTGTGCGAGGTGGTGGAGTTGGCAGCTTACAAAGTGGCTGACCTGGTGATGCTGCTTCAGGCAAAGGCGCCGGACACTCCTGCATCGGTGGCGAGCCGGCCGCCTCTGGCCATCAGGCCCCCCGCATGGGCCTCCCCATTTGGTCCCCCCCACCAGGGCAACACCCACGTCGTCGGCATGGCCCCGCCACAGTGCTATATGCAGGTGGGACATCAGTTTGTACTCCCTACCTGACGCAATGCGAGTTCATCAAAGCCAGGGCCTGTCATGCAGCGCTGATTCATGCATTAGGCACAGGGCACAGGGAGAGGCAATTGCAATCTGTACCCTGCTGGGCAAGGATTATTCTCACATGCCTTGTCGTCCTCGTCGTATGTTTGCTGTCGATCCTGGCTGTTGCGTAATTCTGGCCCTAAATTGCGAATCTGCGGTCCTGAAATGCGAATCTGCGGTCCTGTATAACTACTTCTCTCGGGAGGCTGCAGCCCGGGAAATTTCAACAATACGGGGTAGTGACCATCTAACTTTTGTGACACAGGGGGTTGACCCCACGAACGGGTGCGTATGGGGCACGCCAGCAGGGGGCGTCAGCCAAGCGCCAGCCTACATGCCCGGCTGGGGCTTCTCGCCGCAGCCAATGCTTTCCGGCAGCTTCTTGCAGCATCCCTCCACCAGCGACCTGCACAAGTGCCCCAGCGTGGTGAGCTTGCCGACTACCAGCTCTGCTCTTGTCTCGCTTCAATTCAAGCTGAAACGCTTCAGCAGCAGGGTCCTTTCAGGGCGACATCCCATGTCAATGTCCTCATGTCAAGCTTACAGCCAACGGTTTTGCATATCCTGCAGCAGCAGCCAGCTAGGGGCGGGTCCTTTGAAAATGGTTCCTAATACCCCTGCTCATATGCTCACGCGCATTGTTCCAAAGGCATCTGGCACGTTTGCAAGGACCTGATCGGCCGATATATTTGCTACCACAGGGTGCCAGCAGCCTGGCAAGCAGCCTGGACAGCAGCCTGACGCTGTGCGGCTTTGGCGCGGACCTGCCTGACGACGATCTCCTGTTGGAGGACGTGCTTCTGCCGGACGAGGATCTTCTGGACTTGGCCCCAGATGAGCCCGCCACCATGAAGGCCCCCGAGCAGCCGCCCATCGGCCTCAAGCTCAAGAAGTCCGCTTCACTCATCGACCTCATCAATGCGCAACTGTCCGCCGCCACCGCCTGAGTGGGTCCAGCCTAGAGCGTGCGGATCCACCCCTGCGAAGAATGGGTCCACCCGGAGGGTGTGGGTCAACCCCGGCGCTGAGTGGGTCCATCCTGGCGGCAGCGGCGCGCCTTGGTGGCCGTGCATGCGTTCACAATAGCGGTGAAGACAGGGAAAGTTTTATCCACACACCGCATTGTTTCAGCGCTGAAATCTGCCTGCCGCGCAGAGGTAGCAGGACCAATTTTGTGCCCCACTGAGCGGCAGCAAAGCATCATTCAGAGGTGCCCATCGTCAGCCATCTAATGCCGGAGGGTCTTTCAAAAGAGAGCAAGGGGTGGGACTTAGGCTGGAGTGGGTCCAGTATCTACTTTGTGACAAGGACAAAAATATTGGGCATTCCGCTACAGAACACATCTACAGCTGTGGGCCATTGTGGCTGCACCCGTCTCCGTCCTGTCATAAGTGATTTCCACGTGGGAGAGAGATGGCCTTCCTTCTTAGGCCTCAAAACCCGGAGGGGTTGATTTTTGGGCGAGGGAGTCGAGAGGGTCTGGTGTGTGCGGGCAGCTGGGTCCTAGGGGGATTACTAGGTTGGTACGGGGGTTGGGAAACTTGCCAGGGGATGCCTAAGGTGGCAGTGGTTATGTGATGGTGGCTCCCCTGCAGCAAGCCGTGTCCAGCAGCAATTTTGTCTCCTCTCGCTTTTCTTCGAGTGAGTCTGTGGGGGATCCGTTTTCTTAGAGAGGGGGGGGTGTCCTTCAGCCGCGCGGCAAAGGCACAAAAGTGCGAGTCTCAAAGGGCGTATTTCGCCGGCCAGTGTGCGGCGAATTCATCGCTAGCCATCCACAGTGTGATATGCGCTGATATTGCTCAAGGAAAAGACAGACCCTAACCGGCCTCTGGTATTGGGGCGAATTACCTCGGGGCTTGACCCCTAGCCTAGCATCACCGGCCGGACGGACCCAAAACCAAAATTGAAATTCACAGGGCGTGCCTGTTCCACATTGCGTGCCCTGGGCTTGCAAATTGTTTTTTTCTGTGTGCGCACTATCAAATCGCCACCTTGGTAGTACTTGTGGGTTCCCCCCATAATCTTGGGGGTCCCAGTCGTGGCTTATTTGGACCTCACTCATTGGACCCCAGCCAATGCGCTGCCGCAGGCTGGGGTAGAGAGTGTTTGTGGTCCCATTCTTTTATTGAAGGTCTGCTCATTGTTGTGCGAGTGGCAGGTCGAACAGTCTGCATGTGTTTGCGGCACCAGAGAGCATGCTCTCGACAGCCGCTGGCAGTATTGAGCTTATTCAAGCAATTTTTGCCCCAAGAGATATCATGCGCTGATGAAAACTTCAAGCACCGCCAGAGTTCTGGGGTGAGCGACCGCTGCATCTCCCTGTGAAGGGACAACTAGACTCAAGGAGTGAGGATCCGTTTTTGCAGACGAGCGGTGTGTTGAAAGGGGTGAAAAGCCCCCAAATTGATGTTGAGATACTTCATAAGGGACTCGAGTTACCGGGGTTTGATTGAGAAGAGACGCCGAGAAGCAAAAAGTTGTACAGAAGGGAGACAAACAGCTCTGCAGCTGTGCAAGATGAGATGACAGGGCCGGGCCAGAGGCTCTTGAGAGGCAAGACACGTGGGAGAGACAGGGAACCTGTGTGTTGAGACTGCTCTTGTACACTGCCCAGAACTTACACCTAAATTCAAGATGCAACGCTACAGGGTGTTTGCCATGACGCGCGCGTCAAGAGCTGAACACCGGAGGGTGGGCACTGCACAGAGCTTTCTTCGAGCACATTTTGGGTTTTACTCTGGATGGTGGCCTGGATTTGCGTTGGATACTGTGTGGTCAACTCAAAGCAGTGTGTGCAAGCTGAGTACCCATGCTTATGCGCGGTGATGAGGCCGCTGCCATGACCTTGCCCTGGTGTTTGCCGTGAGCTGCAAACATGATGTCAGATATGCAATTGAGAAGGCCGTGTGAAATCCCTGATCTGGCTGTTGTTCGGACACTGTATGTCTGCATAGTGCTGTTCTGACATTACATGCATTATCATGATCTGATCACCTCTGATGGCAGTGTGCCTGTCATGATGACCGAGTCCATTGGCATGCATGCCAGGTGTTTTCTGTGGCGTCCGTTCATATCTTGGTCGCTCTCTTCATTTGTACTGATCACATTTGTTCCACTTACTACAGCTCTTCCATCACCTCAACAGTCCCTCATCATGAACATGATGTGCATAAAAAAATTTAGGGACTCGTAGTCAACCGTTGTTGAAACACAAATTTGTGCACAAAGCTCAACTCTGAAGACCGCCCGCACCGCGCAGCTTAAGAGTGCACTGCCCACATGACCAAGAAGCGCACTGCCCAAAGAAGCGCACTGTCCATCTCTACGAGCAAAGGTAGATAGCCCGAACTAGAGAGATGTCGACATCATGCTTTCTAGACCACATTTTGGCAACAAAAAAATGCATGCTTGGCATCTGCCTACCTGGTGCATCTGAATGCTGCCTGCTGCAGCACAATTCTTTGCTTTAAAGACAATCTTTTGATGTCTGCATATAATTGATCCTGTGAACGGATAAGCGCTTATGGATATGGGCTTGAAAACGCTAGCACTAAATGAATGTCAGAATTAGAGGAGGCTTCTTCAGGTATGCAGACATCAAGGCAGAGCGAACGCCAGAAAGAGACAGGGCATGCCTCGCAAGCGTACATCATGCAACAAGTATCTGCCGTATTGATCCCCCGGCCCAGGAGCACTAATGACCATATTGCAGACATGCATGCAAGTGTGGCTTGATGAGTACCGTATTAGGGCCCCAGTCACAGACAGCATTAAACATATCTGGGAAATGCTTAACGACATCAATAGTCAGACACCAAAGAGAATTGTCCAGTCTGTGACCTGCCCGGAAGATCTGAAGCAGCTTTCTTAAAATGGATTACAAGAGCATGACATGCAGTGCCCTGCAATTACAAAAATTGTAATGGACTAAACAGATGATCCCTTAGGGACAATGAGAACTGGCGATTGCTTCAAAGCCTCTCATACTAGGTAGTACCTAAGAATCTCGGCAGCATGCAGCACAAAACAATAACAGTCTTTGGTCCTCTCAGGAAGATGTCACCACCCGGATACTCTGTCCACCTCTCCACTCCAGGCACCAGGGAGCCAACAGGAAAGGCCTGGGCCTTTGTCACAGCGACTACCATGTGCCGTACCAACAAAACCCATGCAGGCAAGCCAGCAATATTCCCTTCTGCACCCGCCGTTCAATCGCGCAGGAGCACAACAGTGCGCTGCCAGATCAAGGTGAGGCCCAATTCACACAGCAGTGGCAGCACAGACGCGCAGGTCAGAACTGCTGTCCACACAAGCCGTGGATGCATTCCCACGCATCACAGCACACCACAACCACCCAAAAGGGCTTCCGCTGCGCTCAGAGCACAGCAAAATCGCCTTATACGGCTCCTGCCGCGCTCAGTAGCAGGGGATGGGCGCGGATGACTCGACGCCGTCGGCGCCGGCGGCCACGGTCTTGCCGATGAAGAGCTGCATGAGCTCGGCGGCAAATCGCTCGAGCACGGGCAGGCGCTGCAGGTTCTTGAGCACGGCGGGCGCGTCGGACTGGCCGATGGCGATCAGCTTCCTGTTGAGCACGATCAGCTTCTCCATGTGGTCCCAGAACTCGGGCGTCTCGCAGTCCGGCACCTCCGGGAAGATGCGCGCCGTAGTCTTGTTGGTCTCGATGATCACGTGCCTGCGTGGCAGCGGCACATTGGTTCCGAGTCCCAACTGTTGATTGTGACAGCCTTCGCGACAAGCTCCATGGCAATGCATTACACAACTGGTAAACCAATGCTTGCGCTGACACTGCAGCAATGCAGAACTATATTGCTGACTAAACTGGACAACTGCACAGCATGCTCAGCTACTGTATTGCTGTTACAAGGATGGACAAACTGACAGCCTCTGCGATGCGTAAAAGGGAAGGTGAACCAATGCTTGCACTGACGTATGCAGCACTGAGGTCAGCCAGTTCACTCCTCGGCACCAATTCAAGAGGCTAGCTGGCTCAGCTGTGGCTTCGTCAAGGCAACGTTGCAGGGCATGCGAGACTGCAGAGAGAGCGGGCGCAGCAAAGGCACAGGGCGGTGCAAAGAGAAAAATGAGAGGCGGGCACCTGTTGAACTGGGTGGTGTTGAGGCCGAGGGACTCGTAGAAGGCGGATCGCTGGTGGTCGTTCAGGTACATGGTCACGTACACCGACAGGCAGAAGAAGCGGCTCCACAGCTTTGACGTCCAGCCGTCCAGGAACTGTGACATGCACACACCACCTGCTGTCAGCAACTTTACACGCAACACAGGGCAGATTTTGACTCTGCGCCCACAGGACAGCTGAGTGCTGACACCATAGTGACAAATGATTGCTGCTAGGTTGCTGACAGTGCAGAAAATCGACGGCTGTGGCATGCCAGCTCACAACCCACGATGACAAGAGATGAGCCAGCTGTTCTGTATAGCACAGGCTGCTCCGGGGATACACAAGGCTGGTAAGGAGCAAACAGAGAGTAGTCCCTCCTGGGAGTCGGGCCCTTTTCAAAGGTAAACGAGCATATCAAAAAGGGCATCAAAATACACACCTGGGGCTGCGACTTGAGGATGGCTGAGAAGAAGTCGCCGTGGCGGTTCTCGTCCTGGCACCAGTTCTCAAAGTACTCAAAGAGCGGGTACAGCTGGTTGTCCGGGTTGCGCTGCAGGTGCCTGTAGATGCTGATGTACCTCCAGTAGCCGATCTGCGCAGTATCATGCATTGTTTGAGTCATTTTGCAGCATCCCAGCTTCTCGTTTCACCTTCGTCTGGTCTGCCAAGGTGACCTAATAGCTTGGAGACTCTGCACAATAGGTCTGGGCATGGATGCATTCCTCACAAGCGGGGTACAGACGGAATTGAGCACCAGAAATGTTGCAGCCTTGCTGGAGACATGTTCAGCTGATGCAACAGGCAAGTTCAGTAACTATCACACGTGTCTGCAGCAGATGACAAGCGCCGAGCGCGAAGATAGAAAGCTGACGGACCTTCTCTGAGAGGTAGGTGGCGTAGAAGATGTACTGCGGCCGGAAGAAGGTGTACTTCCTGTTCTTTGTGAGGAAGCCCAAATCCAGGGCCAGGTTGAAGTCGGACATGGCTTTGTTCAGGAAGCCCGCGTGCCTCGCCTCGTCCCGTGACATAAGCGTGAAGATCTCCGCCACTGCGGATGTGCATATTTCGAGCAATTAGCCTCACCACAGACAATTTCCAGGACAACTGATAATAATGATATGAGCAGTCACACTGTGCAGGATAGGATTGTGTGCATAGTTCTGGAGCTGTCTGGCTTTAGCATTATTGCATGTCATAGAACTGCAGGTAGGTGTTTCGACAATCTATCAGGTATGGTCAAAATATTACTGAAGCTTTTGGGCACAGATCGTTTCCTACTAGCCAAATGCAGACCAAGGCTGGACAGAGAAGCTGCTCACCCACGGGGTTGGTCTTCTTCAGACGCCTTCCAAGCTCCTTGTAGAGCAAGAAGCCCGAGAACTCTGCTGTGCATGACCGCTCCAGAAACTCGATGAATATCTTGCGAGCTGGGCCTGTGATGTTGTCTGCTGCCTTTTTGAAGGTCTCATTCCTGACGAAATGGGTCTGGTTGTAGTCTGTTCTGAACTCTGACAGCATGGCATCGAACTCATCCATCTCCAGGGTGGGATTCTTCTCCAGGCTGAAGAGCTCCTCCATCTCGTCGAAGTCTGTTGTGTAGAAACGGGGCGTGAGCACTGTCTCGTCGGCTGCCTCCTTGATGCCCTTCCGCATCTGCTTGAATCCTAGCGCCGCATCACCGGAGGTGGACGCAACCTGAGCAGCGGCACGCGCAGGCACTGCACGGAATGCAGCCTTGCTGGGCCGCACGCTCTGCCGAAGGCTGACCCGACCGCCCAGCAGGCTGCTCGCGAAGCCCGAGGCTGCCATGGTGCTCGCTCTGCTATTATCTATCTGATCACAGGAGAGCTCCCCACAGATCTTCTGCCGCTGGCTGCCTGTAAGCCTCAGATAGCTAAGATTCATTGACCTGCAGCGGGGGGTCCCGAGTGCCACAACAGTGCCGAGATCTAATCCCTATCCTCGGGGGGACCGCTGGGTGCACTTTCCAGCATGGAGCCCCCCAATCTGCAGCATGGTGGAATTTTTGATGGAGACTTGCAATATCCATCTGGTGCAGATTAACCTGCTGCCAATGCATGTAGTGTTCGACAGTCCTTGATTGCATGTGCTCCGCTGAAAGTGGACCCAGGCCTGCAGCGGCGCGGCGCTTTAAGGGTGCTTCCGCAAGTCCTGCCGGGGGTTTTAGTTAAATTTTGGATCCCAACAGCATTGAAGTGAGTTTTGATGGCGCAGGATTTCTGAAGGAGTTGAGCTGCAATGGGTTGTTCGAGGTTCCATTCTGCATGCTTGAGGTTGGGCAGTCAAGAACATCATAATCATTTCGGAAAATCCCCACAAATTTCTTGCCATCGCTATATCCAAATTGTAACAGTACATTCGTATGCGTTTGGTACTCTCTGAGATTTCTGGGAAGAATAGGCTTATCAGATGATCGGGTTCTCATAAAGACTGCCTTAATTTACACGTTGATCAACTCTCCTGTTCAACCCTTTGAACAGGAACCCCTTTCGTAGTGTCCTTGATATCAATGCCAACAGAGATTCAAGAAGCTGACAAAAATATACAACAACATTCTGGAGGAAAGACAGTCCACCGCACATGAGAAACTGGACAAGAAGTATTCCAAGATATACTAAGATTGTGACTTTGTGACCACTTCTCTGCCCATTATCCGCGTACAGGGCCATGAAAGCAGGTTGACATGCTCAAATTCCAATGTAGTACGCTTTCTGCCGCCCTTGTCTGCGCAGTTTGCGTCCTGCACCTGGCCTTCACAGCTAGTGCCGATGAGCACAAGGCGCCTCTCATCATTGCCCACAGGTGACCACGTTGTTGTTTCTCTGGAACGGTCTCTCTTCAGATGAATTTTGTATACTTTGCACTACTTGAGCACGACGCTGAAGCTCAGTTTTGTGAATCATAGGGGCTCCCCATGCCACTTCCCAGAGGAGACACTGGAAGGCTTTAGCAGGGCCATCGAGTATGGCGTCGACTACATTGAGATGGACGTGGTGCGAATTTGTTGCCCTTGTGATCTCCACACAAAGAATGCCTTGCTTTCTTTCTGGTTGATAGTGGGCAGCGCTACTTGAACTTGCAGCTGGGCAGGCACTGCTAGGAACTCAAGAACATGTTGGGCTGAGCAGGTCAGCACCAAGGACGGCCACCTCATATGCAGACACGAACTGACGCTAGATGACAGCACGGATGTCGCGGACCATCCCGAGTTTGCTGAGCGCAAGTGAGTGTCCAGCCTTGGTGCCTTCCCCAGAAGCTCGCAACATGTATAAATTGTCCAGGACTGCCAAAAGTGACCGACCCACAGGAGTCCAAGATTCCCTCGAAGCGAGCTGGACACTACGAACAGTACAATCCATGCAGCTATCTTTCGTCTTGTTTTTGAGCATCATGTTGGTGCTGTTGTGATGTGCATCTCCTGCCTGCAACAGCACTGATGGTGCCCGTGATCAAGAAGGAAGATACCTAGGCATAAAAGGGGGCTGCAGCCTGGAAGCTCTGTAGTGTGGTCCTCGATTTCAGATTTGAAGGGCGTGTTGTTTGTATTTCACCCAAGGTGGGCCACAACACTGCCCAGCGGCCGGGAACAGAGCGGCTTCTTTGCCGCAAACTTCACGCTGCAGGAGATCCGCACCCTCTACGCCAGGCAGGCCATCCCCTTCCGCAACCAAGCTTCCTCACACAGCTTCAGGTGCGCCCCCCTCTCTCTCTTGCCAGATGTACACTCTGAGGGGAAATATCATTCATGACAGCTAGCAAACTGTTCCCCAGCGTTCCCAAGCATAAGATTGGTGAAGGCAACGTCTCTCTCTTTTCGCCACATTGCCTTGAGATGCAGTAATGCGGTAACGTGGCAGCAAGAATGCCAAGAAAAAGTTGAAGAGAGCCCTGCCTGTACTGCTTGGCAATCTTTGGCAGTTTGCAGGACTTATCACCCCTCGTCTCTTGCTTACATTTCTGTCCTCACCATTGCAGTGAGACACATGCCCTGAATCCTTTCACTGCAGGGTGTACGCACCTGATTCTGATGCATTGGAGGGCGTGTTTTGATTAATGCTAGTAATTTCTGCAGGGTGAGGACGCTGCCAGAGGTGCTTCAGCTGGCGATGAATTCCACTGAGTCTGGCCGCCCGGTTGGCGTATACATAGAGACAAAGGGGCCGGCCTTCCACTCCAGCATCGGGCAGCCCCTGGAGGCCAGACTGGTGGACGCTCTCATCGCAGCCGGTTATGGGAAAATGGCGGCCGCACCGCTCATCCTGCAGTCCTTCGAGCTGCAGGTGACACCTGAAACTGTGGCTTTCGAACTGGATGTGTGTTGAAGCATGCTTTTGAAAAGCTTCTGTTAAGGAGGCTGCTGGGTGTTCACATGAGCCGTGGCGAGATGTCAGCGTTGCTTGTTGAGACTGTTGAGATGTCAAGAGTAGCTTTTAATCTCTCAACCTGTGCTGAAGCGTGCTTTTGAGGAGCTTTCTCACTCAGACTTCTGGGTGTTAATCTGAGACGTGGAGGGATGGTCACCTTTGCAAGCACCTGTGGATGTTTGAGTATTGCCACAGGTGCAATGCATGCACGGTCATCATCCCAGGTCTCAGCCGACGCTTCAGAAGCAGGAAGTCGGGATCTGATTATATGCAGATCTGAAGAGTTTCTAGGAATGGGTGCGCAGTCGCTGCAGAACCTGTCTAGGGAGTTGGAGGCGAGGGGGCTGCCGGGGAGGGCCGACCTGGTGTGGCTTCTGGACTGCGCTTCAGAGGTCAATGACACGCAGCTGGACGCCTTTGCCACGTATGGCTATGGCATAGGCCCAGAGAAGGTAAATCTACTCTTCTGTCAAGCATTCTCATTTGTGTCTTCCATGCATTGCGGTGTGGTCATTGCCAAGCTGAACACACTTCTGCAAAGGTGACTGAATACGCAACCATTGCGAAGTCTGTAAGGTGCCTTTGACAGGAGAGATCACGTGGTAATGCAAAAACCTAGGCACTGTGTTATCCAGTGCCTATATTGATGCTGCTGAAGTCAATGTTCTGTGCAGCTCTGTAAACTGTTGTGCATGTGTACGGTGAGTGCACGCTGTGAAGATTCCCTGAGAGACACACAGTGCGCAATCTGTCGCTCGCCCAATTGTTGTTCCTAGGAGAAAGCTGCAACTCGTTGCCTGATTTGGACATTGGGTGGTTTTGCAGAGCATGGTGGCGACACTGGACCTCGCGCCGGAGTGTGCGCGGTCAGAGGGCGATGCCTGCAGCGCTGTGTCGCCCAGTCAGACGTGCACCGGCCGGCTCACCACGGCGGCGGCTGCCGGTGCGGCCGCGCGGAGCGGTGCCACTGTCAGGAGTGGGTTGGTCGAGAGGGCGCATGCCAGGGGCCTAGTGGTTCACCCGTACACCTTCAGAAACGAGGTGGGCTGGCTGTCGTGCTGAGTAATCCGCCGAGCGGGAGACCCAGTCACTCCATTGGGTACCAGATATGAACACATGATTCTACATCGTAGTTAGCACTCCATGGAGAAGCACCTGAATTGGTCTTGATAGTATCCTGTCCAGAACTCGCAATGGCAAATCGGATTTCATGAATATTATAGTGCCTGGTCAACTTGGGAAGCAGAACTTGGGACCTGATTGGTATTCTGATTAGCATAGAAGATTGACCACCGGTCAATGTGGCACATCTGCATTAAATTGTGCGCATCACGGACACAATGCAGCTCTAGCAGCTTTGCAATATTCTCATATATTGCTAATGCCCGCGCGTGCAGGGGCGGTTCATGGCGTTGGATTTTGACGCGGACCCTCTGGCGGAGCTCAGCCTGTTCAGGGAACTGGGGGTGGATGGCGTGTTTGTGGACTGCCCTGCCACTGCCGCAGAGTGGCTGGCCACACAGCACCTCACACCGACATCGTGGATAGGATCAGTCATCGGCGGTCCTGGTGGGCTCCAGCAGCTTCCTCTGCTGTTGGATCCTTTAATCGGGCAGAGAATCTGTGGGGCCTGTGCTACTCTTGTACTCTACTTAATCAAACAAGGGGGCAAGTTGTCTGAATGCAAGCCAGCATGCACTGCTGCAAGACAGGAACCTTAATGGTCATGTCCTGCTTGTGCCCAAGGGACAGGCACAGGCAAGCTGCATATAGATGGAGAGTGACTCCAAAGAGGTGTTCCAAGTGTGCATAGATTGTGGCACGGACTGAGCGCAACTTCCCCACTATTGCAGGGCCTCGTCAGTCTGCTGCAATAGCCTCGGTGTCAGTGCTGGCAACACTGCTGGCCATCACCCTGGTGTGGGGCGTTGTCACCCTCGTGCGCCACCGGCGAAGACAGCGGTGCGCAGCCCTCTCCTGCAATCCCCTAATTGCCCATTGCCTGCCGTGTGCCCAGTTCCCTAAGCATTACACAGTAGCCTTCGCCAGATACTGGCACCATTCCTGTTGCAGGGACAAGAGAGAGGTTCCCATTTGCCTGCCTTTCTCCATTTGCTCGTACTCCAGCAAATACAGGACCTTCTGCCAAATGGTGATGCATCCCTCTTTGGAAAGCTTACAGTCTGATGACACCCTTTGTCGTGTCGCAGGGCGAAGTATGATTTCTTTCCAAGCATGTTCAACACGGGGGACCTGACGTGGTACCCCCCGGACTACCGGAGGGCAGTGGTGGACGAGGCCGGCGGTGGCAGCCGGTGCGACTGATATAAAATATCCCCTATCTCAGATATCACTGCCTCACAAACCTGAGGGCGACTCTGCAATCCTAAACCAAGTGTTGTATTTTGGCAGACAAATTTGCTGCCACTCACAAGTGTCAATTCATTGGATTTACAATCCCTGGGCCCTGGCTGGCCGGGGGAAAGGGTACCACTGAGCACCGTGCCCATGGTTGATCGGTACTTGCTTGGATCTGGCAAATTAATCAAGGGGTTTGACATCAGGCAGCCTTTACCTGCAGCTTGTCTGCAGACGCACCTTGCCGCTGGCACCGTATGATGACAATGTAATAATCAATTAATAAGTAGGGATCATCATGGTTGCATCAGGGGGGAGGAGTGCGGGGAGGACACGCCGCTGCCGACGTCCATAATGATGACGACCATTGACTCCCCGCCGCGCATCGCTGAGCGGGAACGCCGTGCAGACAACGCTGCCGGCGGCACATGATCTCCGGGGTAATTAAATAGTAAATTAGTAAATGAACAAATACATAGTTAGATCAACGGGAAGCTGGCGGGGAGCCCCAACGAGAGGACTTCACGAAGGATTGACAGCATGCCGAGAGCCCGTGCAGGAAGGTGTGATCTAGCGTCGTGGGATGCCTGTTTCACAGGCACCCCCATGTGACCTTTGCAGGCCTAGTGCAGACAGCACTGCATGGCATAAGCCCATCAGCACACTGCCAGGTGCCTCCGGCGGACACAAGATTCTGTCTCAAGGCTGTCTTGGAGCAGCTTGTGAATATGAGCTTGTGTGAAGTCTAGCCGTGTCATTGCAGCTGAACAACACAGCTCTTCTGATATGACAGCAATGTGTGCTGGGAAAGACTACAACAGACCTCAGCATTGTTCAGATTTAGCTCTGTAGATCTGTCTAGCTAGATAGCGACGTGTGTCAGGATGTTAACTTAGCTTGAAGCCCAAGTATGCCTCCAGTACACTGGTGCTTTGTGACTTGATTTTCAACGTTTCTGAGCATCTGGTGCTAATGACTGCTGATGGTTTGACTGGATTCACAGTTGCCATTTTCTATCTCTTCAGATGATCAGAGGTGGGCATTGTTGAGTGTCATGTACAGCACGTGCAGATTTCATGCTGGGTTGCCAAGAGAGGCCACCGTTACAAGTAACGTCTCCGAAGTGAAATGTGATTAGGCGCGATCGAAGCTCGTGTGTCGACGTAAACCTCCTCTGTAATTTATTCTTAAAAGTCAGGCTAGCAGAGATAAGCGATCTACGCTGAAAGGCATTGCGGACGACACTGCCGTCATTTGCCATGCAGGTGAGAGTTTGCTCACTACGACATCTCTTGCCCACAATGCTTCACACTGTACTAAACTTTCGAAGTTTGAAGTTATTGTTCGAATTATACAAAGAACTCTTCCTCGAACAGGCTGTCCTGGAGAAGGTCATGAAAGGGTGCCAGCTCTTCGAACGCCAGGACAGTCATTCTGCCATCAGGCAATGGAGGATTGCAGTGGACCAGATGCCACTCTCGATGAAGGTGGAAAGATCTGCTATTATGCGGAACATAGGCGTCGCTTTCCTTCAGCTTGAACGATACCAGGTGATGTTCCGTTGACGTGAGAAGTCTGGGCAGACAATCTAGCTGAGCAATCGGTTGTAATTTGTCCTAAAATTAAATCATCTCCTCTATATTAACAACTGCTGCACTGGCAGGAGGCCATGATCGCCTTTGAGGGGGCACTGGACATCTCCCCTGATCATTGCGCGGCTTACAATCTGGCAGTAATGGCCTATGCTCTGGGCGAACCTGAAAACATGAAAAATGCATTTCTGACCCTCATCCAGGTGACCAAGCAGCACCTGATCAGCACCACTATGCAGTCGAAATTAGCTCACATCCTCAATACATGCGACAGGTGTTTACAGTCCAACGGGTGCATCAAGGACCAACTTGGCAAGATATCTTTCATGTGCATAGGTGCACAAGGCTGTGGAATTGGACAGCAGCGCACACCTCCAGGAACACGAGGAAATTCTTGAGGGGGATGATCCTTTCACCCAAGCTGGCGAGTGAGTATTCCCACATCCCTACGCAATCTCTAACATTCACTCAAGCTGTGCCGCAAAGTTTCTCTGTCTGCCTCAGCTCTGCACCAGGACATCTTTCATTTCCATGAAAGATGTTGGTCAGGTTGATGGCCCGATCTAAGCTCTGCAGGCATGCACCGGCATGATCATGACATCAGCAGCTGACATAAGCCCAGTCCTGTTCTGGCTCAGGCAGGTGCTGCATGCGGCGCGGCTGATTGCCCCGGCAGTGATCGCCGTCGCAGACCCGGACATCGCCAAATCAGGCGGCGCCACATCAGCGGACGGCTGGCGCTGGTGCGCCGCGGCGCTGGCGGCCGCCGGGCTGCGGCGGCTGGCCGGCCAGTTGCGCATGGCGGTGGTGGCCGTGCGCATGCATGCACTCGAATTTGAATCCGCTGAGTGGGCGCTGCAGGTGCGATTTGCTGCTGTAACGGACTACCGCTAGTGAAAAGTGGATTGAGGGTGTTAGCCCGCTTGATTATAAATGATCTGGCTGTAGAGGGGGCCACATATTTGTTGCATGAACGGCATTTCTGTGGAAGTGTAAGAAGCAACATATGGGGCCGTTCCTGCCTGCCACATGCACACACTCCGTCTTGTTCTTCCAGCAAAGTGCGCTGAAAGCTCGGCGTCACGTTATCTGCGCTGCTGTGAAATGTTGTGCTTCAACAAGGAGTGCTCAGGCCATATTTTAGAATTTCCGACCCTCTCTGCAGCCTTTCAAATACTTGCCTGGTATTAGCAGGAGTTTGAGGCCGAGGATATGGGTGGTGAGGTCAGAGCGGCTGTGAACCTGTCCAGCTTGCGGCTTCTTCAAGACCAGCCACAAGAGGCGGAGGCTTCTGCTGAGAGGGCCCTGACTGCAGACTCCAGAGATACCTTGGCCCTCACCTGCCTGGTGAGTCATCAACCTCAATCGACAGCGCACAGGCTGCCAGAATGCTTGCAACCACAGCTCGTATAATCTTAGAAATTCATTGCTTCCATGCAGTACCTAGTCCAGTCAGACAAGTACCTGCCTGCACATGCACCTCATAATGTTGAAAGGTTTGCTGGCTGCGCACAACAAAGTAATCTCAGGTGGAATGCTGGAAACCCGCAATGCAAACAAGAGAGAGGAAAAACGCATGCATGCAGGGAAATGCAAGAACAGCAGCGGGCGATCTGGAAGGGGCCAAGAGACTCTATGTTGACGCTCTGACACTAGATAACAGCTCATACTGTGCCCAATACAACTACGGGTGGGAAGCCTCCAAACGAGCATTTTAAAAGCCCCAGAAATCTCTCTTTTTCTCGACATCTTCATTGGGGGGGAAGTCATTGGGGAAGTCCCCCATGTTTAAAAGGTAATTGCAGGGTGCTTATTCATTACTAATGCATGGTCACTGACTAATGCAGGCTAGTAAGCAAGCGTTTGGGCTATTTGGAGGATGCGCTGTCTGTCTTCAGGCAGCTGCATGATGTCACACCTGGCAGCGCTGATGTCATGTGCCAGGTAAGCCTGTTCAGTAAGCCATGCAGCGATGTATGACGTGTATCAGGTCAACGAAGTACCAACCAGTGCACTCTCCTTCATTGATCCAAGAAAATTTGAGGACTCAGGGCCCGGTGCAGTTGTCAGACGCTCTGCCTCACACTAATCACAATTTCCATGCTTGCTTGCAAGTGTAGAGTGCATTTTCACTCAAGTGCAAACGCAGTCCAGCCACATGTGCACCTTTCCCCGTCTTTTAAACTGCTCACACATCCAATGCGCGCCACACAATGCCCGTTCTTCCACTCTACAACCTCTCTCTCTCTCTCTCTCTCTGCATGGAAAGGAGCCTCTGCTTCACTCTTCTGTAGGTGGCGGACGTCCTGGACCAGAAACAGGACTACACTGAGGCCATCCTCAGGCTGGAGCGCCTCCACGCATTAGTACCAGGCGATGCAGGCATCCTCGCAAAGTTGGCCGGTGTGCATGCCAAGCTCGGCGCGGTGCAAGAGGCTGCCAGATGTCTGGAGGAGGCGCATGCAGCAGCTCCCACAAACTTGGCCATCCTCGGCTCTCTTCTGGACCTTCTGATGGAGCACAAGGTACATTTGGGCTGCCATACCAAGATAGTAATTCATCAAACCCCACAGGCTGGCGAGGCCCGCTATACATACTCAGCACTGTGCCCACAGTTGGTTGGGTTTTTTTATTGGGTCCTGCTTGAATTTGACGAGTCCATCATGGGGTAAATTATGTGACAATACCTGTAGCTTGTCTGCAGACACACCTTGCCTATTGGCAGGGATGGTTTAACACGAAAAAGGAGATGTCAGCCTGCTCTGCACACGTGATGTCACCTGACAGGAAAGGCAGGAATGCAGAGACAGGCCTGGCTCAGGCATAGGGGCCCCTAGAACTTAGAACTGCTCTGGCCCCCTTCGTATTCAGCTGATAGTTTCACCGGATAGCAGGAGTGTTGATAACTGCTCTTGTGCAATTGCAGGCATTTGAGAGGGCTCTGCCTGTTTTGGAGACTGCCAGCTGGCTGCAGCCGCAGGAAGTGAGGTGGCAGCTGACGCATGCATGGTGCCTGCGCCAGACTAGGCCTGCCCCTGTGGTAAGCAACAGTCCCCCTGTACAAGTACACAAAGCCCCTTATGTGGTTCGAATAGCAAGGTAAGTAATTCTGAGCAACGGCCTTTGGTGTCCCGAGGCACACAGGTTGGACGTCCTGAAGGCAGTACATTGCTAAGAAGCTGTAAACCTTTGGCAGCGACCAAGTGTTTGTCATGGTTGCAGGCGCTTGCAGCGTACCAGAGGGTGCATGCTGCGCACCCGCACAACCCTGAGTGCATTTCCCAGCTGATGCAGATCTGCACAAACTTGGGTATGGCCCCCATCCCACATGCAGGGCTGTTTGAGCTCCTTGCTTGCAAGCCCTTGCAATTCTGTTGACTCGTATGGGACCACCCCGTTGTGCATATTACCCAAATGAAAGCAATCTGAAATTTTGGCAGGTATGCATGAGGATGCGCAAGCCTTTGCTGAGAAGGCAAGGAGGGTGGAACGGGCAAGCAGTGCAGGAAAGGTGGGCGAGTACTCATTTTGAGCTGCAATTTACCTATAGGAATTTTGGCACTCATGGTATGTTGCGGCCTGCAGATCTCTTGAGGCTTGCTCTGTGTTGTTTATGGGAGTTCTTTGCTGCATTGTAGGCGATTAGGCCAGTCTCCCGGGGGTTTAGTGAACAACCAGGTCCGAATTCAAATTCTTGGAGCCGCCCAGCAACCGCAGCCGGCGAGCTCTCGACAGCTGGCGGCCGGCCGCAACCACATTCAAATTCGAATGCCTCCACGTCCTTTGAAGCCAGATCTGGCTCTGCAGGCGGCACCCGTCCAGTCAGCGCTGCAAGATCTGGTGTCCGCCCCGGCCCCTTAGACGATGTGTCATATAAAGCTACAACTGAGCATCCGTGGATCAATGTTGGCGCGGCACATCAGAGAGTGGAGTCTCTGCAGCTTTCCCACAGGTTGAGCCTGGCATCTTCCGGCAAGGTGGGTGTTCTTGCATGGGATGCAAATGAGCTCCCCAGACCTTCTTGTGTGCTTCAGGCAAAGTGTTGTCCTGCCCCCAGCAGGGCAGTGTATATATTTAGAGGACCTCCTAGAGGGAGAAAATGGTGCAACCCTTTTACAATCACAGGACAAACGCACAACACCTTCACACTACAAGCGCATCACGCTGCAACCTGTGTGACAGCAGGGAAGTATACTATTGTCGTGCTCCCAGCAGGGAATTAAAGTAACAGCATGATGCCACTCATGAATGCAGTGTCTTGAGATACGGTACCTTGCGCATGCATGGGGCTTGGTAAATCTGACGTGAAAAGAGTTTAAGATGTCAAGCACTCAGTGTGTTTATGTGCATGTGTTGTTTGTGCAGGGACCGCAGGCCAGTGATGCATGGAGACATTACGATGTTGCCGCCGATTTGCTGCCAGGCTGATGGGTCATAATTTATGACTAATCTATAAAGGCATGCGTGATCCTCTGGTTGTGTTCAAATTGAACAGTTCAATGCTTTGGCCTTCATGCATCTCTTTCCTGCTCAATAACTTATCTAGATGGTGTCAGGAAACACAGAGCAGGCCCGGGAAACATTGACAAGACTGTTTTACATATTGCCTATGACTGTTCAAAAAACATTGTACCATAGCATCAGATCAACCTATGGCAGGGGCATTTGCTGCCCTGCCAGTGAAGCCACACAACTCCGATGGGATAATCTGATGATGTAACTGATCCTGTGATGCCCAAAGCAAGCAGCAAAAATTTTAGTAATATACAAGCGCTCACAGATATGCCTGATGTACATGGCAACTCCCTTGGAGTGCGCCCAGAAAAGGTCCTTCGTGTCTATTACACAGTGCACCTAGCTATCTCTTGCACTGTGCCTGTTAATTAACCAAAATCTTTTCAATTACCGTGGAGCATGCGACAGAAAATGCCCGTATTTAGGAGCCTGCAAACCATCATCTCATACCAACTAGCACGGAAGCTGGAACGTCCATTATAGAATTGCATGTATCACAGCAATCTATCAAGGCCATGTCAATGACTTCTAGTGATCATTTGTTGCAGCAATAAGAAGATGGACAGCTGTGTCGTGAGCACCAGGAAACCAGGTGCTTGGGTAGATACTTGATTGGCGCCAACTCACGGCCTCAGGCTCTGTTCCTAGATAACCCTTCCTAGTATAGCGGCAATTTCACTTGACATACATAGGTATCGACGGTTGGATTAACGTCCACCAAAATGAACGTAAAGCTAGCACACCACGTGAATCTTATGCTTGCATGCGCTGCAGCGCTTGAATTTGAATATCTTATCCGCCGCCACAACACAGCTTCCTGTGGCTGCCTTCTCAGCGCAGACACCAGCGCGCGCCCACATCTCTTTAGAAGGTATATGCCCAAAATCCGGTCGCTTTGCACCACCCCCTTCTTTTGGCTTGTGCACATGATATCCAAGGCACAGGGCCTGAGAGGCTTTGCAGGGCTGTGACTGCAGCCGGTGGTGATGCTGTCAGCGATGATGACGAAAGGGAGGGTGACATCAGCGGGGCAGCCAGTTCAGGCGCGAGGGCTCATTGACGAGGCGTGACCACAGCTGCTCGGGTGGCACATTGAGCACATCTTCCGTCTTGGCACTTGTAAACCCCCAAGACCCACTCCTCAACTCCCCTGCATGAGACAAACCCTGTTCAGCCCATTGCAGAGCCAGATATGCACCACAATGGTCCAAAATGCAAAATCAGGGGACCCTCGAACTGCAAGATTGCCGGGTTCATTTCCGGGAAGTCCATTAAAGTGACAGCAGCTAAGGCAACTTGCTCAATAGCACACTGGAAATGCCTCTTGAAGCCGGCTGCACACTGCTAGTCAGAGAAGCAGAGGGCTGCTATGGGCTGCCATCAATCTATATGTTATGCGCCTCGGCTTGTGCATTGTCATGTCTGACAGCAGCACCTCGTATTTGATGATGTAAACTGTGTTTGATATCTCTCGACCCTGTAGTCTAGATGAGTCGAACTCATCAAGGCGCAGGGATTGAGAAGGGTAACACGAGGACAGATAATGGATGTGTGCACACCTTCCAGCTGGCCTTCAGACCAGGCACAGATGCCATGGTAGACATGCACACGCGTTTGCCTGTTCTGGCTGCTGCTTCTATTACTGCGCACCCCCCAGCGGCCCCCCGGCGGGGGGACGGCCGCCGACGCGGCGGCCACCACGTCCGTCAGGGAACCCCCCTCGAAAAGCTCGGGGGCCCCAACCTCGCGCGTTGCATTCTGTGCAAGGAACGGCCGCGCTCCTGGCACCTCTGCCAGTGTGTGTATCACCGCTAGCTCCTGCACTGGCCCGTCCCCTGCGCACACCCCAGGCACGCTCAGACCTTGTCTTATCAGTACAATTCTTTTGACAGAGAGGCATCCAATAGCTTCACTTGCTACCAGATGCTAGGGCATCTAGCAGATCGCTTTTGTGTACACCCAATAGGGTTTTTAAATGCACTCGTTTCATAATGTCTCGGCACCCCAATATAAGCAATGCCTGTTCTTCATTTGGGTATTCTAAAAACATGCTTCTTTGCTTGCTCTCGTGGTTGCTTTAGTTTCTCTTGGGGACATATCACATTCAGCTGGATATAACACTCCTACATAAATGACCTCTGTGACCGAACTGATCAATCTGGTCACACACTCCTCCTCGAGATGTTAGAAGGCAGTGCCTGAAACAGTGCCTTCCATCCAGCTCAAGGAGAAAGTGCGTGATTAAATTGCAGAAAGTTCTTGCATGCGCATATCACCACGAAATTAGTCAAGGTTTCATCGCGCACCAGGCATGCCAACGGGGCCCCCCAGGAAGTGGCTGAGCTGGGGTGACCCCGGGGGGAGCGCGGCTGGCCCCCGGGAAGGCACGACGCGCGGATCGCTCGGCCCCAGCGGCTGACTAAGGATGACTCCCCGCGCGCCGCCGCGCCGGCTGTGCTCGTAGATCAGCACCACCGAGCGCCGGAAGATGGACCGCTCAAGATCGTCCGACGCCGCCAGAAGGATGCCTGCAAATTGTCGACCAGCACAATCTCAACACATTCTGCTGCTTCTTTCTGCTGCTGAGAATAACAACATGGCCTCCACTGCACACCAGGACAGTAAAAGGGGGCTTGGTCCGTTTCCTAACACGCAAGGCGCTCGGCAGTGGTCTAGTCAAGTCAGGATCCCGCGGTGGCTGAACACTGAAGAATACATTTGGGAGCATGCCCAAATGCATGCAAAGAATGTCCATTCAAATTGTGAAAGAAGCACAGTCAGAAATGAGCAGTCAAGAATTTATGTGGTGCACCTGAGCGGACCCCCTCCACGGGGGCGCCATGGCGGATGACTGCCAAGCCCAGCCGCCCAGTGGCATCCACACGCATCACCACCCTTTTCACCACAGCCACAACACAACCTCAGCACCTCTGCAGAAATCCACATGCGATTGAGCAGCTGCATAACCATTGGTAAGTTGCACTGCCATGCGCCACAGTCCCACTTCCAAAGAAGTCTACATATGCCGAAGCCCGCCAGGGTCCCTGTGGTTTCGTGCATTGTGTCAACCACATCAAGTACTGCAGGGTCTCGGCGCGGCCTGGGCATATGTGAACCTCTGCCCTGCATTGATGCACGTCCTGAGACTCTTGTCCTGCAGACGCTTCTCGATGCAAGGTCGTCGTTTGTCATCGACAAGCCAGTGTGAGACAAAAGCCACAGGACAAATCATTCATGTTTGGAACTGCTGAAGAAAGAAGGGACAGGGTGACGAAGACATCTCTAAGCAGGGGGGCTCATCACCGCAGGCTATTTGTGTGAAGGGAGGCCGGGACACAGGCCAGCACAATAACTTCAGGACCCACTCATTGTTTTTGAATTTGACTGCTGCAGCAAGGAGGGAAAGGCATGAGAAGGGCTTCAGAGTAAAGGCTCACCGCAGGCCGCGTGTGTGGAGGGAGGCCAGGATACAGACCAGCACAAGATCTTTGGTACCTACTCATCGATTATCTGAGGTCCTTCCGGTAGTAAGAGTAAAGGGTGGAGAAAGGCTTCCAAGGATGGGGAGCTCACCGAAGGCCGCGCGTGTGCAGAGTTGCCAGAACGCAGGCTAGCACGAGCGCAATAATGCAGAGAATGCTGTGGCTGCGCGTGCCCAGGACCAGCAGAAGCACGATCGCCACATGCGGCCACGGCGGGCCACCTGCACCGCGTCTCAAACTGAGTCTCAAGTCTTAAATTCAGAAACACGGCAAATCAGGCTTCAAACATTGACTGGACCAGTATCTGCATCTGGGGTCATCAGTGCCACTGTGTCCACTATGTGCGCAGGCTGCATGAGATTGACTTGCCTGTCAGACACCCAGAGCCCTGCGATAAACTTTCTCTTGCAAAAGCCCAGAAAGCCAGCAGCCAGATTCTTCCAAGGGAGGTACCCGCGCAATAGCAGCGCTCAGCCAAGTGAGGTCCAGAAGTTTTGCATACGTCTTGCATAATTGGTCAGCAAGTAATTTGGTGCAAGAGGGTGCAGCAAAGGTGATTTACAGGGTATCTGCCGAGGTAGGGGAGTCAAAGGTCAGCAGCTTCAGAACCGCACTAAAAACGCCTTATGATCCCATCGCTCCGGACACACAGCTGGAGGATATTGAAGCGACACAGAACTAGAGGTGCCTCAAACCACTGAACTTGAGTGAGTGCCAGCAGTCTTCTTGGAAGACACAATCGGGAACCCTGACAGATAAGAAAGAAAGTCAGGGTGTTTACCGGAGAGGCCGAGGGCGAGCAGAGCGATGACAGAAGTGGCGACAATCGTGCGCGCAGTGCCCCACAGCCGCCATCGTCCCCGCAGCGGCCGCGGCGCCATGCTGTACAGATCCCGGCACACGCTGCAGCGGTACGCGCGGTCTGCGCGCACATGCGCAGCATGAATTTGAATTCGAGTTCAAATATGTGCAGCAGTCTGCCTTTGTGCGCGCGGTCTACCCGCACATCCACATTCGTATTTTGTATTTGGTTTTGAATATGCGCCGCAGGTCTGCCGGTATGCTCTCCCGCCAGCTGGGCACGATTGCCAGAGGGAGGGCTTTACAACAGCTGTACTGTAGCTGGGCTCTGACTGACATCACTACAAGGGTCAAGTTGGAAGGCATGGATGAAGGCATCCAGGGAATCCTTGCTGTCGAGCAGTGTGTTACATTTGGCTGCAGCACTGACCTAGAAGTAGAATTACATATGCTTGTCAAGAGGTGGCCTAGTTTGCAGGTTGCAGGCATTGCCCATGCGAGTTCACTGGAAGAGAATGGGCGAGCTATGAATCACCGTCGATCTTGTCCCTCCACTGCACCAAGCGCTGGACTGAGTCTTGCCACCTCCTCAGGCACTTGGTGTGCACGTACTTTTGAGTGCCTACATCACCGTTAATGAGCTTCAGTGTGAGTGCCCGTTGGTGCTCTGACTCAGCGGGCAAGATACTCTAGATTCTGCGCATCCTGGCAAAGATGCAGGAGATTAGGGTATGTCCCCGTTCACTCTTGCGGAGAGTATCTCTTGTGTGCACCAGTTTCGGCTACAAATCCAGCAGGTGAAAGGAATCAGGTAGGCACAAAAGAACAGTGCAAGTGCATTCATCGAGCAAGCAGCTATATTTTCATCTGGAAATGTTTCACGTTCTGATTGTGTGTCAACTAGAATCATCGACATATCCTCCCCTTCAGATCGATGAAAGGAAGAGAGGTGGAATACAGAACAACCCTAGTATTGCTACAAAAGCACTGCTAGCTTTGCGATCATCACCTTACCGGTATCACATTACACGCTCTTGCACCATTCCTACCTGATGAGAAGCTAGTACAAACGAGACCCCTAGTCCAACGAGTTTCCGATGCCTTTTCAGCACTCGGCTCTCACCTTTGCAAAGGCACGGGGAAATGAGCTGACTGGCATCGCGGCTTTCTTCGAAGCAAATTCTGCAGGTATAGGTTGTTTCGAGATCAGGTAGATCGTGTTTGGCGGCGCCCATGTCCGTAAGGTCAACTGCCGCGCCAGACTTGCGATGCCTTGTCTTCATTCCGCTCCCCCTCTCATCACAGGAGCGCTTGTTACCACTCTTGTACGATTACACGACCCTTAATGCAGCCTCAAGGGTCTCATCTGCTCCCTCACCGGAACCTGGGAAACTGCATGAGTCGTTTGGGTCGGTTCGGGCCCAGATGTGACTGTGGATGAGTCATATACCGCACGTGCTGGGTGCAGATCTTGTCGTCGTGTCACTGCACTTCTCGAGGAGACTGATCCGGGCTGCATGTGCGCTTGCATTGCAATTTGGGAGCGTCCTGTGCTTCTGCAGTCTCAGAATTGGTTAGTTCTGATTTTTATGGGCTGTAATTGTTGATTGCACGGCAGTTCTTGCACAGTTTCTGATTACAACACTTGGCTCACTCTTTTTTAGTCAACACGCACGATAATTGCAGGCAGAACTGTACAAGAGAAGATCTTGTGAGAGGCCCGTGCAACGATATGCATCCTCGACTGGCGCAAGTTGCTAGCACAAGCGGCAGGAGTGCACAGTGTCGAGAGGACAGCTTTGACTGCTCGAGGCGACCTCGTCTCTCGCAGAGACAATGTGTGAGCTTCAAGGATAGTAAAGGTGTTGCTGCCGCACCTCGAGATGGATCCCAGGTGCGGGCTATCGCGATACCTTGGAACGAAGGTCCAGATCAGCTGGACCCCACCAGCACAACTCCTTGGGGAGGCTGGTCCTTTGAGGACGTGGAGCAGACCGACGAGCTGGTTGAGAGACCAGCAGCACAGACGTCCAGCCGAGAAAAGCCTTTGAAAATCAACAGAGATTTGCTCCTGGTGCGCGTGATCACCACACTTCTGTGTTGAATCTCGATGCTCACATGCACAGTCAATGCATCCTGCAGTGATACTGAATAGCTATGTTGGTCTCTGCAGTATCGAGCGAAAGTGTCAAGACAAGCCGCTTTCCGAGCGCCAACTCTGCTTGAGAAGCTCAAATATCAAAAGGCTTCCGAGACCATGCTGCGAAGGTGCGCGTGCATCCGTGCTCCTCCTTGATTCTCCAATATGTGCTTGGTTTACTTCACCACCCTTTGCCGGCAAGAAAGACGTGCTCTTTAGCTCCCTACTCCTCCACCTGGTGAAACTATGCTGCGTTCCATGGCTTGCGCAACTCTTGCTGTGCAAGGTGCGATTGCCATGTTGTTAGCATATTGTAGCGGCCGTGCGCAGCCCAGGCACACTTCAGTCCTCAAGTCAGGAACAACTCTTGAGACCAACCTGCCTGGTGCATTGCAGGTGTCTAGCTCTGGACGCCACAGATGGCCGTCCCTATGTGTCACTTGGCAAGCTGCTGATGCAGCAGCGGCGATATGACGAGGCTCGGAGCATCTATGAGGAAGGGTCCACAGCGACAGGTGGGCAAGCGCAGCCTTGCGCACATTGTAGCTGTGTTTACATAATAGTAGAAGCAAGACATGTAAGTAAGACAAAAGGCGTGTCTTACTTACAAAGATAGTATGCTGTGTCATGAGCATCTCCTAGCTGTGCTGGATCTCACAGCTAGGGTTTTGTGCTGTGCTGGTTGATGCATCTGGGGATTGGCTGTGACAGAATAGAATGGAAAAAATTACATTAGGGGAACGAGGGCTGTGGTATTTGGGGCCTGACGATAGTGTCTGGTGGCTGCAGGGGGCCAGAATGAGTACATCTGGCAAGCATGGGCGACGCTCGAGTCGCGTCTCGGCAGAGCTTCTCAGGCCAGGAAGGTCAGTTTAGATGCACACAAACAAGTACTCACCCTGACGCAATCTTGAGGTGCAATCCTGTGGGAAGGTGCAATTTTATGGGAAAATACTCATGGAACTCCACATTTGTGCCAGAGAAGTGCTGCTCTTGTCTGGGATGTCACTGCGCCTCTGCAAACACTGAGGATGCCATGCCACTGGTCATGACTTGCAATGTGGAGATGTGCATAGCAGAGCTTTGTTTGTGGAAGGGGCTGAGTGTGGTTTTGCATTTCTTTGCAGCTGTACGATGCGGCGATTGTGGCAAACAGGAAGCATGCTGCCAGCTGGCATGGCTGGGGGCTTCTGGAGAAGCGGCAGGGCAACCTTGTGAGGGCCAGGGACCTCTGGCTGAAGGTCAGCCTCCCGTCCTTCCTGCAGGGCCTACTTTGTCCAGACAACATCAATAAGAGCAATTCCTTTTTTGTGGTTTTGGCAGGCCAGCATATGCCATTAGAGGGCTGCTACTTGAGGGCATTATTTTGATGTCGTTGCTGTGCTGCCGACCCAAAGCCATGCGGTTTACTCCTCATAGTCAAGACAGACGAGACATCGCGAAAGGAAAGGGGCCTTTGTTGATTTTTTCAGCAGCTTTTTACCGGTCAATCATGTGGAGGGGCCTGCTACACAAGGGGTGCTGCAGGGGGAAATAGAGCCTCTGCTTGGGACTCTGGAAAAAACTGTGAGTGCTGAGTCATGCGGAGGGCACCGCGCTAGACTTGGGGTGCCCGCGGGATACAAGGAAGCCCCTTCTTCCATATCAGGAGGTCATGTGAGCGATGAGTTGTGCGCAGGGGATTCGAGCAGCGGAGGGAGCGCCGAATCCGCACCTGTACCAGTCGATAGCGGTGTTGGCGGGGGAGATGGGGTATGTGGAGGAGGCTCGGCGGTGGTTCAGGGAGGGAACGCGCAGCATCAAGGGCAAGCAGAGCCATGCTCTCTGGCACGCCTGGGCCCTCCTGGAAAGCCAAAAGGTGATGCCTTTTGTTGATTAGCATCTGTTTTTCAAGCAGAGTACAAAGGACTCCAATAGCCTAATGCAGCAAGGGTGGATTAGCATTGAACCCAGCGTCAGCAGCACTGAAAGTCGTCAAGCATACATGAAAGCAAAGAAAGCAGATGGCATACAAATGGCGTCCCTCGTTCTCTGGAGTGTATCAAGTAGGATTTCATAGCCATTCATGCCAGAGGGAGTAGGATTTGATTTGCACAATTTGTGAGCTGGTGGCATTCTTTTTGTTGTTGCTGTCCAGTGGCAGTCCCTGTGGAATACCAGAATTTAGAGCTTACTGTAGCAAGCGTGGTTTTGGATGATGGAAGTCTGGCTGCACTGGCAGCTCTGAACGCATGATTTCTTGCTGAGGCTAAGCCAATCTGTAAAGAAGCCTCAGCTTCAGCAATTGGACCTGTGCTTTCAGGATTTTCAGGCCTTAGTGAGGATAGATTTAAGGGCTGTCCCTACTGGTGATCATGATTAACCCTGGGAGCATTAGTTAGAAATCTTGCTCTGCTGGAACACGGGGGGAAGAGGAGCGCTGTAGAGCTCGAGGCTCGTTGGCAAAAGATGCCATTCTCAGGAAATGGCACTTGTCATTCTCCTTGACTCATGGCGATTGACTTGTGGCCATTGCAATAGGCGATCAGAAGCAGGGAATGAGGCTTTGAGATCTTGTGGCTGACGTGGCATGCAGGGCGAGAGCAGCGCAGTGCGGTACCTGTTCAGGAAGGGGCTGGAATCCAATGCGCGTTCGCGCTTCATCCATCTCGACTGGGGCCTCTGGGAGAAGTCCCAGGGGCAGGTAGAGAATGCGCGCAGCCTATTCAAGCGCGGCCACCAGCTGAACGCCCTGGACGCACCCCTGCTGCAGGTATGAAGAAATGAGTCATCATACCACCTGTGCGTAAATGAGTCATCACGTCACCTGGAAGAGCGGTGCTGGAAAGTGGTGCCTGGTGTTGGGTGTCTGGTAGAGGGCTGGGTATCTGGTTGCTGATCTGCACACATTTGCAATATTATACAAGTGGCAGAAAAAGTGGCATTGGACCTTGCCTGGCAGCTCCCTGTTGACTTCTTACTACATGTAGACACACACTTGTTCTTTCTTCGGGTGGCTTCTGCTGTCTGCAGCCATGTCTTGAGTGCATGCGAGAGTGTGAAGTAGCCGGACCAGGATTGCCTTTATGCATCCCTGCTCTGCATCTCATTCAGCAGAATGCCCCTCTAGAGGTCTTCTGCTGCTGCAGGAGTTGGAGGAGTGCAGGTTTATAAATCACCCCCAAAGAATAAGCTCGGGGGGATACTTAATACAATGTCAAAATTAGTAGCCCCCTGTTAGGCTATAAAGGAAGTGTTTGCTGAGCAGTGCTGTGCTTATCGCAGGCTTGGGCGCTATTGGAGAGGGATGCTGGCAAGCTGGACGAGGCACGGCAGCTGTTTGAGGCAGGCTCGCGCGCAGACCCGCACCACCTGCACGTCTGGCAGGTGCGGACAGCTTCCATGCTGACCCTGTGTCTTGCATGTATATCCCACCGGACCCTGAAGCTCCGATGATCTTCAGTGCACCAAATTCTGGGGAGTAACGCCAATTGCCGTAGCAGAAGGTTTTCTGAACCGGATGCAGTAGAAGCAAAATGCTCGGCATGCATGCATGTGTGCATCAGGCATCCTTGGAGACAGTGCAGAAATGACCCTGCTTGCGGCCAGCTACTGCAAGCATCTTTCGCACCTCCACAGCAAGCACCGCTGGCTGCCGTTTCATGCACACCTTTTTGGGTGTGTTCCATTACACTACAGTCTCTGCAGCAAGATTCTGATGAATGGCGCTGCCGTGTCCTGTCAGGCGTGGGGTGTGCTGGAGCACAAGGCGGGAAACATCAGCCGCGCGCGCGAGCTCTTCCAGCAGGGCGTCTGGGCGCAGCCGCGCGGCAAAGCAGTCGCCTACGTCTGGCAGGTGCAGTGCACTCGCATTGTGTTTTCTGGGGCAGGCATGTGGGCTCTGTGGGTTGCGGCATTGAGGCTCGGGCGACCTGTGTAAATGAGTTCTGCAAGACCTTTTTTTTTCATGGATGATTGGTCATTAGTACTCTCGGTAATTACCCTCGTGGGTCACAGCAGAGATGTTCACCAAGCAGGTGGGCCCTGGTCGGTGCAGAAGTGGGAAGCCCCATGGAGAGTGGCCACAGGAATTGGCTGGGAATGTGATATAGCATGTCTATGTCCTGCAGTGGAAAGGGCGCATGCTGAGAGGTTGGCATGTCATGTGATCAGGCGTGGGCGGTGTTGGAGTCGCAGCAGGGCAACGTTGACCTGGCGCGCCAGCTGTTCAAGTGCGCCGTCAAGGCCGACCCCGCCAGCGAGGCCTCCTGGCTGGTGAGTCACCCCTCACGCAGCGCTGCTGTTGCCCCTTTCTTTCTCTTTTCATTGTGCCATAGCTGCACATGAAAGTGTGACTGCTGTTCACTTTGCATGCTTGGAGAATGACGGGACTCTGCTTCCCTGCATGCCAGCCTGACTTCCGGTTTCAGTGCCGCACTGTGCTTCCCCTGGATTGTATCAGATTCTTCAATGGTCATGTTTGCCCCATCTTGAAGGCCTGCGATATGTTTTCATAGTGTGATGCTGGGCTGCCTCTGCCCAGATATTTCCCAGATGATGCGTGTTTCTGGACTGCCTGTTACAGTATTGATTTGAATATTAAAGAGGTGTTGGCGTTGGCCAAAACAGTCGTGGGCGGCGATGGAGGAGGAGCAGGGGGCGGTGCAGAGGGCGGCAGAACTGCGGAGCTACCGCATGCAGGGCTTTAATGAAATTGTGCTGCCGGCCGGATTTGGGGCGGGCCTGGGCTCCGACACACCGGACTCGCCATTCAATTCCGTCATCAACACGGTAGGGCTCTCTTGCCATGCAAGGCATTCGATGCTGCTCCGACAGCTTTGCAGTGTGTGGCCAAGGCATAAGGTTTGTGATGTTAGCATATGCTCTGGTGCTAAAAACAGTTCATCATCGAATGATTGGCAGTTTGCGGAGATTATGTCAATCCTCCGTGGCGATTTGGCATGCATCAGTGCATTTGCTTTGTTCCAAAATGCCGGAAACGGGCAATTTGGGTAGGCTGGCGCATAATCCTTAGGCAGGAATCTGAGCAGAGATTGACGGTGTGACCCTTGCGCAGATCAAGGAGTGGTTCTCCAAGGTGGAGAGTGCACGCTCCATTGCCAAGCGGCCGCCACCATCGTACATGCGGCTGGAGGTGACTCATCTAGCTATCCAGTCAGTGTTCCATTGATTAGGACTGGAGACAGGCTACTGCAACTCCAGTGCACATAGCTTGTTGCCTCCATGGTTGTCTGGGTGTCCCCTCAAGCAGATAGATGCACACATCAAAGACGATTGTGGCGCTGGGGCAGAGACAAAGGGCTGCCCTGCAACCCTCTTCCTGCGTCACTTTCATGTACATTGGTCTTCTTTCAAGCACCTGCTTTGTCTTACTTTGTGTATTCTCTCTCGGTTTCACTTAAAACAAGACGCATAATTACCATTTAGACAAATGGTAGGGAAACTGGCCATTAAGAACCCATACGTTGGGCTTTCTGCAGCTTGCGTGTCCCTTCCACACGTCTGAAGTTGAGACACATATTTTAAGTTGTGATGCTGGGTGTGCAGGAGGATGGTGACGAGGCAACGCCTCTGGTTGAGGAGCCGCCGTCGCTGGACGAAATGCAGCTCTTTGACAGCAGCGAGCTGCGGCTGCCGCTGGTGCCCCCCGCTGCCGCGGAGGGGCCCGCTCCCGTGACCCCCCGCGTGTACAACTGGACCGCCTCCCCAGAGCAGCCGCTGCGCTTCTGAGGAGATGGCTGTCTTTCAAAATTGCATGATTTGTGGACAAACGCAGAGTTCTCAGGAGAACCAGCTGCCACGTCGCTTGATGAATGGCGTTGATACGGGCGCCAGTGTTTCGAATTCGGAAAAAAACCTGCAATATGCAATCACACAAAAGGCAGTGAACTGACGACTGCAGGTGAGAGATGTGGCAGAAGATTGGGGATGTCATGCGAGAGTCCTGGATGAGATTGAGGAAGCACTGAATATACAAGCACAGTGCAGGCAGCTGTATGTTGTTGGATCAAAGGAATGCCAGATCAGTTCGAGATAAGAGAGATTTTGGGAGATGAGTGGCCACGGTACTGCTTGTGCAGCAAGAGATTGTTCAGGAATTTGATTACATACGAAGGACACAGCAATGGGCCTAGTGCCCATTGCAGGGATCAAATGCTGTTGTTGGCAGTAGTCAACATGTGCAAGAAAATTCACATCAATTGAGGTACTGGCGCTGCAATCGCCTGGAATTTTCTCAAGAGCTCATATCACGTGGTAGAGGTTTCCCAAATATAGAGCCCCTGTTTGCAACCAATAATGCTTCTCTAGCTCAAGAATTATTGCAAAGCAGATTTAAATGAATGTACACCACTGCAATAGTGAGCAGCCTGCCTCAATAACTCTGGCTGTGCCTCACGTGAGGAACGCTTCAAATGGCACTATGGCATGGAGCACATGCAGGAATGATCCTAACACAAAGCAATGACACACGGCATCATGACTAAGACAGATACAAATCCTGATCAAATGCACAAGCCTACACACCACCACAGCATGAGAGAGCACAACACTCGGGACAAAATGTACAGAGGAAAAGAAATCACAGCAGCTGATTGCCCCTTGGTGCACAAGCAGACAAGCTTGCCATGCATCGACGACCACACACAGGAACCTGGTAAACCTTATTGCATGCATTGCAGCGACGTGACATTAGCAATTGAGCCAGGAAGGAATAGACCACCTGATACAGCACCTCATAAATGAGACAATGAATAGGCTTTAGTACAAATCAGGCCCCCATCGGGACTCCTACCATCCTAATCCTAGCACCTGTGAGCTCCAAGAACACGCCACCTCCCCTAGCCGTACACACCACCCTAACATCTGCGAATCAAATCCCCTGCCCACAACCTCAAGCTTCCTGGTACAAAGCCATGCAAGCCCTGGGAGATCCTTGATGACTTATCATGCATGCCTTTGTAAATGACCAGCCACCATTAGAGCAGTAGAACAGGCTGCACTTGGCTGCATCCTGACCGCTGCTGGCCGCTCAGGCCTTCTTGGGGGAGGAGGAGCAGCTGTGGCTGGTGAGGGGCTCGAAGGCTTTCTTCACCTTCTTGCCCAGCTTCTTGAGGATCTTGCGCTTCTTCTTGTGCTTGCCCTCTGCCTCCTCCCCTTCCCCGCTGGCCTCGGTCTCGGAGCACATACCGTCCCGGTCCCAGCTGACGGTGCGGGTGGGGGGCCCGCTGACCAACGCTGAGTCATCGGTGTAGGTGACTGATGCAGTCGTGGCGAAGGAGTCCATCGGGGAGACCACCTGGTGCACTGGGATGGCCTCTGTCTCCTCGCTGGTGGTGGAGCGCTTGATAGCAAAGATATCGGACAGCTTCTTGCGCGGCTTCTTCGCAGCTGCGGCCGGCTCGGCAAACGTGTCGGTGAGCTCGTCAGATGCATCCTGCGCCACAGCAGGGCAGAGGTCAGGCTGCAGCCTACAGGACTACAACATGTGGTGGCACAGCTCAAGGTTGATAGCCAGGAAAGCACTACAGGCTTGGCAGTGCAAGCAGCCTATGTACGGCAGGTTGATGCTGGGGCAGCAAAATGCATGCAAGGACACATAATCAGGACCATGTGGGATGCAGGATGCAGCAAAGCTGCCACTGCTGGACTGCCACATGCTTAGAAAGGACCGAGTGCGGTCACTGAGGGGAGACACTGGGGAAAGCTAAGGCTGCGCACTTTTAGACAGCAAAGGCCCCTGCGAGGGCTGGAATCAGTTCGCTGCAGTGTCTTTCAGCTGCGTCACAAAGGTGCCCATAGACCAGAAGTCATCCTCTGTCTGCGCCGCACCATGCTACACTGTTTACCAGACTGGTGGGCTGATTCTGTCCGAAATCGGATGTTTGGAAATTTACAATGCTCTTGCAAACCCGGGACGGCTATTTGGACTGGACCAAGGGTGTGATGAGTGGGCTTTGGACTGGGCCGTTCTGGGGTGGTAGGCAGAGTAAGGAGACTAGACCAGCAAAACCAACCAGTTTTGTGAGGAGAGTCACACCTTGATGGGCTTGATAGGAGCTGCCGTGCTGGTCACATGCTCAGAGTCCTGCATGTGCCATGAGATAATTTGTCAATTCCTGCTGTACACCTACTGTTGCCAGCAGCAACACTGTTGGAAATGGGCAATGTTTAATCGATGGAACCGACTGAGCGCTAACAATGGCAAAGGAGTGATATTTAACCTTTCTCAAGTGCATGCTGTTTTGACGAATGGCTGGCAACAGTTAGAAACCGAGCAAGTGGTGAACATCACCGTGTCACTGGCCACCCCGTTGGTGTGTGCATGGGGTGCTGGAGAGCTCGCATCCAGTGCAGGAACTGCAAATAACAGCACAACAGCATCTCAGCAGCAAAAACAGCTCGGGTGCAGCGATGTTTGACAGTGACAGTGAAGCTGCCATCCTTAGGGTTCTTCCGACGCCCCCACTTGATCAAGGAGCTTTGCTGCTCATGTCTCACCGCAACACATTTTCAATGCTAGGAAATCACTGAATTAACGAAGCATCTCGCAAGAATGATTCTTTCAGTTGTCATCACTAAGTCCGATAAGCACTTAATAGCTTCAAAGATAGGATAAACACCGTGCCTAACACACATACTGTCCACCGACTCCAGGATGGGGCTTAAGATCGAGGAACTCACGTCCGTTGACGGGGGGTGGGCCTCCCTGGTGCCAAGGCACCCAGGATGTGAGCAGGTCTGAGAAAGAGCGCGTGTCCTTCTCCTCGCCCGCATGCTTGCTGCCCAACCACAGCTCCCTCAAACCATCTGCGCTGGTGAAGTTTTGCTGCAGCTGGTGGCTGGCCTTGATGGATCCGCTGATAAAGCCGGCTGACGCTCCGATTAAAGCGTAGGTGACCGACAGCAGCTTCTGCTCGAAGGACAGGAAGTAGTCGCTCACAACCGCCACCACATCGCGGCGATCACCGCTTGCCATGCTTGCAGTTGACCTACACTTCTCAATGGTGCGCAGAAACTCCAGCGCTGATGCTGGGAGGAAGGTTCAAATCAGGGACGATGAAGTGATGGGGTTTGTTTGAGTGTTTATAAGCTACAAAAGTGATAAACTTGCATGCATCGTTCATATCAGACTGAAAGTGCCGGTTCTCGTCCGCTCCCCGAAGCGAAGCAGTCTTGAGCGCAACTAGTATTGTGTTGGGTGACCACCTGAGAATCCTGCGTGACGATGTGTTTTGCAATTTCATTTTGCATTCGCTGCTTCACCCAACCCTTCGCTTCCTGCTGATGCTCTCAGATCCAAGGATGGGTGAAGAAGCGTGAAGGTATTCTATGTTTTGATGCCATGGGGCGGACTGGTCTCTGGTTCGATCCATGCTTTTGGATGCAATCTTTTTTTGTTTTGGTGTCAACTTGGCACTTTTACATAATACAGAGCCAAGTAGGTGCTGCACAGTGCAGCCTGCACTTAAAAGAAGAGACAATCAGAATCGGTGGAATGAGTTTGGATCGACAATCGTTGACAGCATCGCAGCGCAGCTCAAGGCAAGTGTGGCTTCCCAACGCGCAGGTGAGGATGCGCTATATCTCCGAAAGTGTTCTTGTGTCGTGGCTGACACTTATTGGTATTCAAAAGTTTTCTAGCAACACTCCTGAATGTTTCGAATGGAAATGATTCGCTCTTCTTATCCTCTATGTCCTTGAATGACACCTGTAAATTACATAGGTGTGGGCCAACATCCCTGCAGAGCCCAAGAGAGAAAGCCCAGCGACGGCCACGAAGGGCAGGAGTGAATCCCGTAGCAAAACGAATGCCCTCAGGATCGATGCAGAGTCATCTCTTATGCAAGGAACAGGTACGCTTGCCGTTCCTAGTCCCTGTCAGGCCGAATCATCATAACTGCTTCCTTAATATTGCAACAAGAAGAGCGATGGTTCTTGCATCAATAAAAGGGTACATCAACTGGGAAGTGCATTATTTTGTCACAAGATAGTCATGATCACTGTCCAGCTTGAAGCACAAGTCCTGTGTCCTGTGTTTCAGGGCTAGCACACAGGGAGCAGCAGGGCTGCAGCATTTCTGATGCAGCAGCATTTGGGGACACCATGGCTGCAGGGCCTTCTGAACGAGCGAGCTACACCTTCTTCGACCTGGCACAGCAGCCCTTGGACCTTCCCCAGGAGCCCCTGTCGGAGGTGGACCTGATCAGTGATGAGGACAGCCAAGGCGGCCTCCCTGTCTGCCCCATATGTGAGCCTGTCCGCAGCCTCCTTCTCAGATATGCAGCAGTTTGACATCATCTCTGCGAGTGACTCGATCGCACAGCGCTCCTCCTTGAGAAATATGTAGTGACCCAGAGAAGCCCCTGACACAAATGCAGCAGATTCTCCTGGACAGCAGTGCATGCAGCACGGCAGCACAGCTTGCTGCATTGTTGCTGTGTGCTCCAACGCCACATCATACAATCTCACTCAGGTAAATCAGGAGCGCTAGTGGCAAAGCAAGGCAGCATGCATGGGCAGGCGACAGCCTCATGTTGGTCTTGTCTGCCCACAGGCTTGGGAGAGATATTCGACCTCCGGGACAAAGCGGTGGTCATCTCCTGCATGCATGTCTTCTGCCTCGCCTGCATCTCGCGCTGGTCCTCTCTCAAGAAGTCCTGCCCTCTCTGCAAGGTGCGCCCAACTCGTACGCACCTTCCTGAACATGCTGCATGCCCTGCCTCCATGCCTCCATGCCCGTAATTTCGGCAAGCAGAGCTTGCAGGGACGGCTGTTCAATGTCATGCTTGGCTCTGCTGTGCACTCGGGTATGCACAGAAGTTCATATCTGGTTGCCAGAGATGGTTTGGCTGGCACCAGGGCGTAGTAATGAGCCGCTCAGGGAAGAGTATGGGGTTTGATTCTAAAGGTTGCATGCTGGGCCTGCGCAGAGCCGCATACAAGGCTACATGTACAATATACTGTCGGTGACGGACTATCAGGAGCGGATTCTGCCGGCGACGCCGCCGCGTGCCAAAACGCCGCCCAGCCCGGTGCAGCAGCGGCAGCGGGGAGTTGCGCTTATTGACGCGCGACCATCCGGGGGCGTGCGGCGTGATGCGGGCAGAGGGCAGCTACCCGGCGGGCAGCCGCTGCTGCCTGACCGGCCCGGCGACCGCACATCGGTGTTCCGCCGGGGCCGAGAGCAGGTTTGGCGTCCTGCCACAACGCTGCATTGTTGCAACATTCTGTCCAGCGCTCCACCGCATTCAGGAGCTTCCAGAGGGTGTGAACTGCAACAGCAATGCATTGCCGCAAGGTGTACAGTGGTTTTCTGCATTTTCTGGTGTGCATGGTCCATGAGGGCCAGGTGTGCTCTGGGACCTTGGTTGGGCTGACCACACCTCAATGGTGGGTGCAGATCGAGGAGTTTGTACCAGGCATTTGGCCGCCGGTCAGGGCTGCGCGCAGCATGGATGCCAGCACGAGCTCGCGACATGCACCCTTGAAGGAGCCGCGCCCTTACTTTTACAGAGTGCAGGTTTGCCCTTCCTTACCTGCACGCTCTGTGCACAGTGATCGGCTTCATTTGTCTGCAAGGCAATTTTTCTGAAGACATTGGTGTTGTAATCATTTGCACACCACTCTTACTAGGAGGTGCCGCTTACTAATAAGTGCTGATCTGCTGCAGGCTCAGGCGCAGTCCCAGGTACTGGGCGGACCCCTCGCCGGCAGAGGGGGATCTAGGGCGGTCGATGGCGCGTCTTCACAGCAAGATGCAGTCGAAGCGTGGCGGCGGCACGTCTATGTGCAGGGAATGCGCGCAGTGCCCATGGGTGAGTCATGCCCCGTCACAGTCCATCGCAGCGTGATCTTTGGTGCATCAGTGCTCAAAGAAACATCAGTCATGCTCACAGCAATTTGTGTCCTTGTAAACGGCTTGTGAGGGCAGCAATGGTCAAATAACAGAAGTACATAAACCAAATTAGCTTGGCATAATGCAGCTTGGTGCGAGTATGTTGCATCCGATGATCAGGCCTTTAGTAAGATGCTGATAATCAGCAGAGGAGGCGGCTGGGCATGAGTGTGAGGTCTTGAAAATGGGTGTTTCCTGCTTTCCCAATATGCAGCAAGGATAGTGTCAGTATGCACGCGGTGAATTTGTGAGGCTTCCAAGAGGAGGTCGTTCCAGGGTTGGTGAATAAGCCGTTACTAAGTGTTGGAGCTAACTGAACTGCAGAGGAGGCGGCGGTTGCCGGCCAGCCGGGAATGTCGGAGGATCGGCGCGCGGCGCGGCTAAGCGCGTGGGTCGATCGTGAGCTGCGTTCCCTCCTGCAGACCGATGACGTCGCCATCGTGCGCGCTTATGTCATGGGCCTCGTGCGGGGGATTGGGTTCGCCCGCTCCGGTGATGGCACTGAGCCGCCGGCCAGGCAGCCACAGGTTAGTGGTTTTGTGCTGCCTCTCCACAGACACACATACCCCGTTCCCCTGAGAATTTAGAGATGACGGGGTGAGAGATAGCTCAGATTCAGGGCGAACAAAGTTCACCACTTCTGGACAGCATATGGGTGCATTTGAAAAGATAATCATGGGAGCGGTATGTTATTTGCAGGGTGCTGTTGGCAGTGGGAGGGGTGGCGAGCAGACAGACGCGGTAGCGGCGTTGCGGCCCTTTCTGCAGGAGCATGCCGAGCACTTCTGGCACGAGCTGCGGTGCGCACCAGCGCTTCTTCTGTTTCCTAGACTTTTGTGACCTTGTGCCTTCGCCAATTATGGGACTCCTGATGGCATTCCAGTGCCTGCCTTCACTTGCATCCTTCAAGAGGCCAAGCTATTGTCCCTTAGAATCAAAAGTGTGAAGGGAATCAGCCAAGAGGCTTGAGAGTATTAGGTGTGCTTGTTATGTCGCCGCGCAGGTGCTTTGCAGCCGTGCCTCTTTCCATGCAGACCTACGACCGGCTTGTCAGATACAAAGATCCCCGGCAAGCAGCAGCATCCTCCCCCACACCAGTGCCTTCCACCGACTCCTCATCCACAGCCGCTCTTCTTGAGCCGCTGCCGCGCAGCCGAGCCGGCAGCGCCGTGGCCGGGGCCCCCCGCCCAACGGTGGAGGACCCACAGCCGAGCAGTGGCCACCGGGGGAACCGTGGCGGGAGCCCCGAGCTGAGCAGGAAGCGGCGGCGCTTCAGCAGCCGCCCGCCAGAGGAGGCCGGCTCTGATGGGGCGGTCGGCGGCCGGGAGTCTGATAGTCGGCATCGTGAGAGAGGGTACAGCCGAGAGAGACGACACAGGTCGCCGGAGAGGGAGTGCAGAAGGAATGGGGAAGCTCACAGGCCAGAGGGAAGCAGAGGGAGATGTGAGAGTGACAGGCATAAGAGAAGTAGGAGTACAGCAGAGCATGGGTCTTCTGCAGCCAGGGATCAGGTGCCATTCCGGCAGAAGCTTGACAGAGCATATGACCCTTCTGCCAGGAACTGCAGCAGCAGCGTGACAAGAGCATAAGGCGCACGGATGAGAGCAGCAAGAAGGACGGCGCAGACAGGCCTGCGGCTCCCCGGGGTAAGGATGAGTTGGCAGACCTCCGGTCCAGGGCGCTGGCAGCGTTGCAGGCCAGGCAGCTATCAGGGAGAAGCTGAGGTCGGGGCCGCTTTCAGTGTTCGAGGTGCTGAGAACATTATGATCATTCTTTCCTGGCCAGTGCCTGTACAGTGGTTGATTGTGCAGCGCCAACGATGGGTTTTGCATGCAGCGTTGCGGTGTCTATTCACATTTCACAATACAAACGGTGGATGGTGTGTAATTCACCTTGATGGGAGCGGTCCTCAACACAGCTGCTGGGCATAGTTGTTGCAAGATTGACTCAATCATTGGATGCCCTGACAGTGTCATGCAAAGTGAAGTAATTTCTCGTCAGGCATTGGCAAGAAACAAGCTTTAGACAGGAGATATCGTATAATTGATATAGAAGTCTTCTCTGAAGCATGCTACATGATTTACATTGCATCCAGCAATTCAGACCTTTAATGTTCTTCTCGCCTGCTCTCTATGTACGACATACATATGCGCAATCAAGCCATGCAACACTCCAATTTGTTCTTCTCCGCTCCAATCACGGCTTGGGGGCCCGTGTAACAATTGCTCCATGGGTAAAAACCTCCTCTCTATGCGTCAACCGACCAATACCTCTCAAGAAATGCCGCCAGGGATGGCCGACACTCTATGAGTAGTAGGGGAGGGTCTGTGTGAGGATCCAGGCCCATGCAACGCCAGAGAGACCGCCGACCAACCAGCCAGCGGAGAACTTCTGCCATCCATCAGCGGTCTGCGCGCAGCAGACAAGCATGCAGATCAGGGGAATGTCAGGATGCAACAGCCCTGGAGGTATACCGAGGCGGAAACCTGTCCCTCATTCCAGGGAACTTCTGAAGGATCGGTCCTGCCTTGTCAAACAACAAATCAAGAAACTACTTCCACATTTGGCAGGGGAGGTGTTACCGCTGTCATAATAACACAGACGACCCAAAATTGTACAACATGCACAAGCTTACTGTTGTACACTAGTCCTTCCTTCCCTCAACAAGCAAGCCCTCCTTTGGCAACATGTGCATCCGAGCACCTTAGCTGCAGCTCCTGTGAGAGCGCACGGATGCCACAAACCATCTGAACGCAAATCGAGACGTCGCAAATACATGGTGAACCCGAAGAAGAACCAGGGTATCAGGGGAGGCGCGCAAACCTGCAGGGGGTCGCGCTGGAGCTCGCGGCCGGACAGGGTCTTCACGCCAATGGCGCCGGCGTCGTTCTGGAACGCGGACGCGCCGTAGATGGTCAGAGCCACAGCCAGGATGACCACCAGGCCAGCACCTGACAGGCAGCCGGCGCGCTCCGCCACTCCGGGGATGTTCCTCAGGGGTCCCAGCTTGATGAAGGGGCCTACGCGCAAGGTAGATAGAGTCATGCCGTGCCAGGAGGAGGCGCAGCAACATGAATTTTGCCAACTTAAAGCTTTGTGCTAGCAATGATAGTGTAGCATTGGGTGTGGACAGCTCTGACAAGAACACTGGTAGTTTGCAGGGTCTGCTCAATCCAGCAGAGTGCCCGATGATCTTCTTTCCCAAATTGTCACCGACCATCACTTCAGTTATTGAGCAAACAGTGAGTGACTCACCGGTGACTAGGAAGCCGTGCACGAGGCCGATCTCAACGCCGCGCAGGAGCGGGGACACGCCGATCCTGTATGCCGGCAGGTTGGACAGGAACCCGGCCACCAGAGGGGATGAGGTCACTGGGGTCTGTGCACAACACAGATCCCAAAACTCATCAACTTGCAAGTTGGTTGCATAACTCCTTTGTGCATCCAGCCGATTGTGATGGCAGATCGCCCCATGGTGCAGAATCTAATTTCTTGGAGCTGGGGAGGTCAATGTAGGGCGCAGAGCACAGGTGATTGCATGGTCTACGCCACATTGGGTGCTGATCCAGCATGAGCTGCATTGGAAGCAGATGGGCGTCACGCACCTCCAGCATGCCAATGAATGGGTCGCCATTGATGGGCTGGATGACCTGCACCACAATCAGACATGATCCTCAGGATTGCTTCCACCAAAACACAGACCTCCTGTGCTTTGACAACACGTCTGCTTGTTTCCCCTCTTTCTTGGCAGGAGGGATGTGTCCACCCAAACTTAAATGCAGTACCCATCGCGCTGAAAAAGAAATGGTCCTTAAAGGGATCATCTGTTCCCTGCAAACCTGGCAAAGCCCAATAAATTGCTTACAGCTGCCCCAATATACGGCGAGCAAGGTGTTTGCAATCCTTTGATCGTCTTCAATCTGTAAGCAGTGCCACTGGAGCACAAAACCAGACGTTCAACTGTAGTGACATGCTCATCCGAGGGAGTCTTCTCAGCGCCCATGATACGTCATATGCTGCCGTTCAGATAGCTTCCAATGAGGACCGACCTGCTGCTTGTCTGCGGCACGTACAACGACTGCTGCCCTGTTCTGCCTGGCGTGGAAAACGGGGGTGAGACCGGCAATGTTGCCCAGGCTGGAGCGGCTGCTGGACACGCGGGACGATGCGCAGGGCACCCTGATGGCGCTGGAGGTTGCGGCGACCTGCATCTTTGGTGCCTGCTGTGACGTTACGGGGCTCCTTTGCGATGAAATGCACAGGCCTTCGTCTGAAATCTCGACTTTATCCTCTGTCAATGCAACGACCCCTGCGTAGGGTTTCTACAGAGGGATATGGACCTGAAGTCCTCAAAGCCATGCCGAGGCATTGAAGTCTCGTCTCTTTCAGTCACAAATGAACGCCAGCCTTGGTTTGGACTTCCACCTCTTTGTCCGCAAGTTTCCTTGGTTTGGACTTCCACCTCTTTGTCCGCAAGTTTCACGGTGCGTTTGACAAAATACAGGGATGCCTTTGGCGCCAGATCATCCAGGGGCCCAGGTGGAGGCTTGATGATCAATGCTGCCAGCATGCAAAACTTCATCGCAAAGCTTACAAATATTCAGCATGGCACTCAGCTCAATTGTTGAACAGCATCCACATGTCTTGAACCCTGCAACACCACTGTGTCTTCCATCAGGCATCGGCAAGCATGTCTGACAGACCTAGGTAGGTACATATTCCATTCAAGGTATTCCCAGAAAGTTCCTCAGGCACATTTATACCTCGATGGTTGAGGCGTTGAATTTGGCATTGCCCCCAAGACATGTTCACACAGTACTTGACTTTCCGTTCATGTCAGCTGACAGACAGGTGGCTGATGGCTGCCTGTTCTGTGGCTGTCAGCTCGTAACAGGACACAGACATGGCTGGCAGCTCAAGGCTGAAGGTGGCACCACCCTCATCAAAATTTAGCTCCACCCAATCCACCGTTGGCTTCACCTGCACGCAGTCCCTCTCTTGAAATGGATGCTCAACTAGCGCACACCACAAGTCCCACTCAACTTTAACTTGATGATTTAGACTCACTTTATGTAATGTCTGCACAGGCGCAATCAACGGTATCTCTGGGAAAGTAAGGCGCTCTGTCTTCCTTCTCCTCTCCAAGAGGTGGTGTCCATGCACAGGGGGAAGTAGCAACTGCAGATATGCTCGACAAGCTAGAACTTCACAGTCAAGCAGTGGGGAAGGTGCACGCACAGTCAGCGGCGCGTCAAAACTGTTCTCAGCCTTTGCATGGGGCCCGCTGATCACAGTACGCAGTGCAGCCTCGCTGATGCCGCCAAACCCGGCTCCATCCATCGTCACAGTCACCCTCTGGCTGCTGTGTCCCACATTCACCACCTGCACGGTCGCGGCAAGACACGGCTATACTGCAATGCGCCAAACCACCAGACAAATACAAAAAGCTGCGCACATATTCAGCCACCCAATTGGCCTCTGGATAAGAGTTTCCATGAAGCCTTCACATAAGGCTGAAACGGCCTGCTGGCTGCGATGGCATCTATATCCTCAATCATTGATGCTCAGTCAGACAGAATGTGGCTTGAACATAGATAAGGCGTGAGCCGCTAAAAACACACCTTCAGGGCCAGCACAGTGCACTCCTGGTCCTGGCAGGTCACAGAGGCCGCCACGCTGATGTTGCCTGGCACAGTGCTGTCGCTGGCCATGTAGGTGGGCTGCACAGTCGTGGCCATGTAGATTACGCCCAGGTGCTGCGAAAACAGCTGCTGCACAATGTACGACGGCGTTCCATACCACCTACACATATCAGGGCTCTGAATTTATGGTCATTTCAACAATAAAAAATAAGACATGCTGAAAGGCCATTGGGCACTGAGCATGTGGAAAAGTATACGGGTTGTCATATTTTGCCAGGCAGCCGCGTCACCGCCTGCTGAGGGACATTGATCTAGTGGTATGATTCTCGCTTAGGGTGCGAGAGGTCCCGTGTTCAATTCGCGAATGTCCCCCTCCACCCTTTTCTCCTATTGCCCCCTTTCGTATATGACAGCAACAATCAACTTGATACGCTACAGTACTATAATGGCATTGAGAAAGTCAGAGTCACAGCGTGCAGGACGTCCTATCTATGGTAGGCGGCTGGCCGTCAATGGGGCGCAGAAAATAGCGTTGACTGCTCTATGACAGGTGGATTGCCTGTGGCTGTGCTCGTTGAAAATCAGAAGACAAAAATCCCAAGCTACAAGCGCCGTACATTGACTACATGCAGGGATTCCGATCCATGACAGAGAGGGCAAGAACAGGCGGCTCGCCTCTGGCTGTTGACAACAACAATTTCCTGGGACATTCACAAGACAAGCATTCCAACCTATCAACTGCCGCCCGGAATTTGTTGAGACTTGAAAGATTTAGTACAATAGTCCCATCCATGACAGAGAAAAATTTCAAAAGGCGGGTTGCCTGTGGCTGTCAAAGACGATGAGGTCGGGGCTCCACAAGCGCGCATTGGTGTTGACGAAGAGCGGCGCGTACGACGCCATGCGCACCACCTCGGAGTTCGCCTCCAGGCCCGTCATGAACGCCGCTTCCGCCACAGCCGCCTGCGCCAATATAGAACATCACTCTCTGCTCAGTGTTTGGTTTTTTGCATCCGCCAAGGCGTCCCCAAAATTTCACAAACAGGGGGGAGGGCAGTGCTGACATCGGTATCGAGCGGACAACTCCACTGGGCACACAGCAGAAACGGCATTGTACTTTCAACGCCAGCTCGGGGTTCTGCTCCTACTACTTCCAAGCCAACAAGTCTGGGTTTTTTCAGACCACAGTAGAGGACAGATCAGCCCCGCGGCACATGGGCCTTCACAGGGAATCAAGCATGGCAGGATTGCAAAGGAACGTGCTGGATGGGCAGACCTGTAGGTTGCCCCAGCCGCCGTCTTGGAGGACCGCGTACTCGCTGGCAAAGACATAGGGGTCCCTCCCTGCCACCATGCCATCGAACGCATGCCGCTTTTCAAACATGTCCCTGGACACCAAATAAGTTGTTGGACAACCAGAGAGTTTCTGACTTTGTCTACTCCTGCAACGTGCACCGGGATGCCTGTTGCAGCATCCCAACCCCTGATAACAATGCCATGCAAAAGGGGATAATTGCCCCTTGTGCTGCCAATTGGTAACAGGATTTTCTTGCGAGCACACCCTCATCACCGACTGCACTCTCCCATTTCATCAAACCTCAGCGTACAGCTCTGTTGGAAGTTTACTAGAGATTCTGCGGCTCTAGGATGAACAATTGCTGGCACAGGCGCTGCAACTAGAATTGGCCAACTTAGAGCAACTCCACCCCCACACCAAAGCATAATGATTGATGTGGGGCTGCCAGGGCGATTTGACATATGTGCATCGATATGCAATGTTGTGCATGAAGGATACAGAGGGATGCGCACCCTGTGCTGGTGTAGATGTGCCAGTCAAAGAGGTCTGTGGGCGCAGCATTGCCCAAGGGGCAGTTGGCGATGAGCTGCATGTGGGGGTGGCGGGCCTTGATGGCAAAGTAGAAGGAGATGTAGTTGCCTATGTACGATGGGTGTCCACAGTCCTGGTCAGCACAAGAGGCTCTCATGCGTCAGCATCTCATGACTCTCTTTTCAAGTACTGGCCTGACATGCAAGTACTTCAAATCAGGATGCCAAGATGCTGAGGACACTTATGGTCGCTGCAGTGGGCCTGAAGTTCCAACTCCAGGCAAAGAGGCACAGAGAAAGTGTTGAGGGGGATGTTGCATGTGCTTGTGTTAGGCAGAGTAGAGTAAGCCTTGCCTCGTTCCCAATAGCAAGGTAGGTGAGGTTCCAGGGATGCTCTCGTCCCATGCGGGCCCTCACTGCGCCCCACCTGCTGTCCGCCGGGCCGGTGATGAAGTTGATCGCATCCAGCGCATCCTGCACACACCACACATTGCAAGGAAATCACATTCCGCTTCCCTTTCTTACAGGATCTCCCATTCATTTTGAAGGATGACATGCTTTTATCTAGCTGCCCGCAGCATTGCAATAATTCCTCACAGAGCTTTGAAGAGAGGGATTTGTTCAATAACATTGTGCCATGAGGAGGTTCTTCAAGTACATCGTGCAGAACACCACTGTGGGCAAGAGCTCATCGTTGGGATGCGGACCAATGTCAGGCTATGATCACTTCTCTGAGGTGACAGCAGCACTGTACCTCGATCCAGGGGCCGATCTGAGCTGTGGGGATGCCCTCCCGGTGACTAATCCCATTATTCACTACCCAAACAGGCTCTGCCCCCAACTCCTCGGCCAGCAGCATGTACTCATACAAGCCCAGACCTGCACAGAAGCCACTCATTCTCAGCCAGATCCATCCTACAAGAGTTGTAGATTTGATCATCATCGCAGCATTGCAATTGAAGCTTTCACACATAATGCCCATCCCTATGCTCGGGTTGTTACGCATGCATGCATGCAAGCAGGCATGAGGCATGCGCAGCGACAAGACATGCATGGCATCAGCAATTGTACCAATCATCAGCTACCTTGGGCATCATCGCAGCATTGCAAATGAACCTTTAAAAATTAGTGCCCTTCCCCATGCTCGGGTTGTTACGCATGAATGCATGCAAGCAGGCATGAGGCATGCGCAGCCACAAGACATGCATGGCATCAGCAAGTGTACCAATCATCAGCTAGCTTCGTAAAGGTCATTTCAAATGGATTTTTGAGACTGAATACAGCACCGTCAGTGCTCCAGTAGCCCCAAATTGCGTTGAGGTGGCCGGGCCGGTTGCGGGTGCTGCCCAGAGCGTTCTTCCACTGGAAACGGTCCTTGAGCCAATCCCCTCCCTCCACATAGCAGCCGCCAGGCACACGTAAAAACCTGACGCAGCCAGAAAATTTGGTTGCTTGTTGAGAGAAACAGCGTCTCGAGGTTGGTGGCTAAACATTAGGCTCGAGCAGTGTCCATGGTCAGACCCTTGACCAGGAGCCATTCAAGGCATGCATCAGATGCTCACCATCCCCAGCACAAGAACCCCGAGCAGTTCAACCATGGGAGGCAAGCAAGAGGATTGTTCAAGCTGCAGGTGCATACAGCAGTAGTGAGAACTTGGGCTTAGAAAATTTCAATAGTTAAATATGCACCGGAGGGACTGGGGCTTGCCTGGGTTTGAGAGCTTTCACAGCCTCCAGCAGGTCGCTTCGGAAGGGCCATGGGTTGAGCTCCTCCTTGCGGATGTTCTCCAAAGGAAACAGAGAGATGACATCCAGCAGCAGTTTACCTGCACACATATACAGCACATGCAGGCTCACATTTCCCACTCCACGTCTCAGCATCTGAGCGCCCACTATCAAGACCTCAACGTATCGTGTTGATTGATGTGCTGCATACAAGGTGTCTATTTGTCACAATAGTTAACCACGCATTACATCAGACTGCCGCCATGCAAGAGCCTGTGTCAAGGCAGCATGCATAACCGAGTGGCATGACAAAGCAGCGACAGACATCCCGAACACGACTTTTTCAAACAGACATGTCTAGCGCCAGAATAGAGGAGGGTATCTGCCAGGTCACCTGGGCCTTGGAAGGCGATGCCGAGGCGCGCATCATCGTCTGTCTCCAGGGGCGAAAGCGTCGCGTTAACTAATCGCCAGTCAGAAGAGCCAACATAGAATGTGGCCGATGCATAGGAGATCCTGCCGTCCTGTGACTCCAGCGCCACGCGCATCCACCTGGCCACCTGATATTTAACACTGAGATCCTTCAGTTCCCCCTTGGGTCCTACTTCTAAACGAGTGCTGCACCTGTGCAAGGGGCACATGCTCCCGTGCACAGTGTACAGCACATGCTGTACTTTGTGCATCTTCTTGTTGCAGAAAAATTTGCATTCTGCAAGCAGGTATTTACAAGAGTCAAGACCTTGTCCAGACCGTCAAGCATGGTGTCTCTGAACAATATCGGGACATCATACAACCCAGGAGCATGTTAATGCAGCTGCAGCTTCCAAAATGCGATGCCCCAGCTTCATGCATGCAGCCTGGGCAGAATGGAGTGGTGCATGCCATGCATAGTTGCACGACACGGCACCAAAAAAGGCCGATTGGGCGTGTCGACACGCGTATCGAACTCAAAATATCAAGTTACAGCCGTGTCAATGGGTACACCAATCGACAGATCTCGTCAAGAGCTCCTCTTGACACGCCGAATACATGAACTTTGTACAACTATTACAGGACTAAAAGCCTTCAAATGATTCGTGTCGAAATTAAACAAGCAACTATGGTGCATGGTATAAGGTGGCATGCTCACCCCAATGTTGCTGTTGTTGCCTGCAGCACTCGCCAGGCTGGGATCTGCGGCATACGCAGAAAAGAAGTATTTTTTGCCTGCTTGCACCGACATGCCCCAGTAGCCCCCATTGGAAATGCCCCCTATGATCTCCTGCATGCATGCAAGCTCCATCAGACAAATCACCTTGCCCGACACGATACAGCTCCAGCACATTGGTTTACATTTTGCCATACTGCCATCGAGCTCAAAAGGACACTTCACAAAATGCAGGAGCATTGTAGTGAGACCATGCCTCTGTCAGCAGAAATGCTGCGACTGGGTTGCCAGCGCTGATGGCGCGGTCCCTGGTGAGGGAGAAGTTGGTGCCCGGCCAGGGGAGCCAGGATGATGGCTCTGCCTGTATATTCCTACACCCCCAAGAATTCACTGTCATGTGTTGAACGTGCTGCATGCACGGCCACCTCGCAGTTCAGAATTGTCAGGGATTGGAGGCAGGGAGACAAAGGACCTCATACATGATGCATGCATGAGGCCGTGATACCTTCTCAAGTATTTTCGAGATATGGGGCTCTCTTGTAGGCTCTCTGCAGGTCCACTTTGTTGTGAAGTGGGGGCCGCATCGCCTCTGCAGAGCTCGCCCTGCATGCATGCGTAGACATCAGTCAGTGGACTTGCATGCATGCCCACTAGCAAGAGTGGCAAGAGTTTCTCCACCGCACAATGTCAACCGTGTCTCATAGCACAAGCAGCTTCAAAATATCTTGAACGAATGCACAGACTTATCGATGGTGATTGTTATGCGTCAGAACGTCAGACGTCACCCAAGGTGCTGTAACAGAATGTACTAGGACCCAGGTCTTCACTCTTGGAACGGCTAGGAGTCAAATACCTGCAGTCCTCCACATTTCTGGGCGTGATTGAAAGCATCAAAACTGCGATCGCGAACCATTTCTGCGTACAGGCCCCCATCGCCAGCGTTGTTGATCTGACCATCACAAGACCCTCAGGAGCTTGAAAAGTGGCCTTGTTTACTGAAAAGGGTGCAAATAAGTAGATTCCGATTGTAGATGTACCCAAGCAGCTCTAACACTTCTGGCTATGCATTTGTTGACACCCAAATGGTTGGGTGATCCCCCACAACCCTGCCAAATTCAGTACCTCCTCGAAGAACACTCCGTAGAGCAATGGGCTCACAGGATGCGATACAGTGCTGTTCACGATAATCACATACGTGGTGTCCTCCTTTGGGTTATTCTTTCCAGTTTGAGGCTCAGATCCTAATGCGACCGTTGGGTGCGTTAGGACAGGCCAGGCCGCAGAAATCAAAATACTCCATAACAGATGCATTGTCCAAACATGCTACGGATCACATGGACAGTTTCGCTGCTCGTTCCACTTTACCATCTTGATCAAGGTCACGTCGATGATGACATCATAGTCCAAGGTGACGAGAGAATAAGGGGGGGCTGTCCATATATATCTCAAGACCAGTGCTGGAGATATGTGGTGTTGAGATTGTTTTATTGCTTTCACGCGCTACTCATAGCAAAAGGCAAGGTATGTCCTGCAGACAAGTTGCAGTTGAGAAGTCCCATATGTAAGATTTTGAGATGATGTGAAAATAATGCCTTCTTACAAACTCATCGCCTTCCCATGTACATTTGTGCGCGCTTGAAGCTCATATAAAAACACAAAGGCCGCTACGCTATGTTGTGCAGCAACAATCATATGAATCATCAATTCAAAGTGCACACAACCATGTCCAAGTTTAATTTATCAACGGCACAGGCCGCCGCCTAAGTCTCCCACTTACCCTGGAGATAAGCGGAACACACAAAAGGCATGAACACCCCTCCATGTAAGGAAGACAGCACCACTCATGCACACAGCAATATGTACACACCTGACACAAGCTGCCCACAGTCACAACAAGAACTTGTACAGCCTGTCAGAAACAGAACATCCATTCATTGCCTCTAGTAGGCATCCCACCACAGCAAATGTGTAGCACCACCACCTTACGGGTAAAACCCACATCATTATTAACAATATGCATTGCCTTGTAGTTAGCAACCCACCACAGCAATTGTGTACCACCAACACCTTACGGATAGAGTCCACACCATTATAAGCATTGTGCATTGCATGCTGCTGTCACTTGCAATATACAAGGCGAGCCACACATTGAATTTCCACAGGAAGTTCTCTGGTAGGTTCAATATCCCAGACGAATCACGCGCATGTTTGACTATGCTCCAGCATACATAGCCCCCAAATGGCCACCACACAAGCCATGAAACACAGCGCCACAGCAGCATTTGCTTGGCAAAACAAGCAGAGTGAGCTCAGCAATCATTGAAGTGGGTGGCGCGCTCTTTAGCTAGATCCCCAGACACTGACGCGCTGAGGAAAATGAGTGGCCACCACTCCACATCAATAACACCAAGGCTCTCTTCCACATTAGTTCTTGTGACATAAAATACCTCTCCGCTGTCTGAGCAAATGTTGGCATCAATCCAAGTCCAACAAATATCCTGCCTTTGAATTTTTCTCTTTCACATTCCGCAGACTGTTGGGACACAGTTGAAAATTTTCAAGGAGCACACATGCTCCTTCTACTGTCACACTGATGCACCACCACCAAAAAAAAAGGAGTTCAGTCCATCCAGACTGCTGACTTCTTGCAGTGGAAGGGACATGTCTTATGCAGCCTGACACCGCTCATATCAAATGCTCCCACATACTACAGAGTACCCCAACCAAGTTGTGTGAGCTTCTTACCACGAGACACCCACAAAAAGGGTGCAAAACCATACAAACCTATGGCCCACCTCACAAAAATGCACAATGCAATTCATACTTACTGCTCCCAAGAGCGGAATGTGCACATGTCTCAAGAGACTACTGCAACACCACTGTTGAAGGCACTCGCAACTGCATGATTAAGAGCATTAGCTTTACAATAGCTCAGCACGCAATTGCTTGCCCACAATCCTGCTCCATTTTGACACCTCTGCAGCTGGTGCATGCCGGAGGGGGATCAACCTTCAGTCACATTCTTGCAGATGTCTGCGCTGTAAAGGCGCTGCTCGACAAATGCCTGCGCTCCCAGAAGAGCCATGCCCAATGGCAGCAGCATCATTCTGCGCCGCCGTCTGGCCTCTGCCCTGGACAGCGGCACCAGGGGCAGCACCGGCAAGCCCCTTGCAACCTGCACATGAGACATCAACACAACTGAGCACACGCAGTACACCGATCTCTCCGTGGAGCTCCTATCCATGCACAACAGGTCAACATCAAACAGGGATGTGCATAGGTCCACATGGACACTTGCAAGCATTGCAGTGACCATCTGCGCCTCCGCATCAATGCCACACCCAGATTGCCCATCTAAAATAAACAGACCCTGCTGCAAATTCATGTTTGATTTGCCGCAAACAATAGCGGGCCAACACACCCTGTAGAAGCCCCGCTCCTGCACTTCCGGGCCTCTGACTTCACCGGAAGCCAG